AACCGGGGGCTTGAAAGTGAAATTAATTACGGTAACGAAGGGTAAGTGTCACCAACCGGATGCGTACCAAATGGATGCCTCAGCCTCAGCCAGCTCTGTCTTAATATATTGCCAGATAAGTATCTGCCCAGTGGCAGTTCCTTACAATAGACGCTTCCCCTTAATGGGTTGCCTTTTGTAAACACACATTAAACATCCTCTGGTTGTGTCGTTAAAAAGGCACCTTTTTGTATCTGAAAAGTTGCAGAATTCTGTCTGGAATATTTCGTTAACAATGAAACAAATGTTTCGAATAGAAGCCATTTTGAAAATGCATTTAATTATAATATATTATGATTATATTTTATGATGCAGAAACGGTGAACTGTATTTTATATCCTACTATTGTTGATTTCAGATAATTAAATTGGAATCAAGGAGTTACTTATGAACCCTCAGGATGTTTTAACACTGTTTATAATAAATTATTTTAGTATTGAGTATTAAAACATAAAATATTTTTTACATACATTGAATAAAATATATACTTTGGAAAAATATATTAGCAGTGGATATTTTTATTTGCCAGCAGCAGTCATGGGCACAAATATTCATTAAGTTGAAATAGCGTACAACCCGTAGCTTGGACAAGTGTTTACATAAGTCTTGAGTTTTAACTGAAAACATAATTTTCCGTCTGAGAGCGCCGTGAAATCAAGTGGCTTTCGTTGCTCCCGGCTCCAGTCCCGACTCCCGTGTGGCATATTCCTGTATTCCATATTCAAAGCTCCGTGCAGCTGGCAGTATTTGCCAGCAAAAGAGATGCTAATTAATTTAATGAAACCTGTCCGTTGCCACAAACTGTGGAGAGTCCTTGGCCGCTTTGTACTCGTATTTGCCTTTGTATTTACATGTGAACGTTAGCCTTGTACAATTCATGTGCAAAATGTTGAGTTTCTATTTATAAAATAATTAAAATGAGCAGAGAATTCACTTGGAATTACTTCGAGTCAATATTAGTTTGATGCTTATGATTATTATAGTGAATATCAGCTTAGTAAATAACTATGATAAGTAATTAATTATGATCAGTATTGAGCAGCAAGTAACTCTGAACAGTAAGTATCTATGACAAGTAAGTAACTATGATCAGTAAGTAACTATTACTTTCTATGTATGTAATTCTGATCATTAAGAATTAATGAACATTAACTAACTCTGAATAGTAAGTATCTATGACCAGTAATTAACTATGATCAGTGAGTATATATGAACAGTAAGTAACTATGACCAGTATTAGTAAGTATCAATGAACATTAAGTTACTCTGAACAGTAAGTATCTAAGATCAGTGAGTATCTATGACCAGTAAATAACTATGACCTGTAACTAACTATGATTAGTAAGTATCAATGAACATTAAGTAACTCTGAACAGTAAGTATCTGACCAGTAAGTATGTAAAGGGGACCATGGCAACAAGTAAATGTATTGGATTATAAAGTCTAGACCTAGGCCTGATGCCACCAAGAGATTCTTCATACATAATATAAATGTAATGGTTAAGACTTACCGCAGAATAGGACACGTCATTGTTTATTTCCTTTAAGTGTGTAACCAAGATTGGTTGACTTCATCCAAAGTGAGCTTCTTCCTGGTCATCCAGATGTTTTGCATTGGCCACGTCATATGTTTGGGATCGAAAGGTAATCACTATCACTATCACTAACGATGTTAATACTAGGTACCCCTAGGACAGACTGAGGCGCGCGCGACCTCAGCACCTCTATTTATACTCCCCGAGTAAAGAGAAGAGAAGAGAATGTGAGTGTGAGTGCGTGGGAGAGAAGCAGTTGCCTCTAGAAATTAACATAGAGCGATTAACATAGCGAGAAAGGGGAGAGGCAGAGAGAAGCTGTTGCCTCTAGAGATTAACATAGAGCGATTAACATAGCGGGAGGGGGGAGAGGCAGAGAGCAGCAGCGAGCTGATATTTAATTTAACTATAATCAATAAGTAAGTAGGAGCAGTAAGTAACTCCGATCAGTAAGTATCAATGAACATTAAGTAACTCTGAACAGTAAGTATCTATGAGAAGTTAGTAAATATGATAAGTAAGTATCTATGGGCAGTAAGTATGTATGATCAGTTACTAACTTTGAACACTAATAAACAATGACTTGCAACTTTTGAACACTACACATTTCTGCGACTTGGCCGCCAGCAGTCAATTCGTTCCGGGGATGTTAGAACCAGTTGGGAACCATATGCTCAGATTTACAAGATTTGTTTTAAAACAAATTTAAGCTATTTAAATGAAATTATGTAGTTATTCTTCTATATAATTTTACCAGTATATAAATCGGAGCATGGAGGACTATATATATATATTTTTATAGCTGCCATAGGAATGATCAGAAAAATTTAAAGAAAAAAAGTTATAACTTTTCCAGTTTTCAATAGATATTCATCAAATTTGATACATAGCCATAATATATTAATCTACAATTTTGAGTAAATTATATGAAAATTGGACTTTGGATTTTGGAAATTTATTAAAAATTAATCTATGACAAAGATTACCCACTTAATGCTTTTAATTAAAGCTTCCTTATTGAGCCATCACAATCCCCAAGGGGTTGGCTAAACACACCAAAGTAAAGTTTACTTGGGTAAAGATATCAAGTTTGTATCGTTTTTATTTAATTTCCACCTTATCGCAATGTTGAAACGCGCCACGTGCTGCTTTGAAATGTCTCTGTTCTGAGTTAAAAACAAATCCATGAATATATTACTGAAATAATTAACATTATCGCACCGGCAATGGGCAATAGTCGAAGCCAGGCCAAAGGACCAGGCGGACGCGTGCGCCGTTTGGGTGTAATCATCGTTATCTAATAAGGGCACCGGGAACCAGCGCTCGTCCGCAAATATTTGCCTACTTCAATCCGTCATTTGAAAGTCACATGCGTGAGAATGGTAAACAAGCCGACCCGAGGGGGAGTTCCCACCCCGAATACCCCGAGTATCGTACGGATTCTGGTTCAATGTTACACCGAACATCGAAGATCCCGGCCGAAAAATGCCCTGGCCACCCGGAAAAGTCAACCCGAGGAGGACAAAAGTTATACAGCATTTAGACGCTGCGCATTTCAGCGGATGGTCCTCATCCGCAACACGTGTCACTGGGTTGACGTCCTCTGTGTTTTGTCCTCCTAGATACGCAGTGCACACAATCCACAAGCCAGGCAGCGACTGACTTCCATCGAACGATCCCACAGTCCAGCGGTCCCGGTCTCACATAAAAAGCAATAAACTAAAATTAAGTCAGAAAACGTGTCAAAGTCAGTACTCACTGCACTGACAGTGATGCAAAGACAAACATAAACAGCGAGCGTTGGTCCTTGTTTACCTTAATAAAGCCGGTTTCGATACTCCTCAGTCAGTTGCTCGTGTGCCGCCAGCAAAGACTCATGCCGAATTGGTATCGGTATCGATTCTGTGCACCATGGATATTTAGCGAATTATCCTGGAAGAGAGCTATGTCACCCACCTAAAATAACACCGTCAGCACGAGGAAATGGGTCGAAAATAAGGGAAGTACTACTTTCACAAGCTGTAACAAAACGATTTAAATTAAGTCGATTTAAAAAGAATGTTCCGGTTTTCTGTTTTATATAAATTCGATTTGAACACATATTTTTTATTCTTTGTTTCTAATCATGGTTTTCTTTTCGGATAAAGTTTTAGTTATATAAAAAACATTTTATTTTGATTTTTAAAAACATTTATCACAACCTAAATATAACCTTGTTATTTACTCTGGATGTTAAAGGTTTACAATTCAATGCAAAATATAAACTAATTCCGGATTTTTTAAATTTTATTATACAATTTTAGATCAATTTTTAGAAACCCATTTGAGGGTGGTACAGAAAAGACTGGGCTTTGGGAAAACCTTAGAATAGTGCACAAAAGTATGCAGTAAAATGTGTGAGGTACCAAATGCATGTTTTACAATGAACAATTTTTAGCACAGTTTATTACACATTTTAAACGTATTGATGTAATATATTTATATATATTTAAGCTCAATTAAACATATAAGATTAACGTTATTCGTAATCTTTAGATATCATTGTGGATTTGTTTCCCTTATAATGAATAATATAATATAATAATATAATATATTCAAAATGAATATATTGAAACAACATCAATTATAATATATATAAATAAACTATAATTAATATACCTTCAATAGTTGATTTATCGGATTTCTTATAAGGTACTACTTTCTCTTACAATTATTCTCAGAGACTGTAGTTTGTCTAACTATATTTTATTGCGACACATATAAATTCAGTTCCGCATATAGTTTTCTGTATTTTTAAGGCCCGCCCATTGGACACCCATATTGGAGTCCCCATGTTTGTATTTATGTCTAGACAAATATTATAACGCATTCAGCTTCAAGTGGGACCCTGCAAAAGGATACTTAACAAAGGCACTGCTCTGGCTTAAGTGCAAACATTTGTTTGTCTGACATTATGTCAAAATTAATTTGGTTGTACCCAGTGGATTTTATTTCTCCTATCTTAAGAGATTCGTATCTTGTTAATTTTGCGATTCATTTTATGGCCAAACCGTATATGCGGAGCGCGGCCCTTTTTGTTTTATAATTTATTTTGATCTGGCCGCGGCATGCATTTTCGATTGATATTGATGGTTCCTTCTGGCGAAACATGTTTTGCTCATCAATGAACACTCGCGCTGAACCTGTTTTGTCTTACCTCATTTAGTCTAAGGACCTCTCCAGCTCTGCGCAGTACAACAAAAAAAGACAAGAAGGCGATACCAACTTTCACATGGCGAAATACAGATACTAAATAACGATTCCGGCTTTGTTTCATATGCCGCAGCATCATTACTTAACCGCTTACAGTGTGGATTAACATGCTGCATGGTTAAAACTGCATCCTTCAGTCATTAAATTTTAACGACAAAATATAAAGTCAACTAATTAAAGATGCTGCATTGTATTTATCGGAGTATTCTAAAGTTTCGGGTGACAAAGGATAGCTCAATATCTTCGTGTTTTACATAAAAGTCCGAAATGGATAGCTCGAGACGTTTATGCTCTATTATCTGAAAGGCCCTGGCCAGGGGAACAAATGAATTGTGTATATAAAACAACATATCACCTTGAATTTCTTCTCTGTAAAATAATAAACAAGTAAATATACATATATACAACATATAAACAAAAAGAATAGGATAACTTACAGTAAATAAACGCTTCCAAAGTTGGCCAACAAGTATCGGGTAATTATGTTTATAATAGCTTCCCTGTTTAATGAATAAATGCTGCAGGAGAAAGGTAATAATTGAGCAGGGCATCATAACTAATACTTAATAAACAAAAAACTTGCCATAACTGATGAATCAGAGCATGGGGTCTGGCCTTGACCATTAGAATTAGCCCGCGAGATGCATGATTTCTATAGCTTGCCACAGGACCGATGGCAACAAGTTTTCCTCGCCTAATCAAGGCCAATCGATTGCAAAGGGTCTGAAAGTCCTCTATATTATTGGATGATAATAAAATCGCACTGCCGCAATCATTGACGCTTTTCAGGACATGCAAAACATTCGATCGATGGGCTTTTTCCACTCCAGCCGTGGGTTGATCCAATATAATTAATGGTGGCGTTCCTAAAACAGCTATGGCGGTACTCAATTTCCGCTTGTCGCTTACTGTATACCATTTGGACCGCTTACGCAGATGTCGTCTGAAACTGAGATTATCCGCCAGTTCATGGGTTACCCTGCGAAGTTGTCTACATTTTATACCCCGAATTAGGCCGAATATTTTTAAATTCTCACGACCCGTAAATTCTGGCTCAAAACAATTTTTCTGTGGACAATAACCGATGCATTTGTAGGCCCTGTATCGCTTTCTCTTGCAATTGACATTGATGCCTCTGATGTAAACGCGACCCCTGGATAAGCAATGCTGTGATATTATTAATTTATTAAGAGTCGTCTTGCCAGATCTCTCGCCAACTAGGCCTAGAACATCCATGCTACAAATGAAATTAAAAATATATTTTATATGCCAAATATAAAACATTAATATACTTACCATCTTAGTCCGAAAGTAACATCTTTGATAGGTCTTCTGGCATTACATGCTCTTACATTATCCAGGAGTAGAATATTGTTTCGCCGTTCACATTGCGTCGTACGGTAACATGGCTCATAACTATTTAAAAAAAGTCTCATTTAAAGTTAATAAAATACAAAATTAACACAAATACCATCTCCTCCTCCTGCAAGGACTTCCCCTTTCATATAGTAAAAGTAATGCAAAGTAAAGTAAGGCCAAAGCCATAAGTATAGCCAGATATGGTAATGCCGCTTTAATGATACTCCAAGCTGACAGTTTGTCTAAATGAAAATGGTGTTTAAATATTATTAATAATTAATTTTACTAGCTTAGTTATGCGTACACAATAAAATGTATCTAAAAGAAATTTCCCATTATTTTTTACCCCTTCTTTTTACAGATTACAAGGGCGCAAAACGGGCTTTCAACCCCTTCTTGGGGATGGAACTGCACTTCCAAAGTCGCATTTAATTAGAATATATTTTTTATATCTTACCACAGTCTCTATATGAACTTTTCATTTGTTCCTTGCATAATCGACACCATTCCTCCTCCTTGCAAAGCCTTTGCAACATGGCAATGGTTGTATAAACGGGTAAAAGATATAGTATGCCCAAGGGGAAATCCGGGACACCAACCTCATATAGTATGGCTAAAAAACATAATAACTAAAAAAAACATTACTTATTAATATTGTATAAAATTACCCGAGATAACAAGTAGAACTATGGGAATAATCCATCCAAACATTGTGCATCTGCAGAGTTGCATAAATAGATACAGAAAGGGCAGCTGAGCCAGATTAAAAACATCAAGCCAATGAAGTAGGCAACTAATAAACTAATTCGTTAAATATATATATACTTAATGAATACTAAGACCCTTACCCATTATATCAGAAAAGCCTTTTTTAAGTATTATACTCATTAGAGCAACCAAGATTGCTGCAAACAATGTAAGAAACAGCCAGTCCCAGAGCAAATGAGCTAGCCAGAATGTTGCCATATTAATCCCCTGCACTTTTTGCAATAGCTTAAATCCAAGAATGCGTTCTCTTACTATATAAGAAAAGAAAAATCCACTGAAAATACTTAAAGCTAAAAGTAATAAATATAGAAAATCACTCTCCAAACACTCTGCTTTATATGCTGTAGAGTTTTTGTTATCTTGCAGTGATGGGTATGGATGATTGTAAAATTCTATTTTTCCTTTGGGAATAGGTGGGTCCAGGTTAAGATTTAGACAAAATTTATCCAGTAACTTGCTAAAAAAAACAAACCAATTTAATAACTAATAAATTGATTATTGGAGTATTTACTTGTATGCCAAAAATGCTACCATTGCAGCTGCAACTCCCTCCGAATGTATCCATTTACGGCTATAAAATGTTTCATACTTGCAAAATCTCATCCTAATAGCATAGATATGTTTCTCATTTTGGACTGTCCGAAGCATTAACTCTGCGTCGGTTATGTATTCTACTTTGCAACCTTTGGGTCTATTTGTCTGGTATACAAGCTCAATCAGAGGATGATCGTAGCCTGTGTTTGTTACTATAGCATAAAAACACGGGGGGTCATATGAATCCAAATCCAATTTCATTTTGTCTTGCTTCACCCATTTCCTCTGACCCATATTATGGTACTTAGGTACGTGAGGATCCTTATTATAAAAATAATAAGCCAGTAAGCCTGCAAAGGCCATAGATAGTAACAGGGGTAGGAGAAAGAACAATAAGCAATTGTGCTTGATGTGAAATAACTTTTTCAGTGTCATCGCTTTCCACTGATTACAGCATAGTCTCCATCCCCTCAACAAACATCCAACTGGTTGAGATACTCTACACACATTAGTGCATCTAGAACTTATACCAACGCAACCAGTAATTGTACTGGCGTTCACATATTTCTCTACTATGGGAGTTGTCCCGATCTGAAGGGTATTTATGTTTACGCACTGAACAGGTCTCTCTAGAGCATGCAGCAAAGGCACAATTCCACAGCAGCTGGATTGCGGAATATTATATGACATTTCGCAGTCCTTGTCACAGGAGACTACAGTGTCGGGAACATATTTCGAAATTAATGAAGTTATCCGTGGTTGTTGATATATAACGCCCTGAGAGCAGATCTAAAAACAATCAAAGAAGTTGAATAAAAATAGAATTACAATCTACAATCTTCATTTTTACCAATTGATATCCCGATCCGTAGCAATTTTTCAAAAACACAGAGGATCCATTGAATATCAATTGCCCATCGCATAGAATGCCCACTCGATCGGCCAGAGTATCGGCCTCGTCTATATGGTAAGTGGCTACAATTATGGTGCGACATCGCTTCTCGGCCTGCAGCAAGTTCCAGACCAATCTCCGTTCACAGGGCTCCAGGCCCTCGGTGGGCTCGTCGAGCAGAATAATGCGGGGATTCCCGGCAAAGGCATTGGCCACCGCCAGCTTCTTTTTGTCCGCCCGAGATAAGCTGCGACTTTTCACGTTCCTAACGTTCCAGAGATCCAAGGCCCTTAAATAACTCTCCATTGGTGTTGAGCGACGCCTTAAATTGAATCTCCAAGCGCTCCTCCGCAAGGAGGTATAAAAGTTTGTATGCTGCCGTACCGTCATATTAGGGAATAAGGCATTATGCTGGGGAGCTAGCCCCAATGTAGATCTATTCAGGCTACTCCAAGTATCCATATTATCTATTTTCACAGATCCGATATCCGGGGAGTGGCTGCGGGAGAGTAAATTTACAGCCGACGATTTGCCGGAATCGGAAGGACCCAATAGGACTGTTATCTGATCGTCGTACATGTTCATGTTGAAATTCCTGAGCGGTCTCTTCCACGGTCGCCTCCATTCCCATTTTGCCAAATTATTAGCCCGAACAACCATAGAGGTGTCGTCGACCTCCGGTCGCCCAACTGGAAGTCTGTTGCGGCAGATCGAGATTCCATACCTTCCCGGACAAATCAGCTCAGCCACAAAAGCAATTATTAAACTAATTATTGCTACCATGATCATTATTCCCAAAATTTCACCAATGTTAACAGGTGAATCCTCTTTACTTAAGCTCTTTACTTTACTTAAGCTTGGCAAGCTAGGATTTTTATAAGCACTCATATGCTCCCACTGCAGCCCTGTATTATCATGATATTCTAAGTAAAGTATTTGTTTTATGATTGTTAGAAAACCATAATGAAATAATATACAGAGGGATAATATTGTCTTACGAAGAATCGCAAAAAGCAAAAATGCTAGAATACAAAAGAAAGCCACTATTAATGCAGCCAATTTGACATTATTAACTAAACTATAAACTAAGAAACAGAAGCAAATGCCACAAAAGGACCATATCAAGAAGACAAAAAGTAAAGCCGTGAAATCTGTGCAGTTTAAGACATTTCCATTGTCGCAGAATGGCGCCTAAAAAAGAAGAAAATATAAAAATTAATACTTTCGTTTAACAGAATGTTTTCCTTAAACTCATCATTTTCAAGTAAATTCTTACCTTAAGAAAAAATGTAGTCATTAAACTTATAAAAGATAATATAAGAAAACTAGTTATAAACCAAGATATATAGTGAAGAAGCCGATTTGACCCAGCAATATTCATTAAATCCACCTGCTGTCTTGTCTTTTCCCTCATCATGTGCTTAAAAAAGTATTATATTAAATTATTAACAGTTGTGTGCATATATTTCGACATTTTTAACTCACCATAACTAAACGGATAAAAGGATAAATGTATAAAAGGCCAAGGTAAAAAATTAAAATAAATTCTCGCTTCCATTTAATTGGATCCCTATTATTGAGATTGAAATCTATAGTTCTGTTATCTACTTTTCCATCATACTCAATAAATGGTTGTGAATCGAGAGTTACGCCACTATCCGGAACCTGAGCGGATTTAGCCAAGTCTGGTTGAATGAGATAAGCGGTAATCGCATTCATTATGTGCAAGAATCCTTCATCGCGGTAATAGGATGTTGGAAGATTCGAAGATCTTTTTCTTTTATCAGTTTCCCAAAGATTAGGGGGCCAAGTTCGAAGGGCACTGGGAAATCGAATGGTTACTTTAGTGTTAGGTCCCTGAGCCTTCCAAATTACGCCGCCCAAATAGTTGCCATTAACTAGATGTTTGGTCATATCACCCTCCTTCTTAATTTTAATCACACCATTGAGTTTCAATATATTTGTCAATGCTGGTATAAGTGAATCTGCCACATCATCTTTATTTGTGTGAAATAAAAGTTTCTTAACTGGAGGTGGCTTGTCGATATTTCCCAGGGAATTACTTTAGAAAAATAAAGTTGTTAAATTTGTTCGAACTAATTGATTTTCTCAATTACTTACTATAGACTATTGAGCGTCGCATTATCTCCAAGCGTCCCATCATCGCGCGCAAAACACAGTTTGTTATTTTCAGAAGCTCCTCTGCATCGAATAGCCACTAAGTGCATCATTAACAATGGCAAAGCTAGATAAATAAGTATCTCCAGTCTTGTATATGAGATTAAGTTTTTGGCTAGTAGCACAAACATTTTAAGAATTAAGCTTAAATTTGAACATCAAGTAAATCCTACAACAAAACTTTCAATATAAGCATACTTCTCACCACCTACTCAGGAAGTATTCTTTACGAATCTGTGCCTAGAGAGTTTTTCAGGAAATGGCCACTTATTTAAATATATTCTCCAGCTTAAGACGACGACGATTCCGGCCTGGTTCCTAAAATAACACACAAAATAAGTTAGTAACAATTTCCATACTTCAAAACTCATTGAACATAGTTTACTTTATCCAAAGAATTTATTTATATTCTATATTAATCGAATATTTTGTTGTTATTAAGTGTACCAGTTACAAAAATTAACGCCTGCCCGAGGCACGGCCCCTTCCGCGACCCCGTGGTCCGCCGCGTCCACGTGCACCTCTTCCCCTGCCGCGATTGCCAACGCGACCGCTGTCCTTCTTTTTTGTCTTTGATTTGGGAGTGTCATCGATCAATAGCGTCTCCAGCGGCAGGCTGTCTGGCAGTATAAAGTATCTGATGTTGTTGCCGCGAATGCTCAGCGTCTCCAGGTGGACGGGATCACGGTTCTTGATGGTCATCCGGACGCTCTTCAGGTGGGTGTTCATGGCCACATCCACGCCGGTAATAGTGCCGTGTATTTGGGTGCCATTCTTTAGCTCAATAGTCACAGTCTCATGACTTAACTTCATAAGGAATCTAAAAGAACAATATGAGCACTCATTAGCTTTTGCTAGGCATTCGTCAAATCTAACAAATGTGAAAATGCATATATATATGATTTAGATACTATGACTTTAATCATTAAAACTTGTTATTAACATAAAAATTTGCAACTTTAATTAATATAAATTTCATCCATTGAATTCTGTGTACAAATACAACAAAATTGCATAGCATCGCGTCTTACATGCGTACATGTGTACATTTTGCACAACCCGCTTGAATTGTTCAAAAACCCCAAATGCATAGTTTCTGACAGAATTGTCATTGCAGTAATGGATTGTGGATTAGCTTACCTCACTAATTTCATGATTTTATCTGTTTTTCAATGGTTTTCTGCAAAAATAAAGCGCACAAACAATGCCGGCTAGTTTACTTTGGATTTTGGTGGTTAAGTGTTGTACATCGTATGTCAAGATAGCAGCACCACGACAATCGTGAAAATTTCGGTATTTCTTAAAATGCAAATAACAATAAAGTGACTTAATCGGACTGAGTATATTTAACAAAATTTAAGCCAACATTATACATTTTTGATTAAATTAATGTAAAATAAATTTTAAAAAAATTCCTGTATTTTGCAACTTATTACAGATATATTTAAATCAATTTTACTTATACACAAATTTTATTTATACAAATATTTTATTAATACGACAAATTATTTCTTTTATATTTTTTAAGTCAAATTTTTTAATGATTTTATTTAAAAATTAATACATGACATACCGTTCGGATTCCAACGTTCCCAATAACCTATTTGCGGCGAGCCAGGGTACATATTCGACTAGTTTATCGATAGCGCCGCATGTCGCAAAAAAACATATAAAGAAAAATAACGATTAATGAATACTTGTTCGCGGCCGTCTACTAAATGGTTTTTTTAAAAACACATTTTACGGTGTTTTTTTAGTAGCCGCGACACCAATTGTATAAAGAAATACGTTTTTTACCAACGCAAACAACGAATATAATTTTTGACATATGTATTTATCCGGCTCGGAGTGAGAATTAGCAAGCCATGGCGTTACTCTGCCGACGCATGTCGACGCTATTAATTATAATCCTTGCATATATCTTCCTTGGCACGATATGTGTGCAGGGATCTTTGAAACGAGGTAAAACCCCAAATAAAAGTCTCGCGAATTTTACAGTTAAACTAAGGCGAAAAAATTCATTTCACATATGTACATATATACATACATACAGCAAGAACGTTTAGTGGGTGTCAACAAATTGCAGTGTTTTTTTTGTTTTTGCAATTGTGAATGAATGTTTTACGATTATCCCAGTCAAGTTTAATTAGTTACCGGCCGTAAAACTTACCGAGGCATAGCTCTGTAGATACAGCGGCACTTGAACTATGTCGGTAACGCCCAAAGATTACGGGGCAATGGGGTGAGATTTCAATTGGGGACTAAACAAAGTAGTCGAGCATATGTACACACTTCCTGATGCACATACATACAGACTTGGTTAAGTCTGTGAGACCGTATGTACATAAATGTATGTAAGCCAGTTCTTGCACTCCCGTTTATCTGAAACAGATATTTGGAATTGTATTATACAATGGAATACATACGTGTTGATTCCAAAATAACGTATTCGATAATGAGGTTTTTTATGTCCGATGTGGGAGGGGGTTGGAATATTTTCTTGGGTCGTCTGGCTAATGAAAATTCTTTGACCGCCCAAAACCCCCCTCATAAAGGGGACTTTTATCTGTGGAAACAGATTAGCAATGTGCAGTTTTAAAAAAATGTTTAAGCTTTATTAATCACTAAAATTATGTGGAACTTCTAAAGAGATTATCTCAACAGGAAAACGAATGTGAAAGTACTTTCTGACTTCTAGTGTTTTTCAAAAATATTTTAATTATTTACATTTGCAGAATGGGCTGAGATAGGAAAAAACCTATCCTTAGAATGTGCCTCTGAAAACGAAGCAGCAGTGTGGACATTAGGAAACCAGACTATTGATAAAAACAATACAAGGTAATAAACATATCTTTATTTTTCTCTTTAAAAAGCAACATTTCATAATAACCACTCCCTTTTACTTCTACCAGATTCGAGCTGAGGACTGATCCCCTTAATCCCAATGAAGGTGTTAGTGAAACCAACGAAAGTCCCGATTTTATCAAGTATAAAAATGTTCTGACGCTCCGCCATATTAATATTAAGGACTCTGGAAAATACACCTGCACATCCCCTTCGGGGCAAAACCATTCGACTGAATTTCACGTAGAGCCATACCTTCCCGCCAAGGTTTTGCAAAGTACCGCCGACAGGATAAAGCGAAAGGTCGGCCAGGGTGTAGTGTTGCATTGCCTGATTGAAATGTATCCGCAAAATGAGACGACAAGCAAGCACATGAAGTGGCTCAAGGACGGAAGCCCCTTTGAGTTTCTGGACACCTTCTCGTCCATTGCCAAGCTGAACGATACGCATTTAAACTTTACTTTGGAATTTACGGAAGTCTACAAAAAGGAGAACGGAACGTACAAGTGCACTGTCTTCGACGACATCGGGCTAGAGGCTGCCTTTAAGGAGATAACCCTTTATGTTATGGAAGAGCCGCAAGTTAGCATTGATTTCGCTAAGGCTGTGGGTGCCAATAAGATATATCTAAACTGGACAGTCAATGACGGCAACGATCCGGTGCAGATGTTCTTCATTACTTTCCAGGAGGCGGGCACACCGACCTTTTTGTATTATAAAGATATCATTAATGGCAACCAAACATCGTATATATTGGATAATTTTAAACCAAACACCACGTACTTCTTAAGAATTTCGGGAAAGAATTCAATTGGCAATGGCCAGACCACGCAGTATCATCTGGAGGTCAATACGCTCAGTTTTGATCCCATTTTTATACCGAAAGTCGAGACCACCGGAAGCACTGCGTCTACGATAACTATTGGATGGGATCCGCCGCCTCCGAACCTAATCGAATATATTCAATACTACGAACTGGTTGTCTCCGAATCAAACAAGACGATTGAGGAGGCTATTTACCAGCAGAACTCCCGAAACTTGCCGTACATGTTTGACAAGCTGAAGACAGCAACGGACTACGAATTTAAGGTAAGGGCATGCAGTGACCTAACGAAAACCTGCGGCCCTTGGTCAGAGATTGTCAATGGCACCACCATGGACGGCGTAGCAACAAAGCCAACGAATCTGACGATCCACTGCCTCCACGACAATGTAACGAGAAGCAACTCCATCTCCATTAACTGGGACGTACCAAAAACGCCGAACGGCAAGGTAGTTTCCTACCTAATTCACCTTCTGGGCAATCCCATGAGTACGGTGGACCGCGAAATGTGGGGTCCCAAAATTAGACGAATCGACGAGCCGCATCACAAGACGCTGTACGAAAGCGTTAGCCCCAACACGAACTACACAGTCACAGTGTCGGCCATAACGCGTCACAAGAAGAACGGCGAACCGGCAGCCGGTAGTTGTCGGATGCCCGTCTCAACGCCGGACACCATTGGCAGGACAATGTGGACAAAAGTTAACCTGGGCTCAAAGTACATACTGAAGTCGTATCTGCCGAAGATCAGTGAACGGAACGGACCAATATGCTGCTATAGACTGTATTTGGTTCGAATTAACAATGGCAACAATAATGAGCTGCCGGAGCCGGAGAAGCTGAATGTGGCCACATATCAGCAAGTGCACAGCGATAACATGACCAGAAGCAGTGCCTATATAGCGGAAATGATTAGTAGCAAGTACTTCCGACCGGAACTGTTTCTGGGCGATGAGGTGAGGTTCTCCGAGAACAATGAGATTATCAGGGAAAACGATGATATTTGCCGCAAATGTTTGGCCGGTACACCGTTCTTGAGGAAACCCGAGCCAGTACACAGACCTCCGCCACTGAGTTCACTGTCAAGTAATGTATTTCATTTACAAACTCTTCTTCAAATGATAATGATTTTACCTCACCACACAGATTCAGACTTGGAAGCCGTCGAGAGGGATAACAACTTAATCAAGGGTGCAAATTTAACAGAACATGCTCTAAAGATTCTAGAAAATAAACTAAGAGCTAGGAGAAATGCAGTGACCAACGAAGAGAATCCAGTTCTTAGCAGCTCCGTTAATCCAACAGTGCCCCTCTTGGACACCAGTCGCGATGTCTACGATGGCCAGATAGATATTAACTCCAACTACACTGGTTTCCTGGAGATAATTGGTAAGTTTCGACAACCCCGGAAATGAATACTAACTATGCTACAGTGTCCTTAATTTGTATAATGTATATATTTGTAATTAATAGTTCGAGATAGAGACAACGTACTGATGGCTTATAGCAAATATTTTGATGTAATCACACCGGCAACCGAGGCAGAACCCATTTCGTCCTTGGATAATATGGACTACTATCTGAACATAGGGATCAAGGTGGGAGGCATACTATTCGGTGTACTGCTCGTGATTATTGTGCTATGGGTTTTCCATCACAAAAAGTCTAAGAACGCCCTGCAGGGCGAAGATACACTGACGCTGAGAGATTCTCTGAGGTATTTATTCAAGCATTTCGCTATAGTTCCTTGTGATATATCACAATTTGTTTCATTTCTTTTAAGCAGGGCCTTCTTCGGTCGTCGGAGTCACAATCACAGTCATTTCATCACTTCGGGCAACCATAAGGGCTTCGATGCCGGGCCCATTCACAGATTAGATTTAGAGAACGCCTACAAGAGCCGCCACAAGGACACAGACTATGGGTTCCTGCGTGAATACGAGATGCTGCCGAACCGCTTCAGCGATCGAACAACTAAGAATAGCGATATGAAGGAGAACGCCTGCAAGAACAGGTATCCCGATATTAAGGCCTACGATCAAACGCGCGTCAAGTTGTCGCCCGTAAATGGACTGCAGACCGCCGACTATATTAATGCCAACTTCGTTATTGGCTACAAGGAGCGGAAGAAGTTTATCTGCGCCCAGGGTCCCATGGAGAGCACCATCGACGACTTTTGGCGCATGATTTGGGAACAACATTTGGAAATTATTGTGATGCTTACCAATTTGGAGGAATACAACAAGGCCAAGTGCGCCAAGTACTGGCCGGAGAAGGTATTCGATACCAAGCAGTTTGGTGATATTTTAGTGAAATTTGCACAAGAACGTAAGACTGGTGATTACATCGAACGAATCCTGAACGTCTCCAAGAACAAAGCCAACGCCGGCGAGGAGGAGGATCGCAGACAAATCACACAATACCACTATTTAACATGGAAGGACTTTATGGCACCAGAACATCCCAATGGCATCATCAAGTTCATACGTCAAATCAATTCCGTCTACTCCCTACAACGGGGGCCCATTCTGGTGCACTGCAGTGCCGGTGTCGGTCGAACCGGAACGTTGGTGGCACTAGATTCCCTTATCCAACAACTGGAGGAAGAAGACTCGGTGTCGATCTATAACACAGTGTGTGATTTACGGCACCAGCGTAATTTTTTAGTCCAATCTTTGGTGAGTAATGCTCATTACACTAAGCTGAGGCTTTATCATATAATAATATTCGAATTATCGTTTTGCAGAAACAATACATCTTCCTTTACCGCGCTTTATTGGATACTGGAACTTTTGGAAACACGGATATTGGCATTGAAACCATGTCATCGGCCATTGAATCTCTTAAGCGAAAACCTAACGAGGGTAAATGCAAGCTGGAATTGGAATTTGAGGTAAGCTTTTTGCTGATTTAAGTAAATTAGATTCTTACTCTTTACATTTACAGAAACTTTTGGCCACCACGGATGAGATAAGCAAATCGTGTTGTGTGGGAGAAACAGAGGAAAACAATATGAAGAACAGAAGTCAGGAGATTATTCCCTACGATCGTAATAGAGTAAGTAATTATATAGTTTACTTTAAATGGTTTTGTAGTAATCGTTGATAAAATCCTAGGTTATTTTGACTCCACTTCCACTTCGGGACAACTCAACGTACATCAATGCATCATTCATCGAGGGCTATGACAATAGTGACACCTTTATCATCGCTCAGGATCCTCTTGAGAACACCATCGGTGATTTCTGGAGAATGGTCTCGGAACAGAGTGTCACCACCCTGGTGATGATATCAGAGGTGAGTGTTGCTTATCTTATCTTATTGCTGTTGTCTACAATTTATTCATTTCACTTTGCAGATCGGGGACGGACCCAGGAAGTGTCCGCGCTATTGGGCCGATGATGAGGTTCAGTATGATCACATTCTCGTGAAATACGTGCACAGCGAGAGCTGTCCCTACTACACGCGACGGGAATTCTACGTTACGAATTGCAAAATAGATGATACGCTGAAGGTGACACAGTTTCAGTACAATGGCTGGCCGACGGTGGACGGCGAGGTTCCTGAAGTCTGTCGGGGCATTATAGAACTTGTGGATCAAGCCTACAACCATTACAAAAACAATAAAAATACTGGTTGTCGATCTCCACTCACGGTTCATTGCAGGTAAGTGATCTACTAGATTTTAAAACAAAATTTGACACTGATTTCAAATATTTTCCGTAATTAACAGCCTGGGAACTGATCGAAGTTCCATTTTCGTTGCCATGTGCATTTTAGTCCAGCATCTTAGACTGGAAAAATGCGTCGACATTTGTGCCACAACAAGGAAATTACGATCTCAGCGAACGGGACTTATCAACTCATACGTAAGACGATATATAATTTGAATATAATTTATTGAATTTGTAATTAAACTTCAACTGCTTCCAGGCACAATACGAGTTCCTACATCGCGCAATAATTAATTATTCAGACTTACATCACATAGCCGAGTCAACATCAGATTAAGTTTAGTTTATGTACATATATTTATATACATACATACGAGATATACATAATGCACGTGTTTTGAAGAAACATCAGTGTGCATCGTGTGTGCTATGGATAAATTATTTGTATATTTATAAAATCTTTTACTAAAGGTATTTACAAGGGCAAATTGTAATTTTTTTAACGAATTCGATTTGCCCGAAAACATAATATAATATACAATACAAATATAAATGTAGTGTATACGTATCGTATTGATAAAATTACCAAAGGAAAAAATAAGTAACATATTTTATAAGATACAATGTAATAAAAAACTGAGATTAAGAAATTGTACTTTTTGTGTGTGGCTTTATTTTATTGATGGAACATTTAAAAAATAAGAAAGGATGCTTACTTCAGGATTCCGGAGTTTGTATACCCTTGCAGTTTGTAGTTCGCTCAGAAACCGCATTTCAAATTGTTAAAAACTAACGAAATATGCATTAATTTTATTTCGAAAACGATTTCTGTGTAGTTTTTAATTGGGTTATAAGGAAGAATATTTGTATTATTTATTTTTCTTGTAATTTTTGTTTAACAATTTTATAATGTAAACCTTTTTTTTTAATTTTGCAATATAATATTTCTTATATATTAAGATTTTAATGCGAAGTCAAAATGTGTATATATGACTTTTTAGACATTTATATTTTTCGCCTAAGACCTAAAATGACCCTATTTTTCAAAGATCAATAACTAAACCTAGTTTTATTGGGTTAATCAATAAGTATACAAATTAAAACATTGAATTTTATAAATTTAAAAATAATATTAAATATATAATTTTTTCTTGCGAACACGGCTAGATCGGAAATTACTTTTTACTGCTTTGTAAACTCAGTTACTAAAAGAGTATAAGACTGAGGTATCGGATTAAAAAATCGGATTTTAATCTAATGGAATAATATCATTAAACCCCTACTCCAAATTTTTAAAGGACATGCAATTCTATGTACATGTATGCCCTTTTTACCACCTGTTCTGTGGCACATATATAGAAAATTTCCAACTCTGACTTAAAATATTTAAGAATTTCGGTTTTTAAGCTTTTATGTTTTAAAAAAAATTTTCTAGGATTTTACATTATACAAATTGTGTTTTTTATACATGTACATAAGGTGTTAACAATCCCATCATGTTTCATTTTCAACTGTTCCAAAATAATGGAAAATTCTGACAGAAAAATATAAATGTCTCACAATTTAAATTAAGTATTCTTTTATTAGAGTAGTAGCCGGATTAGTAAACATCCACAAAATTAATAAGAGAAATTTTAAATTTTGAAGCCTTATCATCATGGATGTTTTTATTCTTATCTCTTATAATCGATAGTATACCAAGCCCATTTTACCATCTCTAACGGGACCCATTGTTTACTATTATTTTTGGCCAAACAAGAGAAATTAAGCAAAAATGCCGCCGAGTAAGCTAGATAGTCTTTATCGGCGCATGCTGATAACCAGGTTCTTCGAAAAAGGATGGGGCAAGCCCGAAAATCTACGCAAGTAAGAAAATCTTATTAAAATGAAGAGAAAATCAACAAATGTGTACGGTTTTCATACAATCACTTTACGTAATACTCAATTAATTTTGTCCTAGTTTTGATTATTTATTCGGGTCTCCTAATTTATAAACAAACAGGCTTTTCATCGCACTGTGACTAGTAAACAAATGGAATATTTCGTGGTATTAATTAAAGGATATAGAGTCCTCTACGAAGATTTATTTATAAATGTCATGTTCAACCGGTGTCTTCTGTGATCAAAAGTCCTTGCACTTTGCACTCATAAACGTGAAGTTAATTTCACTATATACATTAACATATTAAAGAAGCTCAAGATACAGAGCAACATTACGGATTTATTTATGTAATAGGATTTATTATGCACTTTAATACATATTTTCTCATAATGCATGGTCGAACTAAAAACTTTTAAATAATCTTAAAAAAGTCCTTCTTGAATTTTATTCATTACTCGGATATACATAACCGGACTTTATTATCTTTGGACTTCAGGGTTTTATTTTGTTCTAACACATCATTTATTGTTTATTTAACTTTTATTTAATTTCAAGTTCTCTTATTTAGTTTTTAAGACTCTGAGGAGAGAGAAACGCGACTGATGGTTAATGGTTAAATGTTATGCGATTCTCTTGGGAATTTGAGATGCGTTTATGTTTCTAGATTTACGATTCCATTGTTAATTTACATTTCAGTTCCCTTTCCACCAGTGGACACTGGATATGACTGCAATTTTTATTCTCATGTACAGGTTAGTGGGAAGGAAGACGAGGAAAATACATATTAAACAAAATAAGATTGAAGAATCTATTTGCAATCACTGCGTATCCTGGAGCCCAAATAATACTTTTTATTTTTGAGATGATGTGGAAAATATCTCTGCAGTTCAATCGATAAAGATATTAAATTGTATTCCGTTTAAATCCAAATCAGCATCGCTTTTTGCCCATCTATGCAACAAAACTTTCATCATTTTATGCCATTTGCACATAAATCATATTCACATTAATTGTTTTTGTTCTACGACAACTATTTCAGAGTATTTCAGTTCCGAAAAATAATATCTAGTAGGGAATCATGTTTCAAGCTTGTGCCCCGCGATTATCCCGTGGAGATAACCAAAAAAGAAATCAGCGGCGAGAGCACCCTAATAGAAGGCCAGTTCCTGACCCCCCTTGAGTTGCACTTGCCCGGCGTTGTTCCAAAAGCATCACAACAAGCCCACTTTCAGCTCTTGATACCGAACAAGTGGAAGAGTGAGAAGCACAAGCCAGTATGCATTCACTTGGCCGGAACCGGTGATCATGTGAGTACGATTGAGCGATCATTGACCCGTTTCTTACATTGCAGTAATAAAATGTCTGTTTTACTTTCAATAGAGGCCGGACGCCAGGCGATCGGTCATAAGTCTACAAATTTGAGAAAAGTGGGTCCCTTAAATAGAGAAATCCTTTTCCGTTTTGCGTTGCCAATCTCATCATATTTGTCATTAGAACATTTGTTTCTTTGGTCAATTTATTTGTACCATTTATGGGACCAATTTAAAGTCATTCAATGAAAATTACATTTAGAAATTAAGCCTGGATTTTTGCCTCCCATCTTGAATTGTAATTTTTTTGGGTTCCACTGATTTGTGATTTATTATTTCGCAGTTTTTTTGGAGGCGAAGAAACTTTGTGGCGAAACCCCTGCTTAAAGCGGCCAATATAGGATCTATCATACTGGAAAATCCATTTTATGGACTGCGAAAACCCAACGACCAAACGTGAGTATATGAAAAGATAAATATATATTCGTATCCCCCTAACACAGATTTATATTTAGGCGATCTAATCTGCATAATGTCTCGGATATCTTTGTGATGGGTGGATGCCTCATTCTCGAATGCCTTGTGCTGTTGCATTGGTGTGAAAGGAATGGTTTCGGCCCTCTGGGTGTCACTGGACTGTCCATGGGGGGACACGTAAGTCTGAAGAAATACAAATATTAAATAAACTCATTAATTATCATACATATTACAGATGGCATCTTTGGCAGCCACCAATTGGCCAAAACCTTTGGTACTTGTGCCCTGCCTATCCTGGTCCACCGCCTCAGCAGTCTTTACAACTGTAAGTTTATTTAAAATAGGTTATTTATTAAAAAAAAAAAAAACCGCAATCTATTATTACCTAAGGGTGTCATGAGCCAATCCATCAACTGGGATATGTTAGAAACGCAGTATTTTTCCGATGGACAGTACCGAGAACGTCTCTCCAAAATGGTCACTGTGATAGACGATGCTTTTTCGGCCGGACAAAGTTTTATCAAGAACTTTAACCAGTCTCTGCACGAGCTGAAAGAAGACATTAGTGACACGAGAAAAATCCAAGAGCATGAGAGAAATACCAACACCTGTGGCGACATATATGAAACACAGGCCGCCAGCAGCTGCTCCCCAGATGCCGACAGTTCAATATTCTTAACCAAGTCACTGAAGAACTCCAAGCTCGACTCTGACAACCTAACCATAGATAATAGTAAACAGGACCTCAGTCAAAAGGTTGATGGCATCGACAAAGACGCCCTGCCTAAGGAGTCGACAAAATCAACGTTGACAAACTTGATGAAATTTATACTCCCGCTGTCGGCGCAGAACAAATCGGATAAGATAGACATAACCAAGACGAACTGGTGGGAGAGGGAGGCGTTGCAGTTCATGCGCGGCATGATGGATGAGTGCACCCACCTGAAAAACTTCTCTGTTCCGTTCGACACCTCGTTAATAATTGCGGTGTGTGCGAAGGATGATGCCTATGTGCCGCGAGAGGGCTGTTCCAGTCTCGAGGATATATGGCCCGGGGCAGAGGTGCGCTATTTGGATGCTGGTCATGTGAGCGCCTATGTTCTGCACCAGAAATTGTTTAGGTAAGGGATTATTCAACGATTATTTATGTAACTCAATTAAAATGGAGTACATTTTTAGATCCTGCATCATCGAGGCCTTTGACAGGGCCAAGGAAGTATATGGCAAGGACACGGGTGAAGACCTCAAATGTGATATTACCTATCAGCAATTGTTACAGAAATATGACAAAAATATTAGTTAGGACAATCAATTTAGGGAATTAAATAGTAAAACATAATAAATAATATGTTGCCATATAATGCTTGCTGGTTTTATTTGAACGTACTTATAAGATGATAAAATATAAACGTAAAAGTAAAGTTAATTTTGTAAATATAAATTATACATATGTGAAAATAAGTTTTATATTGAATTATTAATGAGAAATATATGAAAATATATATTTTATATATACATTTTTAAATAATTAATAAATACAAAAAATAAACGAAACAGTATGAACTAAATTTGAATTTAAGCTTTTTTCCAGTTTTGGCCATTTGAGAACTTTTTCCTTTTCAAGCTCTGGCCACACTGGTGTTTACATTTTGTTTAGTGACTGGAAATAAATAAAGAAATTAAATTAGCCAAAGCCTGTAACTACGTTATACTAAAATGGATCCAGTCGTATTAGTTTTGTCATATGGCAGCACTGTATCTCCATTGGAAATAGTCGAAAGTAATAATTATATGCCTAAGATTCAATCTTATTAGACTATGAAACACTAGGTTACGATTTTGTTAGGAGCTCTACGAAATCGTATAAGATTAAATTATCCCATATACAATTTTTTACTTGTCTCTATAGATATTTTATCAGAAATGGAACAACCCAAAGAATCAAATTCAACAGAATGTTCTTTGGAAAGCTACAAATGCGGCATTAAAACGAAGTACTATAACACCTCCATAAACTTAGTTCCATTTACTGGCAAATTGGAAATTGTTCCGGAGGATATCCTACAGGCAACGGAAGCGCTAATAATATACTTTGACCCAAAGGAGGTAAGTTTTATTTATATTTATAGGATATTTTTAATAATACCTTACTTTCAGACTTCGTTTATCGACACCATTCCGAATACATTATCCAAAAATGAGCAAATCCAGTTAGGTTTTCTTTTGACATCAAGTTCTACGGGTGGAGAAAGTGGCATATCCTTTGGGGAGCTCAAGGAGCGTACTAATTTCTTCTTCGACATAATTACGTTAAAGAAAAGCAATAACTCTGAAAGCGATTCAGATGAAGGGGAAAGGGAATACGAAGAAGTTGTGGAGGGATTAAAAAATGTCGTCTGGTCGAACGTTACAATGGGCTCTAAAGGTAGTACTTAAAAATTCATGCTTAATATTGACTCGACTAAGAATGTATACAATTTCAGACCACAAAGATGATATAAGTAATGATGAACTGGATAACCAACTGAAGGACTTTGAAAACTTACTGCTTACTGCGCAGAGTTTACGTAATGATACGAGTTTAACGCGAGAACAGTTCCTGGACAGAGCTGAGCAGTTTGCCGGCATAGTTTCCGCGATTTTAAATGACAATGATAGCGATTAATCATGATTTATCCTTATCCTTTTATTGCTATTAATAAAATATTCAAAACACAGCCCTTTTCCTTTATTTATAATCTCAAAATATTTTCAAATTCAAAGGGTTCTGTTAAATATATTTGGTTTTTATTATTAAAAGCGGTACATATTTTTGTTTGCCGAAATAACAAGGTATAAAACGTTGTTTATCTGCTAATGTATGCTTTGAGAGCAGCTTATGTATATTAAGGAATGAATAAATAAAGTGTGTTTTTTTTCTTGTTAACTTTCAATCATAAACATAAAGATTCCGTTGTGGGCAATGAACAAATAATATTTTCATGGTTTCGCATTTTTCTGGAATGACAGATAGATTAACTAAGCTGCCTGTGAATTTATATAAATTCTATACTGCACTTACCTCATCGGTGAAGTCCATGTCATCCTTAATCTGCTTGGATCGTCGCTTCTCGTTCGATGTCAGCAGCTGTGAGACCTTTGTTTGTTTGGCTAGATCGTAGGCTTCTTTTTTACTTCGCATTGCACAGTCTTCCAGAGTCTCGGCAGCCTCGAACATGCCCTGACGACGGTAGAGTGCCCCCAGATTCTTAAGAGTAGTTGTGACGGTAGGGGAGTCCACTTTAGCAGCCTTGTGCCATCCACCGTATTCGCCATATGGGGTATTCTCTCTATTGTCATATTTGTTCACCTCACGCTCTTCGGCCACCTGCCAAATTGGTTTGTTTTTGCTGTCGATGGCTCCGAACTCACGTTCGTGTGCGCGGGTCAGCACCTGTTTGTAGAGTATCTCCGCTTCGGTGTATCTGCCCTGCTTCAGATAGCAGCCAGCCAGATTATTCTTTGTCTTGGCCACGTTGGGATCGTCGGGACCCAGTTTCGATTCGTAGATGTCGAGTGCTCGCTGGTAATACTTCTCAACCTCGTCGTATTTGCCTTGATTCTGGCAGAGCAGGGCCAGATTGTTGAGCTGCTTAGCAACGTCGGGATGGTCCTTGCCCAAAACCTTCTCTCGAATCTCCAAGGCACGCTTGCAAAGGGGCTCAGCATCTTTGTACTTGCCACGTTTGCCATAGAGGACGGCCAAATTGTTCAAGGTGGCCGCTACGGCTGGATGGTTCTCGCCGAGAGTTTTTCCACGAATCGACAGAGCGTCGTTCAGTAAATTGGCGGCCTCCTTATACTTGTTCTGAAGTGGCATGAAGTGTTTTTAATTAATGAATGTATATATTAAGTTAATCAAGGCGAAGCACCATACCTGATCACGATACACAAGAGCCAGAATGTTGAGCATTGTTGCTACATCGGGATGGTCGTGGCCACTAGTCTTTTCGAGGTCTTCCAAGGCTTGTTTGCAGAGGGGAACGGCTACCTCGTACCTGTTGATGCATATAGAAATCATGTAGAAATAATAATAATAAGGCCAAGCTCAAGGTAGAATGTAATCTAATATATTATAATGTTCTTTTTACGGCTAAACTTATATTTAAGGTTCTAACTCACCTGCCCTGCGATGCATACTGAATAACCAAGTTGTGCAGTGTTCGCAGACGTGCTGGAATCTCGTAGCCGGAAGTCTGATTGGCAAACTGGCTTGGTGGAGTGGGAGACATGTTGTTTCTGTCATCGTTCTCCTCGTCCGGAAAGAGCTCCACCACCGGATCGGTGCGAGATTTCTCGCAGCTGTCGTCCTGGTCCTGATTATCGTCGTACTTCTTTACCGAGGCCATGAACTCCAAATGCTTCTTCTCCTCCTCAAGCTGGGCGACGAGCTGTTCCGAAGCCTGGAACTTCTGCTGTGTGTTGGCCAGTTCGTCGCGCAGCCAGGCATTCTCTTGATGCAGGCGACGTACCTGTGTCTTTAACTTTTGCTTCTCGGCCTCGATACTCTGCATATGGGATGTCAGAGCCATCATTACCTGGGCCTCACTCAGGCCCAGTTCGATGTTCTCTATATTCTTCCGCAGCATGTCCGACTTCTCGTTGTCCTTCTGGACTTCGGCAATGCCGTTCATAATCGAAACATGTTCCACTCGCAAGGCTTCGAGGCCTTGGAGGACTGTTTTCGTATTGGTTATTATTTCGTCCTGAGACATTTGCGTCATTTTGCCGATTTTCTCGATTTTTTGCCTGTAAGAAATGACACACAAAATTGCTATAAGTACATACTTGCCAAGGAACCTTTACCATTTTTTCTGTAGGAATGTTAATGATATCATAATGAGAGTGTAAAGACTTATTAATAAATGTGTTTTACAGCCTGTATGATTTAATAGCTTTGGAGACAATCATTTTAACCGTGTATAAAATGATTCAAGCAGCGTTAATCAATACGATGAAAAAGGAGAACGGTCATTGCGCATGTTCGTACATGCCAAAAAGTGGGGGTTAATAATCGAAAACAAATAGTATATTCGATTTTTTGCAATAAATAAATGATATAAATCATTAATAAAGACACATCAAATTGTTATTTTAAACAATTAAAATATTATGAGTTATTGTGAGTCAAATGGAAGCTATCAAACTTTCTTATAAGATTGTGCAACTTTTATTGGGATAAATCAGGAAGTTTAACATATACATTCGATAAATATCGAATATATCCTTGAAAATCTGAGATTTATATTTGTCAACATTGCCGGTCAAATTTACATAAACATAAGATGTTATTGAAAAGTATGAACCAAGTTGTTTGTACTTTATATATCTATACATATGTATGCATGAGGGAAAGTTAATATAACTTTTCCGTGTATAGTATGTACATAAAAAAGTAATCGTAAAAATAGTGCTTACATCAACAGCAAATAATAAATATACGCGAAGGTCGAAGCTTTTAATACTCTACAGATTAAATAATTATATATTTGTGTATGCATATATAGAAACTTCCAACTAGATGTAGTAATTAATATGTACATAGACTAAGCCATTATATTAGCCTTCCGTCACGCACCTTTCGAATTGGAAAACTGGATTGCGTAAAAAGGAATGGCAAAGTCGGATAAGACCGATGATTTACTTGATTCCTTATCAAGATCAGAAAACAGTTTTCAGCTGGGGAAGACTAAAAGCAATGCATACCAGAAATATTAGTACAAATTGCAACAACACCCTCAGCTAGATCAACAGCAGTGTATGAAAAGAGTGAGTCATTTTATGTACATTAAAAGCAAACCCATAACACATAAACATAGAGTTTGGTGCACCTGGCATTCGATTATACTTCCGGAGCACAACAAAAATCGAAGAGTATTCGTTCGAAATCTGTGTTTATTATTGCCAACTCCTCTGGGGGTTTATTTACGATTGCAAAATGGATCATATTTTCCAGCACAAACTTTTCTTCAAGTGGCGCATATTAAAGTAGATATATGTATGTATTTACTTGCAACATACACACATACGCACATGTACTGTACGTTCAATTGTATGAGTGACTAGAATTTTGCTCACAAAGCTCAGGTGCAACTTCTTATATATTATATATTTGTATAAGGTTATCGTTATGTCGGCCTTTTATAAACTATATTACGTTTGAGGTGTTTTGCAAAGTTTCCAGCAAGCAACGATTGTGATAAAAAATAACTTACACTTCTAAAATAAAACCAAGAGTGTGGCCAGGCGTGGGATCTGCATCGCAATTTGGTATATTCCATTTCGTTCCATTTCGACGATAGCTCATCGACGATAATTTAGGGAACTGCCACATTACCGCAGAGCAATCGAAGGAATAGAAACACCCACAAAATTTAGAATTTAATAAATGTCTTTAATTTTTTATTTATTAGGTAATTAAGTTTTTGAGCAAATCGCATAACAGGGATCTAACCTCGAGGTCGGCTCCATAAAAAATAGGGCATTCAAAATTGTAAGGCTTATAACTTCGATTTACGAACGCGTGCACATATGTGCGGTATATAGGCTTACTAGGAGAAGATTAACAAATATTAAGTGACAATTTCAATTGTTTTAAACTGTCAGATTTCGAGAAAATCGAATAACAGTGAGAGGTGTATTTTGGCTAATAGTTAAGGCGCGAACTATGAAAATGGAACTAGATGGAACCAGAAGAGAACCAATCGCTGAACCAGACCATGGAACCATGTTAAGAAAAATACTAAATTAAATAAAAATTTTAAAAAATAAACAATCGTATGAAATATGCATGCCCCATGAATGGAATTGACATTCCAAGCGTTTTGTTAGTTGTTTTATTAAAATCCGTTCAGTCGTTCATGAGAAAACCCCACTTTTGCATTTATTTTCATAAATGTTCCAACGAAGAATAAATATATCTGGCAGCACTGCCTGCCTAAAATGAAGTCAATTTGATTTAAACTTTATTATAAAACTAATGCAAACTGAAGATCGTGCCCTTAACGGGGTCGCAATTCTGAACATTTTGATCCACGTTTCGTCAAAATCCGTTCAGCCGTTCATAAGAAATCCCGACTTTTTCATTTATTGCCGTAAATGTACATATGTATGTGTGTATGTTCGACGAAGAATATTAAATAAAAGAATGTGATTTAAACTTAATGGTAGGACGTATGAATGTATCCAAATGGAATAATACTATAACTAGTTTATAAAAGACTAATTGCAAAGTTTTATTTAGATAGCTTTAAATATGAGGGTTTAGTTTGCTTATAATTAAAGAGACAGACAGACAGATGGACATGGCTAGATAGACTCGGCTGTTGATGCTGATCAAGAATATATATCTTTATAGGGTCGGAAATAATTTATTCAATTTTTGACCTGAAATCATATTACAAAGCAAGGGCATTGAAGCGCTAGATTTGAGAAGCAAATTTTCGAAATAACATTTAATAGTCTGCCCAATAAATGATATCGTTATTCTTAGCAATTTGGTAGGTGTTACATCGAAATCCGTTCAGTCGTTTTGGAGAAATTAACATTTGAATTACTAATTTATATACTAATGAGGCATGACTATGCACCCCTGGTACCCCACTGCTAGTCGGGATTTCTCATTAACGACTGAACGGACTTTGATGAAACATACACCAAAATGTTCAAAACTGCGATGCCGTCTATAGAACAGTCTTCCTTTTGCATAGGTTTAAACATAAAGTTTAAATCAAGTTTTCTTGTTTTTAGGCAGGCAGGGCTGCCGGATATATTTATTCTTCGCTGGCACATAAATGGAAATAAATGAACAAGTCGGGATTTCTTATGAACGACTGAACGGATTTTAATAAAACAACTAACAAAACGCTTGGAATGTCAATTCCATTCATGGGGCATGCATATTTCATACGATTATTTATTTTTTAAAATTTTTATTTAATTTAGTATTTTTCTTAACATGGTTCCATGGTCTGGTTCATCGAGTGGTTCTCTGCTGGTTCCATCTAGTTCCATTTTCATAGTTCGCGCCTTAACTATTAGCCAAAATACACCTCTCACTGTTATTCGATTTTCTCGAAATCTGACAGTTTAAAACAATTGCAATTTTCACTAAATATTCGTTAATCTTCTCCTAGTAAGCCTATATAACGTACACACCGTTATAAGCCTTACAATTTTGAATGCCCTATTTTGTATGGAGTCGACCCCGAGGTTAAAGCACTGTTTTTCGATTTGCTCAAAAACTTACGGTTCGAAGAAATTGAAACTTGGTAGGGTAAAACTTCAATAAATGTCCTTCATTTTGGCGTATCCGGTATTGCTGCATGCGAGTGATTAGCCGAGATATTAAGAAATCCGTGAAAACACGATTTTTCACATGCAAACCCAGTGAAAAACAATAGTAAATTAATTTTTTAGGATTTAGAATCTTTGTTTTATTCGAATTAGTGTCCTAATTTCGAAATAAATTTTAAATCAAAGATCTCCTCCATGTACCATTTTCCCACCGTTCCATTTCGACGCTAACTCATTGACGCTAATTTGACGGACATATTTAATAAAAAGAATAATGTAAAATAAAGTAAGTGTTTTTAATTTAAAGGCATGAGCATTGCATTAAGTGCATATATTATACAAACAAAGTTATATAGAAGAATTTCCCGTATTCTAATAATCGAAAGAAACTTAACTGCAGTTTGAACTACATAGACTGCCAAGACAAAAAAGTTAAGACTTATGTTTATTTTGATAGTTTTGGGTTTTTATATAAAAAAGGACTTCTTAATTAATTTCCACTTATTTTAATGCAAAATTATTGGCTTAATGAATTTATAATTAATAAATTTTGTTTGTTTGGTTCATTTATTTATTTGCTAGCTAGTATTATTAAATGCATATGAATATTCGCGAGGTGGCATATTTTTGCATTCGAAATACGGTCGCACAATTTGTAATTTTTAAGACTTTTTAGAAGTCTTTAATTTTGTTCTATATTTTTAATTTTTTACCGTATATAAACTGAACAAAAGAGTATGCCACCCCCAAGACCGAAGGGGATAGGATTTAATACAGGAGTTCAAACAGGAGCGAGATCAAACTCAAATACGCCCATGTCGGAGAGGCAACAAATGGCTTTACTAATCCAAATGACTGCTACATCTTCGACAGGTAAATATACAAACAAAATTGTACATCAAAACATTATATTTATTGCGTTTATAAGCTGGTTAGTTCACCTTGCAGTGCAAATAGTTCGATTCGTGTTTTTTAGACCTGACCTGCGAATTATCTCGCGGGAACTCGGCTGCAAACATATGTATGTACAGTGTGCATACATTCTACATATGTATGTATGTAGCTATGTACATACATAAATGTATCTGATACTCGCGACGCATGTAAAACAGGAATAAAGTAAAGTTAAGGCATCTCTTGGATAATATTTGGAAAAACCGGTTTTGTCATTGAAATAATTAACAAATGAACTAATAAACTTCTATATAAATTATTGCAAAACATTATTATTAGCTCGGAGTGACCTGGCAAAAGAAAATTTGCATTTTCAGGAACTTTGCAAAAATACAAAAAAGAACAAAACAGCTTTAACAGTATATGCGAATAAATTACATAGTTTCTTTCCTATATATGTATTCTCCTAATCACACTTTTCAATCTCATGATTCACTCAGCTGTCAAATGTTTTTTGATAAGATCTTTGTTCTTCCAGATTCATCTCGCACCAATTTAAAGAAGAATGAATGCAAGAAGGGAGACGCCGAGAGCGACGAGAGCAACTTGAATGAGAAGCAAGAGGTCCTGGACACAAAAGACAAAAGTTCCGCAGAGGAAAGCAGCAGCGATGGTAAAAACAGCGATTCGGCGCATCAGGGTAGCTCAGGAGCCAAGCGCTGTTACTCAGACATAGAGGAGGACTACGAGGAATCAGGCGAGGACGTGAAGAAAAAGAAGCGCAAGGATTCGGAGCATGGCAAGGACTTGAAGGGCGCATCCCTGAAGCTCTCATCCAGAGTGGAGAAGGGCTCCAAGCTAGCGGCAACCAAAGGCTCGCCGTTGGGCAACAAAAGCAGTGCGGCATCCAATGCCGATAAGGAACAGGTGGAGATTAGCAAGAATGTGGACATCGAGAACGAAACCGAGTGCAGCGATGATTACAAGAGTAACGATAGCCTATACAACGGTGGACTCAAGGTGCCACCTCTGAAGATTGTGATTCCGCAACAGAACTGCTCCATCGACACTGAAGGCAATGTACTGAGAACCGGCAAGGTGACAGCCTCTCGCAATGCGGCCCTGCCGTACGTGGTCAGCTCCAACAGCGACTCTATCGACACGGTTATAACCAGCCAGTCCATCAGCCCGCACGAGAGCCCACAGAAGAGCAGCATTTGCTCCACAGTTCTGGACGACAAGAATATAAAGCTCTTCAATGACGAGAAGAACCTGAGGGTTCTGCGGAGTTCTCATCGCACCGGTGTCACGAGTGTGGAGCGCAGCTCTAATAACTCATCCCCTCAGATGCAGAGCAGCTCTCCATCGCCGGCGTCATCGAATCATGCCAATGACACGGCGGATGTGAAGCTATCCTACAGCAACATGACGTCTAGTCCCATACCGCAAGGCCATCAATTTGACCAGGAGACAATCACCAATGTTCCGAGCCCCTCCACATCGTCAACCTCTTCGTCGAAGGAAATAAATCCCTCGTCGAACGTGGACTTGCATCCGCGCAAACGAAAGATACGGCCCAAGAACACGGATGACAGTTCCAAGAACTCGAATGCCAACATGGATTCGGGAGCAAATTCTGAGGAATCTCATCCCCACGATCATCCCTTCACCAACGGTTTCCAGATGTTCTTGAGCATCCGTCGCCAGATCGAGAAGAAATGGAAGAGCCTGTATCCCATCAAGCCGAGACCTCCGCAGGGATACAACGATTATCTGCTTACAAAGAAATCGTACTTATTGAGCCGCAATTCGCAATGTCCGGCTGTGGATGTTCCCAGCACTGTGCCGCAGGCCATGACGCGAATTTATGAGGATCAGGAGAAGGCTAGGCGAGATTTAATCCAAGCGCACACAGTGGAACGAGAAAAGCTCTGCATGAATGTGGAGCAGGAGATTATTCGGGTCCATTCGAAGGCGGCCAGGAGTATATCTGGCCAGTCGGCACCGTATTCCGTGTGTACATACCTAAAGGACGACGAGGTCTACAACCTGTTCACGCCGGAGCAGGATGAAAAGGAGAAGAGTGCACGGTGTCGCTTTAATGGCCGATTGCTACTCAGCTGGCTACAAGATGTCGACGATAAGTGGGAGAAAATCAAGGTTAGTTGCGCTTATTTACAAGTGTTTTTTGAAGGATAAAACTGATCGATGTAACTTTTGCTTTTTCCTAGGAATCAATGGTGCTGCGTCACCACAACGAGGCCGAAAGTCTGCATGCCGTTCAAGTCATGGACTGGAATATATTCGCGAAACGAAATAGACTTTGTGACAATCCGATTGAAGTGAATTTGGAGCATGTACCAATAGTTTCAGTTGGCGACGATTTTGATACATTACCGACATAACTGCGAGATTGAGAAAATAAAGTTAAATTGTTACAAAATTAAAGAAACACAAATGTTTTCCTCCAGTATCTAACGGTTGCGTAGTGAGTTAACTCGCCCATATTTAAATTAAATTAAAATTCATGAATTTCAATTGGAAAATTTTGTAATTATAATAGTTAACATTTATTCGTATTTACAACTTGCTCATCGTGCGTTCAAGTTGTCAACAATATTTCTGGCATAGTTAACGATGTCCTGCAAATACAAAAAGATAAAAGAACATTAATTTTGTATCACTTACAAAACACTTTTTAAATCCTACCTCGCAGTTTTCCGTCTGTTTGTTTTTGGAGATAATTTGCTGGAGTATAGACAATATTTCTTTGCGTTTTTCTGTTGATAGTTTCAGTTCTGATTCCAGAGACAGAGACGAAAGTGCGAACAGAGTAGTTTCTTGCTTCACATCAAACTCTTTAACGAGCTTCAGATTCTCCAAGAGCACAGGGAATACTTCTGCTTTGACGAAGTCATCTGGAAGAAGTTGAAGGTATAGTTTTATGATTTACTTACATATTTTAAATAAATATCTACCTCTGGCATCTTTGTCGCGAGATGATAGCGAAGCTATAAGAAAAGCTGCCTTTATGTAGACATTAGAATTAGGGGACTTTAAGCAAGGTACCAAGGCTTTGATACCATTTATGTGCTTGAACTCTTTGTATCCCGGCGGAAAATTTCGTATAAGCGATGAAATCGCATATATGGAACTGCGTACAATATCTTCATTCGCTTCACTCAAGTTTTTGGTGAGTGCGGGCAGAAATTTCTCAGTTATGAGAGCATTCTGGCAAAACGTATTATTTTGTGCCATTTCAGCAACCGTATTGAGTGCCGATACTCTTATTTCACTTTCCGAATCCTTTACATAGCGAAGTAAGGTTGTGGTTCCTCCCAGCTTCACCAGGGAGTTGGCATTGTCGATGTCATCAATGTGGCTCCTTATAACGTCAAAACTTTCCAATTTGTCGTCTGCGGTGGCTTCGTCACTATTTAAAATAACCAAAGCTGCTTTCAGAGCTGTCGCGGCATCGGTTGTCATTGCACTCAAGACATTTTCCAAAAATTGATTTTTCTAGAAGATAAAAATAGCCCTATATTATATTATATATTCAAAAAGTAATAAAAGAGTAAAATGTTACTTGTTTTAAACTGAATTTTCATAGGAAAAAGCACATGGGCAAATAAGTTCTAGATGCTTCGACTGATTCATTGCCATGCTCAAGATTACATATATTTTAGAATTTGTAGATTTCGGCTTTTGCACTCAATACTCTTTTACGTTACATTGGCATTTTTATTCGTACATAATACGTTTAAAAGTTCCCAAAGGTGTTTTGTTTACAAACCTCAACATCATCTGCTGCCTCGTTTGGCGTTTGCTCTGCATTTTGGTCCGTATTTTGCACCGTATATTTAAGCACATTCTACAATATATGAAAATGTAAATTGTTTCTTGAGTGAATAATTAATTGATTTCAATTACCTGCAAGCTTAGAGCTCCTCTTGGTGCGTTCGGATTCGCCATTTTCAATTATAATCAGATATGAGTGAAAACTCGAGTAATGTTGTTTTTATTTGACAACAATTAGAGATGGTATACCAAATCTATCACACAAAAACGATAAACGATAAAGTTGTCAGGCAAAAGGAATTAAGGAGTGTTTTTTCTTTTAATTTAAATGAACTAGACATAATCAATACAAAATTTGAAACACCTTTGGACAATAAATAATTAAATTTACGATTTTGGTTTTACTGGGAATAACCACCTGTTGGCCTTTTAAACCGATTCTTCGATAGACCGCGTTCCAATTCCGCGTTCCATTTTATGTTGCAGACGTGTAAATAGTCCCCAATCATATGTTTACAGTTGTGATCTCTGTGGAAAGTTGATAAAAACAAAAAATATTACAAATAGGATTAGCGTCGTTGGTAAATAAACTCAAGCATGTTACGAGACCTCATAACATGGGTGTTGAATACATATCTTGGCAAATATCTGGAGAATCTGAACTCGGCCCAACTTTCGGTGGCACTGCTGTCGGGTAATTCTTTTATAGTGATATAATTGTTTATCTTTATTTCGAATCAAATACACGTACTTACTATATTTATCCCCACCTAGGCGAGGTCGAGCTCGAGAATATACCCATACGTAAGGATGCCCTCCGCTCGTTTAATCTGCCGGTGGAAGTCACTGCCGGCAGCATTCGCAAAATCAAGCTGCAGATCCCGGTCCGCCAGTTTCGGACCTCGCCCTGGTGTATTTCAATCGAGGGACTATTCTGCATCATTTGCCCAAAGAACCTGGACAACTGGGACTATGAAAAGGAGAAGCAGCAAGACCTGGAATACAAGCTGGCCGTGCTGGACACGGCCGAGGCTGGCTGGCGTTCGGAGAAGGGCAAGCAAATGGAGTCCTACTACTTTTCCTCATACAACAACTGGCTTAAGTACGGCACCAACATGGCCACCAACATCATCGACAACATCGAACTCAAAATATCAGACGTTCACTTTCGGTTTGAGGACATTGTGGACACTGGCAAGAGCAAGATATGCACGGGTATCAGGATAGGATCCCTGACCGCCCAGAGCTGCGACTGTGATTGGACCAATGGGTCCTACAAGATGAACAACAGCGAGATGAACTACAAGCTGGTGGAGCTCAAGGAGCTCTCCGTGTACTGGGATCTGCTTCACGATGACATCAAGTGTCAGTCGTACTCAAACCAGGAGATCCTCGAGAAGATGCACTCCACCTGCGAGCTGCGGCCACATAACTTTATTATAAAGCCCATTTGTGCAACAGCTCGATGGAAGCGCGACAAGTGCCAACAGGTGATACGTACCAAAGACAAGCCCAGGGTCTCATGCGAGCTCCTGGTGCCCGAAGTAGTGATAGACATATCCAAAGTCCAGCGAGTGCAAATGTTAGATAAGCTCTCGGAAGTTCGCCACGTGCGGGAGGTGCGGCAGTACAGGCTAAGGCGACCCAATTGCAGCGTGGCGTTTAGTCCGAGCCAATGGTGGCAATATGCCGTCGCCTGTCATGGCTTTGACTTCAAACGCAATGAGGAAAAGCGGTCCACGCTCAAGGAAAACCTTCGCTACATGCTGCTCTACAAGACGATCATCCTAAATCCTAATGAGAATCTGTCCAGCGACGACAAAGAGTTTAAAGCGTACATCGAGAGCGACAGGAAGATCTCAGACCTGACCATTATGAGGAGAATAAGCTTTGAGAAGGTCTTCACCAAAGGCTTCTCTTTCGAGTCGCAGGACGTCAAGGGGAAAAATATGCTGTTCCATTGGTTTCCAAACTGGATGGGCTGGTATGCCAACAGCCCTAGCACTCCTAATGGTGAGCAAGATGAGTCGCTGAAACACTTGGAAGATGATATTTTGGTGGCTCTGGAAAACTCCCTTCAGAATTCTTCAGAGCTCAAGAGCGATGCTGTCTTCGGACACTTCTCCATCAAACTGCTGAAGGGCCTGGTCATCCTGCAGACGGATGAGAAGCTAAGCGATGAGCGGAGCAAGTCCATGGAAATGCAATTTAATAACTTTTCCGCTTACCTCCAATTGAGCCCGCAATTAACGTCCTACACGGTGGGCGTGTCATTGCATGAGATCTATTTGATAGACAAAACCAGCCTGGAAACCATGCACAATTATTTAATTAAGCCGCAGACAGGGAATGCCAACCAAATAGCAAAGAGTGCCCCACTCGAGGAGGATATTCTGTTTCAGCTACAATACGAAAATTGTAACCACTTACGGTTTCAACTTAATATTAAATCAAAGGGCTTAGATCTTATATATAACGAGGACGCGATACAGTGGCTCTTGGATTTTCTGGCCGACTCAAGCCCCGAGATATATACGCCACGCGATCGCGTCGAGAAGAAGACAGACTTTATGAAGAATTGGAATCAAATGTTCAGTGGCAATGAGGTGAGTAGCTCTTAAATACAGTTTCTGATTCTATACTAATTTTGTACTTTTCGCAGGTAAATCGAAAGACTTGGATGTTTGAAATAGAAATCTTTGCTCCCCGTATAATTTTCCTGGAAAACTACAAAGTTAGTAACTCATTGATGGTTTTGCTGGACTTTGGTAAGCTGGAAATGAGGAAAATGGAGGTTAAGCGAACGATACCTGTGATAGAATCGGCTGTGACGGATAATAATGCAAGCGATGATGATGAAACCTACCTAACGCCGTGCTCAACGCCCCCGGCATCGGAGAAAAGTGGCTCAGAGTCTCCGACACTGCTTGAAAATTCCAAGCTAGAGGAGGGGTTTCTAAACAAGAATGTTCAGCTGGAATACGTTCTGCATAATAAGATTTATGATAAGTATCTTATCAATTTCACCAATCTGCAAGTTCTGGTCTGCAAATACGAGGAGAGATGGCAGGCTTGCCTGAAAACCTCATCGAATTTTCACCTCATTGATAAGTTCAATATTAACTTAACCCTCGAGCAGAGGAACATATTCACCGTGGACCCAGAGTACCCTTCGTTCATGCTATTTGGCACCTGCCCCACGATATTGATTCACGGCAACGAGGAGCTTATCAACAATTGCTGCAACATCATGAGACCCATCATAAAGGCCTCAAAGGAAATGGAGAATATCTACAGAGGAGGCAATACCATATACGCAAGCGAACGAATCAAGAACCTGGCCGAGGATGATCGCAGTCGTGTGGTCATTGAGTTCGTGATGGACCAACTTGTGATAGAAATGCAGTCAACGGATCGAAGTATTGCTGAACTGCAAATTATTGGAGCACGAGCTGGTTTGACCAAAGAATCAAACGAAACTAATATTTCGATGTCAGTTCACGGACTACTCTTGGTGGATGCCATACAGTCCTTCGGTCCGGACTTTGAACTATTGGTGGCCAGTCACCGGCATGTCGGGTAAGCCTCACCAGAAATGTAATTGTTCAATTAACCTTTAATAATTATCTATTTTCAATTTACTTTAACTTATTCAGAATGGATAGTTTATCTGGCAGCCTTAAGCATAGTGCAGTTGTTTCGCCAACCTCACCTGGATCACCAAATTTTTTTGATAGAGCTACTAGTCCGCACATGATTACAAAAGCAGTTCAAAATATTAAAATGGGTAAGTGAAGAACATTTTTATAAATTATATTTTAATTATTTACGATCTTTCTAGGGGACAAGTCTGCAGAATTCTGCGAGGATGAGGACTCTCAGGCTCTTATTTCTATTGACATTAAAATTGTGCCGCCAAATCAAAACAATTCGGCACAACTACACACAACCAACATTGCTTTCAATAGCTTGGATATTATAGGTGTGTATAAACTATTATTTAATCAAATCCACAAAAATAAAAGTCTATTTTAGCCAATCAGGACACGATTCTGGAAATTTTAAACTTTGCAAAACGAACGTTTTTGACACAGAATATTTTCTCAAGTGATACCGAAGAGCTCAGAAAACAATCGCTGCTCGAAGAAGTACCGAAAGAAGACTTGGATGATGATCAAGTTGATCAGAAAACGCATAATGAGATATTTTTCGACTTCTTTCGCTTAAATATTCTATTGTTGTATACGATCAAACGCGACAAATTTAATATTGGCCGAAAAGTGGGAACGGTGACATTAACGGAAGCCAAGATCAATGCATCATTTCAATCGGATCTGTCCATTTTTGGCTCTCTCGGTGGAATACAAGTGATCGATATAACTCCAGAAGCCTTTTGCCACCCACGAATTCTTTCTGTGGGCCGAGACACAATCCTGAGGGCATCCGACACCAACAAGCAAACGGTTCTGAGTCAACTTTCAAATGAAATCTACTCTAATAATTACAACGACGCGAAAAACGATGATGACAGCGATGCAATAAGCTTTCAAAGTCATTGGAGTGACAAAACTACTTGCACTTTTCAAATGCGAATGGCCTCAGCTTCTTATACTCATTGTCCCAGGTTTTTGAGGGATGTAAATGCTTGTATAACATACTTTAAGAGGAGTTTGCGGTGAGCTAAATAATAGTTTTTAATTGTTTAACCCACGCCTTATTTATTTCCATTCTATTTGCAGCGAATTTGCTACCTCGATAGGTAATAAAGCCACCGATATGGCTAAGGAATTTGTGCAACAAGTAAGAGCAGTCGAGCAAACAGGACCAGTTCATCCACAGCGCAATCGCCAGGATAATTGGTAAGCTAAATATATGTCTTTACAAAAGTAAACATTACTCAATATTTATTTTCCTTTCCAGGCTTGATATAATAATAAGCAGTCCAATAATTATTCTACCAATTTCCAACACAAGTACAAATGTTTTAATAGCAAATTTGGGTAAAATTAGTTGCACAAATGCCGTCTCTAAGCAGAGCGACTCGGACGACTATAATGAATCGTATACGATAGAAATCAAGAACACATATGTTTATTCATTGAATATTGACGAACGCGATTACAGTTTTAATGTTCATCCAGCGAAAAATAAGGATGCAATTCCCATATTGCATGACACAGCAATCACACTACCCATTTATGCGGGATATAGTGAAGATAATGGGCAGGAAAAGCAATTAAATAGTATAACGGTTCGTATTATGTTTATTTCTTGGTTTTTTGATTTCAAAATCGTTTTGAACATTTTTAAACCCTTTAAATTGCTTTGCAAAACGCTCTTCTTAATTTCCTAATTTTTATTATAACTCCACAGATAAAAGGAAGTATGGTTGAGGCTTTGAAAGTATCACTTAACCGAAAGCAATACGAGTTACTCTTAGAGTGCATTCAATACGCAACGAACTTTTCCAATGGATTAACAAGCGATCCTGAAGACCTTGATCAAAATGGAGATAGTGAACCCACTTCTAGTATCGATGACGAGCACATTATCAGCACGATTATACAGTTCTCGGTGCCGGTATTCCAAATAAACCTGCAAAATGAATACCACAACGATCTGATCAATTTGACATTCAAAGACTTTAACGTAAAGCACATCGCCAGGGGCCACGACAAGGATGTGGAAGTAATGCTAAAGTCGGTCTTAATGGAAGATCTGAAGTCGGATTTTACTTCACCGTTTAGAAATATGGTTACTTCGATAGACCTCGAAAAGAGTAGCAAGAAAAACGAACTGACCTCGTCCTCCTGTCCCGACCTACCGAGCTCCTTTAATTCCTTGATATCGCGATCTAGTTCCGTGCCTTCCTGCTTCTACGATTATATGCAGCTGAAGAACTTTAGCGGCGAGAGGAAACCGTCAACGTTCTGCAGAAGCAGTAAAAAGGAGTTGGGGAAACAGCCCAAGGAAAGCCAAACCTTGGTGACCTATAAATCCCATACAGGGCGGTCTGCTCAAGACAGTAAACTGGAAAAGTCAAGTTCGGTTCAATTTAATTGCTTGAACCTGGCCATTTGTGTGGAGCGCTGGTATACGATATTCGACTTTTTCGGCTTGGTTTCCGCCGATAACTTAAATCAAAGCTATACAGAAGAGAAGAAACTGGAAGAGACGCGTAAGTTCAGGTATCTTGTTTCAAAATCTGTATTTAATTTGTATTATTATTTATTATATCAGATATTGACGCGCTCTGCAGCAGATTGAAAGTGTCCATCAGAAGTTTTAACTTTACCCTGATACGGAACGAGTCCCTTCTCTCCAGAGTGAATGTGTCCAATGCTGTATTTGTGATTCTTCAGGATCACAGATCGAAGATAGTTGAGGGCTGCCTGGGATCTGTGTCTGTTTACGATCTAACCAAGTACGGGAATATTTACAAGCAAAAGTTTTTAACAAGTGGAACAGAAGCGCTTAATTTCGTTTATAAAAAGTAAGTAAACTAAGTGAGTAAACTGTCTCATTACTAATTAATTAATTATCTTTACTTTACAGAAAACTGGTGGATTTGGAGGCACTAAAAACCTTGGACACCGACTCAACGCTGCGAATTAACATGGCTGCAGTGCATTATATTCACACTAAAAGATTTTCCACTGAATTGCATGTATTTGTTAAAGATCTGCTGCAATTGCAAACGGTAAGTTTGAGAAATCTTAAAGAAGTTAAATACATTTTAAACCGTTTAATGTTTCTTTACAGCCTGTGATAAGAAAGCTAAAGAAACAAAGTGGCAGTGAGCAAAATATGCGTCCATCGAAAATGAAGCTTGTAATTCAAGCGGACTCCCCCGTTATTGTTCTCCCTGCTTGCTACAACAGAAACGAGGTAATAATCGCTTACCTTGGACAGTTTTCCCTAAAGAACAGCTTCCACTTGGCCACCGATGAGAGTATTATAAGCAAAATGACTGCACCTCCCGATCCAAATGAAATCTTAGACGTTATGCGCATCGATCTGGTCAACATAAACCTATTCTCCGGCGAAAGGAGCTCGATGAAGGTGAAGGGTGAGCAGGAGAAGAATCGAATAGTAATTGCTGACATGAACTTTCTGAGACTGGGTCAACCATTCTTCAACGAATCGTGCTTTCTACATCTGCAACTAGAGCGAAATCTGTCGGCGGAAGGCAACCGCGTGTGTCCAGATATAAGTGTTCAAGGAACCTTTTCAAAGCTGAATGGCATGGTTAATATTCAGCAATACAAGTTAATCCGGAGCTTTTTAAACAATAATATTGGCGAGCAAACGGACGACATTTACATGAATTACCACAACAATAGCTGCACCTCCATTGAGCGACTCTCGACCATCAGTCTTATTCAAAAGAAGATCGAGGTGCCTTCCAGAACGATTTCTATTCTAATTTCGATTCGTATCCTGCTTGAAGACGTGTCTCTGTTGCTGGCCCTGAACACGTCGCAGAGTGCTGTCATAGAACCCCTTGCCTGCATCCACTTCCTAAAGTCAACGCTGGAAATAGACCTGTTTAGCGATGGCTCACAGGACATCGACTTGATATCTAGCAACATACTGATTGTTGACGAACGGAAGGTGGAGTCTGGGGCGGGCAATGAGAACATGTTCAAGAACATCCTGGAACCATCGAAGAAGGAGGCGAGAATCGAGAACTCTGTGCAGGTGGAAATCCACTGCCGTAAGAAGGCGAACTTCAGCAAGTACACGATAATGCTCAATAACATGCGAGTTTTTGCACTCATCACCTTCCTCGATCAGTTGAAGTCGTACCTCCAGGAGGATTCACCTGCACCACCCACAGTGGTTAATAGTCAAGTATCGCAGAAGCAGCAGATCGAGAATACCGCTTCCACAGAGTATGTGGTTAACATAACCGATTCCGAAATAATATTGGCCGAGGAATGCAGTCGCCTGGACTCGAATGCTATTATTTTGAAGAGCACGACGGTTATTTGTTATAAACCAAACAGTAGTTTGGTGCCCCTATCCCTGGACATAAATCACCTGGAAATATTCTCCTGCACTTTGGACGCCGAGGAGGAGAGCGCTCTGTCCATAATCGATCCCTTTACATTGAACATAGAGCTGCGGAGCAATTGCCTCAACATTCTCATTCAAAAACCACTGAATATTCGTCTGTCATATGTGGATGTCAAGCTGTTCTCGCGAATGGTGCGGCTGTTGCCGACGCAGACATCGCGGTCGAAGAATGTCATATCGAAGGCCGACTCGGACCTGGAAAAGGTGGCCCCCCTGGTGGCGATGGGCTTCGAGCTGTCCGACTGCCTATACGCTATGCAGGTCAACAGTTGGCGGATTAACGATGCGGCTCTTTGGCTATCGCAGCAGAAGCAGACCACCTATCGAAATCCCGCCCTGGAAATGAAGACCGCTGTGGTGGACGCCAATCTCATATCGGTGTTCATCATTGACGATTGCATGGACGCTGATGTGCCGCTGCTGGAGGTTTCGCTCTCGAAGTTCCTTTTAAACTACACGTTTAAGACCAAGGATCCCAATCCCAAGGAGTCGAATGTCCAGCACTTTAGCCTAGGCAACATAGACACGGAGGCCGCTGTCAACTATTACAATCGTCGGCTTAGCGGCTGGGAGCCAGTGGCTGAGACATGGGAGTCGAACGTGAAATGGAAGTATACCAAGGGTCACCTGAACGAGAACAAGAAGCGCTTCGAAATTGGAGTGTCCAGCAAACAAATGCTTAAGCTGAATGTCACCTCCACCTTTATTGAACTCTTTCACATGGTTCTGAAGAATTGGACAAACGATTTCAATGATAACGGAGCCAAGAACTTCAGGCAACGTTCTCCATTCATTCCCTTCGCCCTGCAAAACCTCACAGGAACACCACTGCTCTTCAAGCCGATTTATGCTCCCCTTGGGGACTTAACCTGTTCGGATCTGCAGCAGTTCGAGCTGATCAAGAACTGGAATTCAGTGCAGCCCAACGAGACGAAGACATTCGACTTTAGCCAAAAGAGTAAGCTGCGGCACGTCCACTCCCACCAATTGAATTTGCATCAGATTTTCGTGCAAATCCACGGTTGGACTCTGATAGGACCGATTTCCATAGACAAGGTGGGCATGTTCTTCCGCACCACCAATCTGGACACACAGTATTCCACGAAGAGTAGGATAGTCTTTGACATATCCCTGATTGGATCAGCTCAGAAGCTGATCAAGGTTAAGTCCTCGCTGTTCATAGCCAACAAGTTGGATCGGAATGTATTCCTCAAGATGTCGCTGAAGAGCACGCAGAGTGACGGACTAACGGCCATCAGTGTAGTGAAGGCCAACGATGAGCTATCCCTACCGCTGAAATTCATCGATGCCTCGTTGCATGTGGCGCACAGTACGCATAGTGAGAGCGAGTCCTACGAGGAGACGGGCTTCAGCAACGAGGAACTCTTGTGGAAGCTCTGCGGCAAGGACAACACCCGGCAGTTGCTCGTGAGCTACGATCAAAACAAGAGTATATTGTACACACTGGTCAATATTAGCAGAATTATATACCACGTGAAGGAGCAGACGTTGCCGGGCCATCTTATCACCTTGTTGCCTCCCCTGAAGATCAACAATATGCTCTGCTGCGACTTGATGTTTAAGATTCATGAGCATGCCACCGGCAGGATAAACTCATCGGAGAGTGCCAACATCTACAATGTGAACATCTATCAGCCTCTGAACCTGAGCATCACGCTGGACAACTTTCAACTCTCTGGACAACTTAAAGTGCCCATGAGTCACACGGGTGTGGTGGAAACAAAACTGAAGTTGTTTGACATCAAGAAGCGGGAGCTGCACCTTCGCATCTCCATTCAATTTGTCAAGGGCAAAGGTATGGAGATTTACATCAGTGCTCCGGTTTGGATCATCAACAAGACGGGACTTCCGCTGATTTACAAGCAAGAGGGAACTAGTAACACGGCGGCAGGACAGTTTGAGGAGCACGAAACAGCTCGACAAGTGGCGCCATTAATGTTCTCGTTTTCCGACCAGGAAGGATCGCCGGCGTTAGAGTTGCGACTAGGGAAAGCCTTCGGCTTGAATAACACGGTAATTCTACTATATAACTATGATTTTTAACTATCATTTTAACTTATCCTTCTTCCAGTGGTGCAAAAGTTTCAGTACGCACAAGGACCTAACTCACCGGGAACTGCGAGCTGAGAACACCAAGGGTAGCTATGCGATCGGGATCAGTGTGAGGCGTGGACGGGGTCTGTATGCCAGCACCACTTTTGTGACGCTCTCTCCCAGATTCCATTTGCACAACCGAAGTGGTTACCGACTGGAGTTTATGCAACTGTGTGACATTGTCAACTATGTAAGTCAGTTAGTACCACAAATTATCCATAAATTTTAATTATAATTGTATTTCAGGATCGCCCGGACCCGCGTAAGATCATTTCAGCGCCGATCGATTGCAACTTTGCCTTTCATTGGCCAAACTGGGATCAGGAGCAGTTTATTTGCGTACGCATTCCGGATGTAGAGTGTTGCTGCTGGTCGAAGGGAATTCCCATTAATGATGATGTACAAAGTTTGTACATCAATGTGCGAAACGAGTGGGGAGAAATGTTCTTTCTGCGACTGGAAATCATCTCCAAGGATGCAACATTTATCCTGCTGTTTACCGACGCTCGGACACTACCGCCACCGATTCGAATTGATAATTGCTCAGAGGTAGTCATCAATTTCTCGCAGCTGCGTTCCAAGCCAGTTTGGAGTACGCCAGTTCGTCCGCAATCATCCTTGTCGTACGTCTTGGACGATCCCTTGGGATTGCAGGCCCTTCTTATGGAGGCACCTGGTGGCAACATGATCGAATTTCCCATCAATAACGTGAACAACATAAAGAAGACGCTGACGTACACCAACTTCATTTACATAGCATTTCACGGGACATTTGAGCGATCGACCAGTGAGGAGGAAAACAGCCCGCACAGACATTTGGTGTTGGGAGTTCGCGGCCGTAAAGTTGTGATTATGGAAAAGAACTCGGGGGATCGTTCTCAGCTATGGCTCATGAACTCAAACGGTCAGCTTGAGCACGAGGGATCCACACCACCGATACAATCAAATGATGCCAATGCAGTGCGTTTGGTACTAGACCTGGAGAAGCCCCCAAATCCCATGGAGTTTACAACATTAGTTGTTCGAACACCCAATAAGCAAAGGGTTACCACTCAGACATGGAGGTTTGAAAACGGCCGGCTAATGTGTCATGCCAACATGTGCGTTCAGGTAAGAATAAACGAACTTATAATTTATATTCAATTGTTATCTAACTACCAACATTTCAGTCCCGGTATGAGACTGGCTTGAGACCCAACTGTGAAGCATATGTGGGCCGGACAGAGTGTAATTCAACCAATCAACAATCTATACCGATTGGCCAGCACATTGTAGCTCAAAAGCTGAGGCCAGGCTCCGGTCAATTGGAACTGTCGACGAGAATGGATGGCCCCATTTCTACAATAGAAATATGTGATATTAAAATTAAACAAAATTCAGTATTCCTCACTCCCGATTTACTCTGGATGCACGCCTCCCTCAACAATAGACAAATTACGGATAAGGGAAAGATATCGATCATGCACGAATATCTGGTGAGTAATATACACAGTTTTCTATATAACATAATATATGTTATTTATTAATTCCAGATCAATGTTGAACTCGTGAAAGGCATAGGCATTTCCATAATAACCCGAAAGCCTTGCGAGGAAATCATGTTTATCAGCCTCGATCACATACACTGCGATATATCACAAGGTGCATTGGAGAATTCCTTGGATTTGAATATCTCCTACATCCAAATCGATAACCAGTTGCTGGACGCTGTCAGTCAAGTAGCCTTGCATACGCAAACCTCATCCTCGGATCACGATCAACACAAAAACGCTGTTGTTCTCAAGCTGAAAATGTTGCCGTGCCCCAATAAGAACGCCATCATTTTCAAGTACTTAACCCTGGACTTAAAGCCATGCACCGCAAACTTAGATGAGAAGCTCATACTGAAAGTGGCTTCGTTTCTGGGCTATGGAAAAATCAACAGGCAGAATCTTAGTGTGCAATATCAATTTGAAAACTTTGAGGACAAGCAGCCAATTCTGCAGGATATGAAGAGATACTACTTTGAAAATTTAAGTATTGGAGCTACGCAGGTAAATATTTTTGATTGAACCTTCTCAGTCGAAATTTGGATACAAATGTTTCTTTCAGGTACGACTTTCCGCCTTCACTTCCTCCAAGTTACCCGTTGAGCTGCATGAAACGAAAAAAACCCTCGGACTCACTCTTATTAAATTCGAAGACGCCCTCATTGAGTTGGATAGATATTCGGATAGGTTACATTTCGAAACATTGGACGTATATCTGAAGGAAATGAAAAAGCACTACATTAATCAAGTCAAGTGGCATGCGGCTGCGATATTGGGAAGTGTGGATTTTCTGGGAAATCCTCTCGGTTTCGCCAACGATCTTTCCGAGGGCGTATCTGGACTGATTTTCGAGGGATCCGTCAAGAGCCTAGTGAAGAACGTGACGCATGGCATATCCAATTCCACAGCAAAGCTCACGGAAACCCTATCGGATAGCCTGGGAAAAGTGGTGCTAAATGACCACGACAATGAGACCCGGCAACGGATACTGGAACTGCAGTCTAACACGTCCGGCGGACACCTGGCAGCGGGTCTGAAGGGTCTCGGATTTGGATTGCTGGGCGGCGTAACGAGTATTGTGAGGCACACCTACGATGGAGCTTACGATGGTGGCGTTCCTGGCTTCCTTAGTGGCCTGGGCAAGGGATTGGTTGGCACAGTGACGAAACCGATAATAGGAGTGCTCGACTTGGCCTCAGAAACGGCCAGTGCGGTAAGAGAAACGAGTCGAGATACTCAGAAAAACACTCCGGATCGAAAGAGACTGCCCAGATGTGTGACCGGTGCTCCTGGCGGGCTTCTACCCTTGTATTCCAACCGGCAAAGCAAAGGACAACAGTATCTATACCTTATCAATCACAAGAACTTTTCGGAAAAGATTATATCCTACGAGGCGAATCTGTGGAGTGATAAGGAGGCGAGACTGCGGCTGTTAGTTTCCACCGAATTTGTACGAATTTTTTCATTAGTCGACGGCAACCCAACCATTATGCTTGAGTGTCATCTCTGCGAGATACTCTCGTGCCATCCTCTGGTCACGAACGTGGGCACAACGCCATCGACGAGCAGTAGGGCGACGTCGGCCGCGTGCCACTACATCGAGATATCTACAAATCTACCGAAAATAACGAGACCAAGGATACGATGTCGGTCGGAAGAATGCGCTGAGGCGGCATCGAGATGTGTAAGTACAAGTTTTGAATATTTATGAAGTATTTCTTATATATATATATATATATTGATTCATTGAGAGAATGGAAAAGAATCCAACAGAAAGGGGAGAGTAAACATTTCTTAAATTAAAATTTTTTTGACAGTTGTAAGGATAAAACCCCTTATAGATGCGGGGTTTTTATTTAGTTAGTCAAATAATTAACTTTTTAATAAACAAGAAAGGCAACTTTCTTCGGTAAGCCGAAGTTTATATACACTTGCACAGTTTAGAAAGTCTTTTTCACAAAGCTTAAAAAACAATAATACTTTTTATGTGTATAAAAAGAATAGAAATATCCTATTTTCTTTAGCATTATGTATCTTTATTTACGCTTACAATTTGCGACAAACAACTATCACATATATCCATATTGTTTCTTTTAGATAAACTACGCTAAAAGTGTCTTTGATGAACGTGAACATGCCGTTTTATAAAATGCAATAATCCGGTTCGTGATAATACAAATAAACCTTTTTGACAAAAAAAACTTTTAACAATTTATTTTCTTTGGCAATAGGTGTTACTTTAATTCCGATGTACAGTGTGCAATATAAACAGTTTAATATAAGGAATCTTGAAACAATTTATTGGTTCAATAAAAACCGAGGATCAAAAGGCGATCAAAATGGAATCGTAAGGAGGCCTTTTCAGATAAAATAACCTCTGTATATGTGTATATAAAGGTTGTCATGATGGGCATTTGTAAAATAAGAATGTTTTTAAGGTTAGTAACGTTTATAGATAACATATATATATATATATAGATAGTTTATTTAATACTCGGCATTTTTGTAGTGCTCTCTCCTAAACGACGCCAGCTTTTGCCGCTGCGTTTGGAGCGCTTGCTCGGTTTCGAGTACTTTGACATGGATTTCCATTTCCATTGTTTTAATTTGCGATGGCGTTAGCTTAGCCAGCTCGAGCTCGCTTTGCTGCTCCAGCTGCGCGTTACAATCTTTAACGGTGGCCACCAGGGTGCCCGTTGCTTGGGTAACGCTTCTCGAGGCCTTGGTCAAGTCGGAGAGCTTTTGGCTATGGCGTTCGGCCTTGACCTTGCTGGCTATAACCATTTGGGTTGTGCAGGCAGCAATTTCTTGGGCGGCCACAATGAGCTCAAAGTTTTTCCCAGACTCACTTTCGATGGCCTTGTTGGCAGCCTCTACAAGATAGTTGGCCGCCTTGGCCACGCTCTTAGAGGCGGAAATCAAGCCATCTGACCACTGACTGTTTCGTCTATAAAATTCATTGGCACTTGCATTTCCTAAAATGATTAATATATTATATATATATATTTTTGGTTGTTTTCCGGTTTCTAGTTATTTGTAACTCACCCTTTTGAGACGCCACAATTTCGTGTTGAAGAAGACGTGATTTCTGGATCAAAGCCTTGACGCATTCCATTAATGTCGTACAAGAGTCAACAATCTTTCCGTTGACCTCCAGATTTGTCTGATTGTCCTTCTCCCGAGCCTTGGCCAGCAAGTCGGTGATCTTGGTGGCAGCATCATCGATGGCTGCATCCATCTCACGCAGCTCTATTTCGAGTAACTTGTCCAAGTCGATTTTCTGTTCGAACGTGGCCTTTATTTTCTCTATTAACTTTCGAATATCTGTCAGCTTCGCTTGCGCATCGGTTATAATTTTTTGACCATCCTTCGTTTCGTTATTAAGCAAATATTCGAACAACTGACACACATCTGAGCAGACCAATGAAGTCTTCATGAAAATCTCTGCAAAAGTGCATACATTTTAATATTTATTATAATGTTTATACAAACTTTTAAGAAACTTACCTTGGCCCGTCTCAATAGCCGTTGTTGTTTTGTAAATAACATCGCATTGATCGTATAGCTTTATAAATACGTAGCCCAAGTACATGACATCGTGAATGCCTTCCGTTGTTGAAACATAATCTTTAGCCGTGGGATTATTGAATTTAATAAGCAGGGATTCCATTTCACTAATAATAGCGGGCACCGCATCCAAGGGCTGTTGTTCCGAGCTATTTAACTTTGAATTGCAGATTTCCCTTAATGTTTTGATGACCAATTTCCTAAGTTCGCTTAGGTCTGTGCTACAAGTTTGATATGAAGTAGTTACGGAAGCAATTTGTTGTGTTGCCTGGGAGAGTTTTTCCTCAACAGCTGTAAGTTTGCTTTGCAAATCCTCACTGCGTTGAGTCATGAATGTATTGTCTTGGCTAAGTTTTTTCACAGATTCCTGGGATTCCTGTTAAAGAGAGAATAAATTAATTATATTTCCCTATGATATATATTTCTTAATGGTATTTACCTGCAAAGCTGTTTCCTTTAACTCCAAGTTGTTCATAGTTTTCTGCAATTGTGCATTTTGTACCTCTTGATGGGATTTGTGTTCCAGATTCAACTGATCGATTTTCGACAAGAGCAAGACCTTTTCCGCTTCAAAAGACTTCAAATTGCTTTCAAGTTCAACATTCTTGGCGCTTATTTGGCTTTCGGCGGCTGCAAGCTTTTCTCTTGTTTCACTGAATTCCTTTTCCCTTTCATCCAAGCTGTTTTTAGTTTGCTGCAATTGCACATTTTGAGCTTCATGGTTGGTCCTATGCTCCACATTTAGTTGCTCGATTTTGGTCACGAGCAAGGCCTTCTCTGCCTCAAAGGCTTTTAAATGATTCTCAATTTCGTTGCTCTTGGTGTTTATTTGGCTTTCTGCTTCCGATAGTTTTTCCTTGGTTTCCGTGAGAGCTCCAGTGAGTTCCTCAATTTTAAGGAAATTCAACCTTAAATTCTCGGAAGTGGAATTCATATCTAATGCTTGCATCTGTTTCTCTTTAACAACATCATCGTACTTCTCCTCGATTTCGTTTTTGATTGTTTCCAGCTGCGTTATCTTCTCCCTGTGCTCTTCAATTTGTTTCTGCAGAGCTAGGTTGGCCTTATCTTTTTCCTCCACACTTCCTTTAATCTTGGATATTTCGTTGGTAAGTTCCTTTGTTTCCAGCAAAAGCTGTGAGCTCACTTGCTTCTCTTTGTTTAAAGATTTATTGGACTCACTTTGCTGCAATTGAAGGTAACTATTAATAGAGTAGATTAGGGAAAAATGTAATCTACTGACCTCTCTTAATAACTGAATGTGTTCATCTCGAATTTTGGTGTAGAGTGTTTTTAGCTTGTTGAATTTCTCCGAGGATAACTTGTGCTTCTCCTCTTCCTCCATGGCTTTCTCTAAAAAAAAATAGTTTTATTATTAATTACTAAATATATATATATATATAGTTATACAAACTTACGCATAAGAATTGGATTTTGGTTAAGTTGCAACTCCAGATCATCGTTTTGCATCCGAAAGGTGGCACACATTTCTCTCGCTAATACCAGATCATTGGAGAGAATAGTGTTGTTCTGCTGCAAATCCTCCACATCCCGCCTGTAGCTCTGCTGCAGATCATCAAAGTTCTTTTGCAGGGCCACCAATTTGTAGGAGAGCTCCTGAATGCCAGCCTCCTTCTCACTTATTATACCCTCCAACATGGTCAACTGCTGCTGGGCCTGACTGAAGGCCTCCGCTTCGTGGTTGTTAGTGTCGACCAGATCCTCCACAACCGGATCGGGCTCTTGCGGAACGTGTACAACTGGCGGTACATAACTGCTGAAATCGTTTTGCGACTTGAAGTTCGGACTTGTGTCCGGCAACTCTGGTACTGTGATTAAGTCCTTAAAGTACTGAAGCGGCCGAACATTATTGTAGAAAGACTTCAGCTTCAGGAACAGCCCATAGAACCGATCTCTGTGGCCTGAAACCACATCGTAAGGTATGCCGTCGTGCAATTTGAACATTAAACGAACGCTCATATCGTATAGTGCATTGGAGTCCTGAATAAGGCAGACTATGGGGGCAAGTCTGCACTGTCCTTGAGGTGTCATCGAGGACATTCGGTACTTTTCCATAGACGAAAATATGGTCTGCTGTAGGGCAATGATATCCTCCAAGTAATCGAAAATTTCCACGCACAATTGGAAGCTGTAATTAAGAGAATTTCGTTAGACAGCTCATTGAATATTTACAGAAATATCGATATCGAATCTGTTAAATAGGTCTCAACAAGTATGCCATGAATTGTTTTTGGTTTAAAAAAGCAATTTAATCGATTCATTTTGTATACTTTTTCAAAACCATTTCAATTAATTTGAAATCCACATCGATTTTGGTTGCCTTTTACCAATAGTTCAAGTCCCGGTCAACAGCCACAAAGAGTTCGGTAAAGGAAATGTTCAAGGATCCGGGAAACATTCGATTTTTGTCGTGGAAATTCAGCTTGGTGGCCAGCAGCTTGCTGTACGCCTGTATGCAGCATCCGATGTCATCCTGGAGCAGTCCCCACATTTTGCCCACCTCGAGGATCATTTTCTTGTGAGTCTGGGAGTGCCTTATGGCGCTTTCGTGCGCCTCTCGCAGGACCTTGTGCAGGAGATGGGAAAACTTCCAGGCGGTGAATCGGTTCTGCATTAAGGGCTGCCGCGAGATCATCATCCAGAAGGACTTCGCCTCCTTGGTCTTGTGGATCATAATAATAATAGATCGGGCATGTTTGGTTTTGAGCGGTGCCTCCAAGCCATTTAGAGCTTTATTTACGCTGACGTTCTATATATAAAATATTTTAAATGCTTATTAGTGACTGAAAATGAACATTCCAAAAATTAAGCAAAAGTGTGTGACTCAAAAAGCCAGATAATGAAACTATAGCAATGTAGTTATGCTGAAATGAATGATTCACTCCCTAAACATTTTGCTTGAATTTTCAATTAATTTGTAAAGTTTAAGCTTCAGATTAAAAGTTACTGATGGTAATTGAATGTTTCAATTCCGATTGCATACAAATTGTGATGTGATTGCTCTAAATTATCTATAATGATATGTTATTATCTCAAGATATACATTCTTTGGGTGGATGAATCACTCGAAATGCTAAATGTTATCTGGCTGGTAACAAAGAACTGGCTAATCTGATTATTATACATAACTTGCAGCCGGTTAACATGAAATTTGGTAGCCTGAAAGTAGGTCGTTGCAAAGGTTGCTAGCATTCAGCATTCGATGCAGTTTCTATGCTGGTTTTCTGGGTCACCACCGCCATTCATTATTCACATTCACACAGGAGAAATTTCCTATTATTGTGCAGTTTTTAGAGAGCTCCCTCTATTAGATCTGGTTCAAGGCTGACTTGTGGCTTTAAGTGAATGTTTATGCAAATGTTTATATACTCGGACTCGGCGAGTGTCTGTATGTGTATAAACATTTACGTGTGGCGACACCCGACACCCGCATATCAAAGAACGCTGATTGTGTGAGTATCAGCTTCTACGGATTTCCTTCTTGGCTATTAAGTGGCAGATGTACATACGTACCAAATGGTAGAACTCCTTCTCGGCGTGAGTTGCCATTGTTTACTGACAAATTCTTGGCGTTATTTCCATGAACAAATTCGAACCATTCGCACCGCGCTATTTGTGCATTAGAGTGTAAGCGAAAGACATTGGGACTGTTGCGAGTTATCTTATCTTATCAATGTTGCCTATTGTTTTCGTATTATTGGCTACATTTATATTCGTTTGAGTGTGTAAGGTAAAAATTAATCATATAAACAAACGTTGTTTTTGTACAGCGCTTAGAGGTGGATAAAACCGCGGCGATAGTCATCGAAACTATTGTTATCGCTTGTTATCGATTTGCGTTTTTTTCACATCTTTACATTTGGCGGAATTGCGATATATTATGAATTCAAATAAAATCATTTTGAAGTTTGTGGGTTGGAGTTTAAAGTAAATCAAGAAAAATCTTTTAAATGAATTCTTAATTATTAAACAAATTTCTACTTGACTATTATGCTTCCATTTTGAACATTTTCTTAAATTACATTGCAAAGGATTGAATATGTGCTTTCAAAATTCCTACAATCATATACAAGCACGTAGCTAGCACAGCACATGACTAAATCGATTCGGCTAGTGCCACTGATCAAGAACATATTCATTTTATATGTCTCTGCTATGTACAAACATTAAATTTTTTTAATATTTTTGTAATAAATGATTCGTTTTCTATTTATATACTAACATTGAATTCCAATTATCGAGGTTGCTGAGAACAAAATTGGGTAGGTCTCATTGGAAGTTGGTGTTGGATTAGATTTTGCGGCTGTATGAAGGGACGAGTGAAATCCCGAACGGGTCTCATGATTTGCTGTTGCATTGGATTGCGATATGGACAGGGTGGGCATCCGCAATGGGATTGGGGAAATGCTTGTACAGCCTGAATAATTTCTGGTCCAAGAGTTGGCGGCCGAAAGTTCGAGTCCATTCGAATAATGTTGTACTGATGAATGGTTTGATCGTAGAACCCAAGGGGCAGGGCTTCTATTGCCTCTTTTACTTGTTGGGGATGATAAGCAGGATAACGGGGATCCAGGTTCTGCATTTGAAGCTGCTGCTGACAATAAAGAGCTGGCGGCACAGCCTGTGATCTGATAGTGTTCCAATGATCTCTCGGATCTATAAGGTACGTTTCTTCGAAAAAGTTCCCATTCCGTGGGTAGTAATTTGGTGACTGCACTGGTACAGCAGTTGGAGGAATCTCTGCCTTATGTTCACGACGGAACTTACAAGGCGGTCGGGCGCAGGTCTGGAGTAGACTATCCTTTTTGCAGGTGGTCCGTATCTCAAGAAGTACGGTGTCTTCAGAGCATATTTTAGAATTAAAAATTCTCGTACTTTCAGTGCTGCGAAGGTGTGGGGGTTGCAGCAGTGTGAGGGTCTCCAGGATCTCCACATCTGTCGTTCTTCCCGATTGGATGGACTTGCTATGGGAATTGTTTGGCTTACATCTACAGTCTTCAGATTCTTCCGTCGATGTTAGAAGTAAGCTCTCTTCTGATTCAGATTCGGAATTTTCTTTAATAAGTTCAGAATTATTTCCATGAACACAGCATGGTTTATTCCGATATCCCGGATATACCTTTCGATTTTCTTTAGGTTTGTAATTATAGGAAACACTTCTGCTCGACTTTTCTCTACTTTCAACCGATATACTCGATTTTGTAGAAGGACTATACGGACTTGAAGAAGCTGATGTACTATAAGGAGTGTCATGGTATGTTTTGGGCAGACATTTGCAAGTTCTTGAATAATATCCGTCCTCTGATTGACTAAGAGAGTCTTGGGAACATGACTTCCTTAGCCTTGTTTTTATCTTAGATTCTTTTTTATATGATATATCCCTTTGATTACTTTGACAATAGTTTTGGTCCTTACGTGTATGTGATAGAGAAGAAGGATGATCTTCCTCCTCCGATAGACTAAAATCGGTGCTGGTCTGAGGCTTCGAGATCTTCGATTTGGGTATGTCTTTGTGTTTTTGATTCCCCGTTCGCTGACATCCTGTGCTCTGAAGATACGATGACGATGAACGCTCTTGGAATGGAGGCTCTCTTGTTTGACGTCTCATCTCTGAAACCTGATATGTTTCATCTGATTCCATTTTATATTTTTTGGAGCTAGGCATAGGTGGCTTGGTCCTAAAACTAAATATATATACAATTAATAAATTAACTATTGTCTATTAAAACAAATTATAATCTCTTGGAAGGGATATCTTACCTTGAATCCTGATAATCAGCTTTATGACGTTCCACATTTCTAGGACTACAGACCAGTCAATGTTAATATGTAGTAAATGTTAGTCTTTGACCTACCTTCTAGACGGTATGTTTTGATGCACTGGCATATTTCCTGGTGCGTTAGAGGTTCTCTTTTGGTCTTGTCTTGGAATGCAGCACCCCTTTTCACCTATCTGCTTGGCTTTCCTCATATTAGCCTTTATACTATAATCCGGACACTTACATGTGCCCTTGTCTTCCGGTTTAGAATTTTCTCGAGTCCTTTCTGTGGGTAACTGCCCTGCTTGTTCCATTTCGGTATTGCAGCTTTCATCTTGATTGTTATCAGAGCCTTTTGTTAAGTTGTAAAACTTTTTGGGGATTTGATTTCTTAGTGAGAAGCACTGTCGATATATGACTGGTGTTTCAGATTTATTTTCGTTATTTCCATCCAACGAAGCACCGCAACATCCTGGTGCTGAGCGGGATCTCTGCTTTTTATTTGTATTAATCGTCGGAGACTTTTGACAATTTTCTGCTTGTTTATCACTATTATTTAATCGCTTAGTCATACCACTTTCATGTCTGGTGTATTGAATTGATTCTGGATTCCTTTCTATACTATTGCAGGGAATATTTGTCTTATTTTCAGAAACTTGACTTAGATGTAATCTTTCCGAACTTGTACTTTGGTATTCATCGATATCATCTACTTGATTAGTCCTAATCGATCTTGTATATTCATTAGGAAACGTTCTTTCTGAATATTGTAATGTCAAATTATCATTCGTTTTGACATAATTTGGTCGTTTTTGGGACAATTGTGGCTTTTCCTCTGAATCAGTTCTGTTAAATTCCTCAGAGTCTACGCTAAAACTCTGATTCGTGAAGCTTACTATAATCTGGTCTTCAGATATGTCATTTCTAGACTTATCCTGATTATAAGATATATTACACTTAATTTGTGTTTCACCTGTTGGTTTTTCAGAACAACACACTTCTTTATTAATTTCTAGGACTTTCTCGTGACTCCTATCTTCCTGGCAGCGATCGACTTGACCAGGAATAATATTAGCAGTTATATTTTTTGAAACATTGGCCTTCTCTTGAAGATTTAATGATTTGATAGACCGTTGCTTCTTATCGTCCAAAGGAAAATAATATTCTTGGGCAATTTGGCTGACTGAACTTAATTCTTGAGAAATGCTATCAAAATTTGAATTAATCCTGGTAGTTTCGCCACCAGAGCTTATGCGGTCACTGGGTACATTTTGTGCTTTTCTACAACATGATGATGCCGTATTTGATCTATTCCATGATACACATTCAACATATCCACTGTTGGTATGTCCAGTCCTGTTACATATTTTCGGTTGAGATGGGCAGATTTTGAAGCACGTGGACTTTGCTGAAGGCTTGCAATTCACGGAATTATTACCTTGAACTCCTGGACTGCATGGGCATATTATACTACTTTCTTTTGGAGAAGCATTTCTACATAATGATTTTTTTAATAGGGCTCTTTTATTATATTCCGATGAAGAGGTTATTGGAATGGCCGGCTTCTGTGTCTGCCAGTTTGGCCCACAGCGTTGATAGCAATATCCAGGAGTCCACCTTGGGTACATACAACTAGACTGGCAATGCGATCCTTGTGTCACTGTAGAGTTACGTTCAAGAGCCTCTCTTTGGTACATACCATTAAACCGGCACTGTGGTCCTTGAATCATTATAGACTTATATTCAGGAGTTCTATTAGACGGGCACTGTGTTCCTTGTGTCATTGTTGACTTATATCCATGAGTCCCTCTTTGGCACATACCATAAGACTGGCACTGTGATCCTTGTGTCATTGTAGAGTTACGTTCAGGAGTCCCTCTTTGGTACATACCATTAGATGGGCATTGTGATCCCTGTGTCATTGTACAGTTACGTTCAGGGGTCTCTCTTTGGTACATACCATTAGACGGGCATTGTGATCCTTGTGTCATTGTAGATTTATATTCAGGAGTCCCTTTTTGGTACATACAAATTGGCTGGCATTGTGTCCCTTGTGTCATTGTAGACTTATGTTCAGGAGTCCCTCTTTGGTACACACAATTTGGCTGGCACTGGGATCCTTGTGTGATTGAAGCAGTACATTCAGGAAAGACCTGGGGGCTGGGACAAAAACAGACGGATATCTTTCTAACTGGCTCGATTTTCTCAAATTTCTTTTCTTCAACAAGTGGCTTACATGGATTACTTGTTGCACATGTTGCTGTTGGTAAGCTTACGCTTTGATACACGGTATTATTCATAAGATAGGGGTTTCTCTGGCAGTTTGGCCAAAATTGTTGTGAGCAATGACCAGGATATTGTAGAGCCTGATACATAAGAGGATTCCTTGCCTTACAACCGCGATACATACAACGTGGCTGGTACTGTGATCTTAGACATTTGGCAAATTCATTGGGAAAAACCCGAGGCACCGTCCAAGTAATGGATGGATTCGGATCAATCCATTCACGCTCCCTTTGAATTTGCAAAGATATATTATTCTCGACCTCCGGTTTGATCTGATTTATTTCTACCTTACATTCAGGCTTAAGTGATTCACGATTCTTCTCGGTGTCTTTAACATTTATTGATTCCACTGTCTCCCTTGGTTTAGTAACTATTATTGGCTTTTTAATATGTGGTCCTTTATCATCTTTCTGTTCTAGTTTATCTTGAGAACTTTTTTCCACTTCTTGAGAACATTTCGATGAACACTTCTTAGTTAATCGTTCTGTGGATGTAATTGATTTGTGTTTTATAGATTTCTCTACCGATTTATGGGTTTTAATAGGTGGTTTCTGTACTTCTGTAAGGGAAACACAACGTGAGGAACTTGTTATCGATGCAATTGACTTGGTTTTTTCAGGCTTTTGCTCTGCCATCTTGGTCTTAGCAGTTGCTTTTGGTACTTTGTTAAGGGAACACATTGACGAACACGCATTGTCACTTGTAACTGGTTGGGTTTTCTTAGGTTTTTTTTCGGTTTCATTGGTCTTGGAGGAATTATTTCTTTTGAGACTGGTTGTTGATGTAATTTGCGGGAGTTTCTTAGGTTTCTTTTCAGTTTTCTTGGACTTACATGTCGGAGTCCGTAGTTCCCTTAGGCAAACATTTGATACGAATGTTTCGTTACTGATTGCAGATGATACTTTTGATACTTTCGCTGGCTTTTCTTTCAATCTTATTGACCCTTCCTTGTCAGGAGCCCTAACATATGTGGACTTCTCGGCAAAACAACGACATTCTGTGGATTTGGCTGCAAGTTGATTTTTGATATCGTACAGGCAGCGAAGTAGTTCGCATTCTTCCTCGCCAGTTTGAGTGCATGTCTCGCAGGAACAGGGACTGGGATGTGCCTTAAATCGCCTAAGTCCTTTCTTGACGGATGTGGGATGAACAGGAACTGGCATAGAATTGCGCATTGTCAAGCAAAATGGATTTCCACAATTTCTTGCCGGAACAATGGCATTGTTTTGAAATGACTGCAAATCAAATAGATTTCGAATATTTATGGGAAAAGGAATATTCACACGAAAGGGTAAATTGCACTCGAACCTATTTTAAGGGGTTCTGTTAGAACAAAAATGAAGCTATTTCTACTTGAAGTAACTCACCAAACACCATCATCGTCGTTTATTTGTTTGGCCTTAGGACACTCAACTGCCCTTATTGGTGATCTTGAAGGCGACCTTCTTTGGACTATTTTTTTGCGCTTCGGCTTGGATTTTACAAGAGCCTTACAATCTGTGTCCTGTGGCACTGATTTTGACTTAGATGGTTTAATTTTTGTACCATTTCTTGTTGATTTCGGGGATAATATCGACATTGGTGAGCCATAATCACCGTCAGACGAACATCCAGAGTCTTCCTCACAGATGTTACATACGCAAGATTTCTAAGCAAAAGAGAAGGGAGTCCTTATTATGTATTTAATTATCTTCAGAGGTCTTAAGTAATCCCTTACCTTGTTTTTCTTGATCTCCACAGATCCACCAGATAGTCTTCCCATTTTCGCAGATTTATCGACAGAAATTTTGTTGGTTGGTACTGGCTTGCCCTTGGATAGCTTTTTATTTATGGAAGAAACAGAACTATCAGAGGATTTATTATTGTTCTTTCTTTGGCTGGTAGTTGGAGGGACTTTCTTTGGCAGAGGGTTCGCTGTGGAGGAATCTGGAGTCTTGGCTGAGGACGAGGATGATTTCCTTGGTAATTGTTTGCCTGATGAAGTTTTCTCAACCGCAGGAATTGATTCCTTTGTGGTTCTGTTCTGCCCGGAAGGACAGCAGGGAGCCGCCACTATTTGGTGCATTCTCCGGCGATAGCACGAATAGTGGTATCTGTGCATACCGCGAAACACTTGATTTAAATTACACATTTCCCAATTAAAGCTAATCCTTCACTTTTATCTTTGATTGGGAATCTGTAATTTGAACAAAATGAGGCGTGGCACTTTGATTTCAGCTTGCCTCCCTTGAAATGCCTGAATAAATTTGTAGTTTACACTATAAAATTTCGAAATAAGATAGCAAAGTGACAGTTAAGTCAAATTGAAAACACTTTAGATAAATCAAATTAGAACTTTATTTATGGGCAGTTGCGTTCGTTCCCGATTGGCCTCAATTTTAAACGGAAGAATTGCACAATTAAATAGCGCTTGATGAATCTCACTCTCCATTCGTAGGATATCTTACCGTGAACAGGCAGGTCCTGGCTGTTCATGGTAAGCTAAGCTATGAATTTCGATACGAGTTCAGCGGGGCCAGCAACGCGGCATCATGAAGCGCATTTTGGCATATCGCTGGAAGTACCAACTGGGACAGCAGTGCGGGTTATGTGGGAACATATTCGGCTGGGGCGGACTCGGTGTCCGGTTCTGCTGGCAGGGATATATTGACTGTTGTTCCTGGCACGGAGACTTGTAACCTTGCTGCTGGCAAGGATACGATGGCTGTTGTTGCTTTAAAGGAGGTTGTTGCGGCTGGGAGGGCGGCTGTTCTTGCTGGTAAGGTGATAGTTCTTCTTGGGGAGGTGGCATTTCCTCCTGGCAAGGTGAGAACTCTTGCTGGCCAAGTGGCTGTTCTTCCTGGAAAGGTGGCAGCTCTGGCTGATAAGGTGGCAGTTCTTGCTGGTAAGGATAATCTTGTTGACAAGGAGGCAGTTCCTGCTGGCAGGGATACTCCGGTTGACACGGAGGAACTTGCTGCCGGCTGGGAGGAACTTGCTGCCGGCAAGGAGGCAATTGATGACAAGAGAATGTCATAGGCAATGGCATAGCCTCATCCTGGTAGCATGGACCTTGATTTGGCATGGGCAGAGGCATAGGATAATAACCGAACTGAATCGGCTGCTGACCCGAACCCTCTCTCGGATCGATGGGCCACTCCTGCTGCTGCTGCTGCGATGGTTCTTCCAGGTTCTGCATTTCGTTATTTTCGAACGTTTCAACAGCATCTTGTTCCATCATGTACTGCGCACATGTGGTTGGCCCATAGCTAGGGCAATTGGGAGCAGCACACCTACAGACGCTATTGAGCTGGTGCTGCACCTTGGCAATCTGGGCTTGGGCCTCCTCCATCTGTTGCTTCAGTTCCTCCGCCAGCATCTCATTCAGGCCATAGGTATTGCTTGGGATTACCTGCTGTTGCTGTTGCTGTTGCGTCTGTGGTTGTGGCTGTAGTTGTGGTTGTGGCAATGGCGTTATTTGATTTTGCATTTGGAGTGCCAATTGCTGATCCTGACACTTCCAGCATACTTTGTGGGGCGAACTCTGCCTACAATTCAATCGTTTCGGACAAGGACGTGAAGGTTGCCCAAAGGATGATTGCTGTTGCCCAACGGTTGATCGCTGTTGCCCAACGGACGATTGCTGTTGACCAAGGGATGAGCGCTGTTGCCCAAAGGATGATTGTTGATGCTCATCGGATGAACGCTGTTGTCCAACGGATGACCGCTGTTGCCCATTGGGTGATTGATGTTGCCCTACGGATGATCGGTGTTGGCCAAAGGACGAATGGCGTTGACCAACGGATGAGCGCTGTTGCTCGAAGGATGAATGCTGTTGACCAACGGATGAGCGCTGTTGCCCAACGGATGATCGTTGTTGCTCAAAGGACGGTTGCCGTTGACTGACGGATGGTCGCTGTGACTCAAAGGTTGACTGCTGTTGCCCAACGGATGAACGCTGTTGTTTATTAGATGATCGTGTTTGCCCTTTTGATGGTCGCTCTCGACCAACGGATGAATGTTGGGTTATACGAGAAGGTGAATAGTGCATACTGGCAAGTTGCTGCTGCCTACAGGGAAGTGGCTTCTGTCTGTAAGGAAATTGCTGCTGTCTGCAGGAAAACTGCTTTTGCCTAAAGGGACCGAAACAGTTCATATCCTGTTCCTGTTGCTGCTGCTCCTGTAGGTACTGATCCTGTAGCTGTTGTTGCTGCAGTTGCTGCTGCTGGAGTGGATATCCATACATCATCTGTCTGCACTTTTTGCAAGGATTAACAGGTGGCAGGTCATTGGCATTGTCATCGTCCAATGTCAGGTAGTGGGACTCGGTCACCTCGCAGGCAGTGACGATCTCCGCCGGACCCATCACTTGCTGCCTCCCATCACAGATGCTCACCAATTTGCCGCAATTTGGAACACCGGCCTCGAACCACAGATACGAGTCCTTACAATGTCGCGTTGGATATTCCCCACGAAAGCAAGGAAAGATCTTATCCTTTATTTTCTTATGCTGCTCCTTGTTAGGGCATTTTTTTTTAATGGGTGCAGGCAATTCCTCCGGCTCTTCCTCTAAAGTACATCGGGAGCTGTGATTTGATATTTCATTGCTGCCTTTCTGTGAGATACTGTGAACGCTGCTCTTTTCGTTATATTCTGGATCGTAATCCTCTTTGCTGCTCTTCCTGGAATTTTTTCGGCTACTTTGATTGGAAAAATCCTTAGGGGAGCCCTTTTTGCTAGTTTTATTGGAAATCTCAGGGATTGTGCTTCGGTTCCGTAAGATACTTTGTTCGTTTTCTTCTTCGTAAGTATTCTGAATGCTCTTCTTGAAGCTTTTTTGAATACTCTTTTTGGAATCATCCTGGAAGCTATGATTGGATATTTCGTGGTTGCTGTTCTGGGACCTTGGACTGTTCAGGGACCTTGGGCTGTTTGGGAAACTGTCGCTCTTGTGGGACCTCTGGCTATTCTGGGACTTCCGGTTGCTCTGGGACCTCCGGTTGCTCTGGGAAGGTCGGATGCTGTGGGACCTCGGGCTACTCTGGGATCTGGGGCTACTCTGGGACCTCGGGCTGCTGTGAGACCTCGGGCTGCTCTGAGACCTCGGGCTGATGTTCTCGTTTGTCTTCCGACTGCTCTTCTCAAATGTTTTCCGGTTACTTTGTTTAGTATCTTGGACGCTATGAGTTGATGCTTCCTGGAGGGTCATTTCAATTGTGTTCCGGTTACCTTGTTGAATATCTTGGACTGATACTTCTTGGCTGCTCCAATGGGATTTCTTAGAGAGAATTTGTTGAGTAACTTCCAAGCTTTGATTGGATGCTTCCTGGCTGCCCCTGTGGGATCTTTTCGGGCTACTTTCTGGAATATCATGCATGCTAGCATGATTTGATACTTCCTGGCTGCTCCAATTAGATCTCTTGGAGCTACTTTCTGGAAAATCTTGAATACTATGGTTTGATGGTTCCTGGTGGCTCTTTTGGGATCTTGCTGACATGATTTGAGGAAGATCTAGGATGCTGTGGTTTGATGCTTCCTGGCTGCTCCGCGGGTTTGGACTGTCTTCTGACTTTCGTCCTCCCTTGATCCTTGGGACACTCTCGTACTCCTCTTCTCTGGCCCTGGCCTGGCTCATCGTTGACTCCCTTTTAACTCCCTTCATCTTTGGTATCCTCTCGTACTCCTCTTCTCGTGCCTTGACCTGGGCCTGGGCCTGAGCCTGGGCCTGAGCCTGGGCCTGGGCCTGGGACGTCGTGAGCTCCTTCTTCTTTTCTCCCTTCATCTTAGGTATCCTTTCGTACTCCTTATCTCTGGCCCTGGCCTTCGCCATCGAGGACTCTCTGCGGCGCATTAAGAAAGTGTCCACCGAGCACTGGTTAAAAGGTTTCACCTGCTCCGCCGCCCTTGCACTAGTTCGATCTTGGCCAGAAACTTGCCTGACCGGCATTCCCATTTGCAATCTAAGCGGAGTCTTGCTATACGATATCGTCGATGGCGCCTTAAGGGGTCGGCTGCCATTTGGGCGTATCCTGCGACGTAATGCGGACGGCGAGAAGGATCGGGACCGGGCAGCATCCATGACACACGAGGGTAAGCTCTGGACCAGCGTAAGCAGCAGTTGTTCCCCGATCTGGTCACTTACTTGCTGGCAATTATTCGGCCTGGAAGCTATCGACTTCCTTCGCGATCGACTGACATTACACCTGTAAGGACTCTGAGATCTGATTGTCCTACCGCCGCAATTGGGCATTTCTTCCTTGGCAGCGATGTGAGTTTTCAATCAATTTTACAATGCTTCCGTTTAAATTTGCTTTACGACATGACACCGAATTTTGTATTCCTATTGTTTTTGGTTTGAAAGTTGATAAAAGGAGAGATGGGTTCTTCAGTCTCAGCATAAATGGACAAGGTCCCTGTACTGAGTTATGAAAATCAACTCTCCAGAGTGCTTCTTATGGATTAACAGGTTGTGAGCTTACCAATATCATTATGTTTATACATGCTTAATTTTAAGGTTCAAGTGACGCAAATTGATGTTGTTTATGACTTAATGCCTAGAAACTGAATAGGTCAAAAAAGAGTCTAGTTCTAGAAGGCTTTGCAGCCTTGTTTAGTTTAAAACATCAAAAATGTATTGGCTTTGAATTATTTTGTAAGATTTTACAACTGCTCTACTATTTTGTAATCCTCTCTAATTTGGACATGCGCTTACTTTCTTGGTACTTTTAACACAAAAAAGGAGTTTTTACGTTTAAAATGTGCTGTCCGTGTCGGTGTCCGAGAAGGAGCCTCAGCTGCCAGATACGGTAAGCTCAAGTTGTTGGAGTTAATATGCGTCTCATGTGGGTTCTTCATATTTTATTGCAGAGATCGATGTTGTCCCAGGCCTTGTTGCCGTGAGCGATCCTGCTCCGTGGGCAATAATCGCGTCATCTTCCCTGGGGAGTTCCAAAAGTTCTCGGACATGATCCCACCTAGTTTTCTTACGAAGCAGCCAAAGTGCCAAAAGGTTAAGAAGAAATCAAATTCTGCAAGTCAGGCGGCCAAGGGGATAAATGATTCCGATTGTGTTGACAACGGAAATAAGGATAATTTATGCGACCCCGAAGAACAGAATGTCCCCCCCGAACCAGGACCTGGAGTTCCATGCAACCCCCACCCAGATCAATGCACAGATATGCCTTGGTATGGAAACAACTGTCAATCTGAAAATCTAATGCCAATCTGTATGCCACCACAACCCCAATGGGTATGCGTTGGATGCCCCGGTCCTATTTGTTGTCCAATACCTCCAAGAGATCCTGAGGGATTTAATACGGCACTTCCAGCCGCAGGAATGCCCACTAAACGTTCGGCTCCGTTTAATCCCTGCACGGGACAAATTTACCAATGTGAAACTCAGGATATTATGGCCGGAAACGAAACTGCTCAGTGCCCGACCTATAACCAAATCTGTCAGGGCGTAAACATATGCTTTTGCCCTGGCAACCCTTGCTATCAACTGAATCCTTGTAACTTTGGAGAAGGAGCAAACCCAAACCAACCTAATGGAAATCAACAATATTATCAGCCTTATCAGGGCGCTAACATGGTTCCCAATCCTAGTAACCCATATTATCAATACAATGGAGACGGAAATGCATGTCTGCCTCCGAGGAATCCGAGTCAAGTTCCCCAAGAATATTCGCCAACGGGTGAAATGCCTCAAGGTGATAAAAAATCAAATAGTAAATCAAAAAGAAAGGATAAGGGAGAAGGAAGCGTAGCAAAGGCAACCAAATCAACGAAAGATACCACCGGTAACCAGAACCATCAATATAATCAGAATAACTATGGAGTGGGAGCATACCCAAACGGAGCCAACCCATGTCAAGTATATTACCAATACTGTCAGGGTCTTGGTAACCCGTATTATCAATACAACGGCGGAGACGGAACTGTGGGTGCATCTTTACCTCAGGCTCATAATAGATCAAAGGGTCAAGGAATGGGAAATGAAGCGAGAGAAGGAAACATAGCCAAGGCAACCGAATCAAGGAAAGGTGCCACCTCAGGCCAAAGACAACAATATAATAAAGATAATTGCGTAGAGGTAGGTCAAATGAATTCACGTCAAGTACCTCAGCAGAATCAATCCTCTGGCCATGTGTCTCGAGGTGGTATGGGGTCAAACTCTCAAGGAAAGAGATACGAATCCAGGGAAGCTCCCAGATCTAATAACCACAATCGACATAACTCCCACAATTATAGAGAGGGATCAATGGATCGTCGAAGAGATTCTCAGGGAAAGCAATCTGGAAGATCTGTTCCTCAACAGAATACAACTGGTGGTCATAGTGGGTCTCAAGGTGGTAACAGGTCAAAGTCTCAAGCAATAGAACGTCCAAGATCTAATAATCAAAATCAACCAATAGATACTAGAAAATCTCCTCGGACAAACTCGCCTGGCAATCAAGTTCAGCGAAGTTCTTATAGATCACAGTCTGTAGAGCCGCGAATCGAATCAAGAAAAGACAACTCAGCCAGAAACCCCCAACTGAGCAGATCAAGAACCAAAAGTCCTGATCGAGCTCTTCATGGTGATAGCAGGTCAAAGTCCTTGGGAAAACGATACGAGTCAAGGGAACATCACTCTAAAAATAATACTGAACCTAATTCACAATTCTATCAACAGAGTAGAGGCATGAGTTTTGGTCCCTCAAATCAGCACTCTGTAGCAGATTGTCCTTTTCCCGATCCCATCTATACCACTCAATTAGAGTCCACTTTGGGTGACTCACGTTCTGCGAGTGAGAGAAACAAATCAAAAGAAGGGAACTCAACTAGGACGAATCAAAGTCTCTCCGGAAATCAACCCATTCAAAGTTATAACTTGCGATTTGATACCAACAATCAATGCTGTCCCAACGAATGTTTCTGTCCTCCGAGCCCACAAAAGTTGGGGTTCCCAAGAGAGAAGACCTTTGACTTGACTTCGCAAGACCGCTCGCAGCTTCTCAACCGGTGAGTTTACTGTCACAGAATTTAAATAAAATATCAGCTTTAGCTGATATAAATAATAATCACACACACACCACACTCAGCTTTACATTAATGTTTCGTCGAAAATGAAATGGTCTTCTTTGCAGGACTAAGGAGTCCGGCTCATTGGATGATCTGCAGATGTCTATGAAAAAGTGTAAGAACAGGCCGGCTTCGGCTGCCAAGAAGAGTGTTTGTAAATCGTGTACCAAAACTAAGCCCTGCCAGCCAACGCTCGAAGAGCTACTCGCAAATGAAGTATCACAGCAGCCTCATGTGCTCGTGCTCAAGTCGAATAAGGATGATAAGAGGAAAAAACCTTCTGCAAAGCGGGAGTACTCCGAAGCCCAGGTTCAATGCTGCTGCGATTCACTGGATGAACTTAGCAGCTGTGAATCCCAGGACGACGACGACAACTGCGATAATGGCTCAGACACGGTGACTGAGTAAGTAGTGATGGATGTGAATTATGATGAGTGTGAATTATGAAATTATGAATTAAATCACAGCAATGCCGAGGAGAAACCCAATAGTGATGAATCTAGTACCGCCAATACCGCCAAGTCCACCAATAGCTGCTGGATGGGATGTTTTAATCCCTGCCGCTGTCGCTACGGTCCTTGCAATGGTCCTTGCGGCGGTCCCTGCAGCGTTCCCTGCAATGGTCCTTGCAACGGTCCCTGCAGCGGTCCCTGCAATGGCCGCTTCTATTACTGCGGAAACTGCTACAATGGTTGTCGCAAGTGCTACTGTTACCCCTGCAATCCCTGCGCTGGCTATTGTTGCAGCCAGCCACCGGCTGACCCGCCAAAGAGTGACAAAGCTAATGCAAAGTCAAAGGAAAAGGTAGAGGGCGGAAAGGGTACTCACAAGCGAAAAAAAGGAGGCGTCTCTGAGAGCAATCCAAATTACTCTATCCTGCCGCCTCCGCCCATACTCGGCTTTCCTTTTACGAGTCCTTCGACCATGTCCGGTTATTCTCCAACTGTGCCGCCCCAATACATATCTCCGTACAGTGGACGCTGGCCAGCGAGCGAAGTCGTAAACAATCCAATGTTTTCCAACAAAAATCCATGAATAGCTGCACGCGCCACTGACATAGGAATCCTTGTCATGTCTAAATTATTCGTTGAAATATTACTTTTTTAAAACAACACTAGACGACACCTAATAAAAAAATAATTCAAAAACAACAGAGTAATTATAAGTTACAATTTACAAAGAATAAGATGCGTAACGCAAGGTATGTTAAATTATGGCCAACATAGTTTTAAAACTTGTCATGAATACTCACACTTTTGTTATATACACTCACAATCACACGCACAATTTACTTAGATTTTCCTTAGTACTTTTTTTATTAGTTCAAATCTTGAATTTCCTTTTATACACTCTTGTCTGTGTGTTCTCTCTTTTGTATAACCATATACATACAAGTATATATATATATATATAGATTTTTTGAAAATTTTCTTTGTGGGCTTCGGTTTTGTAGAAAAACTTAAAAAGTTCTTTGTCATAAAATTAAATACAATTTGAAAGTTGTTTGCTTTAGAAAAGAGTCCTAACTAAAAACTATGAACATAGCACACATTGTAAACATGTTTGTGTAGTGCAGCCATTAATATTGTTTGATTTGTGTTTCTATTATAATAATAATAATAATAATGGGGGAATATATTAGATTTTTAAATAAGAAAATAGATATTACAGCTAAATGGGGGAAATTCTAGCACATGATATATGTATGGATCTGGGTTCCGCAGCGCTGCTTCCTTTAAACGTAGATCTAAACTGAGTTTGGCTTGCATATTGCCCTTTACTTTATGTTACGTTATGCTTGCATGGTTAGCTTTCGTGTTGTACATATTAAATGTAGGTATATATATATATGTTATGGTTATCTTACTAGCTATATGGACTCCTTTATCCGCCCTTATTCATGTTGCATCCCGCACTCGATATATTAAGCTTTAACAATTATGGTTTAAAATAAAATAGAAAGAAAACAAAAACTACCTACACTTTCTGCATAGCTCAAACTATTTACATTGGACAGTTTTCTTTTTTGTTGTGGGTTGACCGAGAACTCCAGAAATTATGGTTTTTCGAGGATGAGTGGGTTTAAATTATTTGTCGGTATGTCTATTATTTATGGATAGGTGTAGCTTTTGTTTCAAATCACATTTGTTTGCACTCCCAAACGAAAAAAAAACTTTGAATAACTTAAGGAAATGTTGTTGCTGTTTGCTGTTGTTGTTGGGTTGGTGAAGATTGGAATAAAGCTTCGTTCTGCCTCCTAGGCATTCTCATCGGTTACATAGATGTAGCCATGCTGCTGCAGTATGCTCAAACGCTTCTCAACAGCATCGCGATCTAAATAAGCGGAAATTAAATTAATTGATTAATCAAATTTTAGCTTGAAACAATTCACAACAACTTACACTTGTTCAGCAGCATTTTGTCCTGCGGATGAGTGCACTTTTGCACCAACGAATGCAGCAGAATGTGTGCCGTGTTGTAGCGCTCGAAGCAATTTTTGGTGTTCTTCAATAGCTCATCCAAAGCAGCCGCCTGACACTGTGTTAATAGTTTAAAAGATCAAATGTTAAATAAGGGATATTGATAAATCATTATTATATATTACAACAAGATTGCAAAATATTCACAATAATCTGATAGATTCTCTTACCATATCCAACGCATAGTCGTAGAGAATCTTATCCGCCGTAATATTAAATGCATTCGCCTTTTGCAGCAGGCCGCTGCCATTGAGGCGCTTGGACTCGAACAGCATGCTCCGGTATTTGGCGTTCATGGTGAGCAGAGCTGCCAAGCACAGTAAGATTATGTTTTATATAAACCTAACCTTCTATATGGAAGAGTAATTCGCCACTTACCATTCTTCACATTGGACGACGGTTTCAATTGGCCGTTGCGCAGCTGCTGGGAAGCCAAATTCATGCCGGACGAGAGCAGCTGTAGGCCACGAACGAGCAGCACCAGACGCTCTGCTCGCTTACAGTGCTCCGGAGCGTGTGGCGGTATTTGCTGAGCATCCGCCGCTGCTGCTGCTGCTGCTGCCGCCGACTGACTGCCGGCCACCATGAGCGTGGAAAGCGGTGCGCAACGGGAGTCGGCCACCTCCTGGATGCAGTCGGTCAGGGCCAGCACAAAGTTCAGCTTGGACAGTGTCTCGTTGTGCTCGCGATCCATTAGCGTCTCCTCGGAGAGCTCCGGTGCCTGGAATGCATGTGGTTCCCCGCCACCGCTGCCGGCTCCAGTGTCCAGCAAGCTGTGCAGGCCACCAGTGGCGCCCAGCTCGGGAAGCGTGAAAGCTCTCGGTCCCAGCATATGATGCTGATTGTTGTTTTCCGACCCGCTGCCCGCCGAGCCAATCGATCCCAGGGATCCGGGAGCCACCAGCATGGTGGGACTGCCCAATGTGGGCAATTTGGTGAGCGCTGCGGACGGCAGAACCGGAGAGCTGTTGCCGCTTCTTCGCAGCGGAGATTGTGAGTGTCCCGGCGACACCTGCCAGGTGCTCGGAGCATGAGGCGGCGGTGTCTCCGACAGCGATCCACCCGATGCAGAGCGCATCCGCGTGGGTGGCGTTCCAATGGCAAACTGCACCGCCGGCGGTGAGATCGAATTAATGTCACTGCTCACACTGCTCTTGCGCTGATCCGGTCGCGGCTGCTTCACGCTAATGGGCTGCGATCGGGGTATCTGCTGGCCGCCCAGAGTGGCCACCGTCAGTGGGACAGATCCCTGCCTAGCCGGGGAACCATTGGCAACCTGGCGTCGAGCTGGTGCCGGCACAGGCTTCGGCTCGGAGATGGGCAGACTGCTGGGTCGTGGCGGACTGGATTGATTCTGTTGCTGCGCAGGGCGCTGGCCACCGGAAGCTGGCTGAGCTTGGGCATGGGCCAGACCCTGGCGCTGATCCTCAGGCAGGTTCTTTGGCACCAGCACAAAGTCATCGGAGTCCTCGTGGGAGCTGCATGATCCGCTGTTATTCTCACTATCGCACAGCACGCCCACATTGGTGATGGTGGCACAAATGGCTGGATTGGCCACCACGGATACTGAAAAAAGTCAATCGAATACGGTAAGTATTTAAGATAATGTAACAAAATAAAGAATTTATGATCTTACTCGTATTCTCCTCCTCCTCTAGGGCCGCCTCCTGCTCCTCGCGCTCCCTCTGCTGCTGCTCGGCCAGCTTGACCAGCTGCAGTTCCTGCTCCAGCTGCTGCTGCAGGGGGCTCTTGGCCTTGGCAGGCGGAGTACCACCCAGCGGTGGCATGTCAACTGCAAGAACACCAGTCTTAGAGACTCGCCGCCGCAGGTTGCTACTTGAGTGCTCACCTGGCGACGATGCGGCCGTCTTCTTGCCCAGAAGGAACCGATGCACAAAGAAGCTCTCGTACGAGATGCGATCCTTGGCGTTGCGGCGCAGCAGGCACAGCAGAAGATCCCTCAAATCCGGCGACACGCCATGGGGAATCCTTACGAAAAACCAAGATTAATTATTTCTATCAATCGCAGGAGCTTGAAATTAACTTACTTGGGCGCCAGGTTGGCATTCTGTTCGTAGTAGAACTTCAGCTCGTTGGGCGTTTGTGCATAGAAGGGCGCCTTGCCCGTGAGACACTGATAGACAATCGTGCCCAGAGACCAGAGATCCGCCTTGGAGTCGTACTGCAGCGACATGATCACCTCCGGTGCCTAATGGAATTTAGAAATGTATAATGATGAAGGTGTAACTCAACGATAGAGTCATTATAGACTTACCATGTACATGGGCGAGCCGCACAGAGTGGCTGCCATAGCGCCCTCGTTTAGAAAACGCGCAAACCCGAAATCGGCTGAAATATAGAGCATTTAAAATATTAGTATTCTGAGAGAAAGACTGGTCGAACTAGTTCCAATGTTATATATGTTATATCTAAATCTACATTAAAAAAGTAATTATCCAAAGTCGTTAGAAACTGGAAAATGGAAAGTTTCAAACTTGTTTTTAGTTTTTATATTAAAGCTTAAAGTATTATGTGCTGATCATTAGATAAGCTAATTATTGCTTGCTTCGTTATTTATTTTATCTAAAGTCTAAAGTCTTGTATTTTTTACTCACCAATTTTCAGGGTTATCTTCGATGGAGCTGGCAAGGTTTTGCCATAATTGTGCGATAGCAAAATGTTTTGTGGCTTGAGATCACGATGCACAATTCCTTTGGTATAAAGTGCCTTCATAGCACCAGCTAAAATTTAAGGAATATATACAAGAAATTTTAGTTGCGTTTTTAAAATATAATTGAAGTTTTAAAAGTACCAAAATGTATATAATAAATAGAGATAATCAGTATATAGTGGAATCCACTCTTACCTAGTTGTACGAGGAAGAGTCTAACGGTATCCTCGCTCAGTGTTCCCTTGACACTCAGGTAATCCGCCAGGTCACCGCCATTGCAGTACTGCAAAGAGAAAATCGCAAAACAGAAAGAGTAAGTAAAGTTAAGTGAAAAACCCAATTAAGAGTGCTCTCCCCAGGCGCAAGTCAAGAGTTCAGTGCGCATATAAATTATCGAGATGCGGAGACCCCCAGAGACCTCATCCGTACATCCTCAAAGACAAAATCCCAGAGCAAAGCGCGACCCATGCAAATGAATTAAGCCCAATCAGTGCGAAAATGCAAGAGCCTCGAGATTCGTCTCCATCTTCATCTTCCAGCTGCGGGTCGGTCTTTTGTCCGACATTCAGCCCAATTATTGAATGCGGCAGGCAGAGCAAGGTCACCGCGAATATGATTTATGGCAATTTTCTGAATCAAGAACTGGAATTAGGGAAATGTTTTCTGTTTCTGGAACACCCGCCAGCCAGCTGCTTTCGCTTTGTCGCTTATCCAACAAAGGGTTCAGTTCCGGTTTATTTCGGCAGTGGAAAAAACAATAGATCGTGTTACACTTGGCCACTAAAATCTGTTTTGAGTTTATGACTGTTGAGTATATTTTTAAAATGAGCTTACGATCAAAATATTTATTTATATATACTTATATTACTCAGTAAAATCCATAATACAAGTTTTTCAATGATATATTTATGTATAAACATCGCATAAACATTGAACAAAATTTATAAGAACTCTCATAGAAATAATATAGTATTTAAGCCAGGTTTTAGGTATCAACAATATTAAAGAAAACTTTGAAGAACCCTCTCCAAAAGTTCTATAAAAAACATAAATATGTTTTATATGCTGCACTTCAAATTTGTACCGAAGATACAATCTTAATTTTAAACACCACCAAAAATAATCCTTAGATCTAAAGTTAACTCCTGGTTTTTTTTTTTGTGGCAGTGTAAAAATATTAGACTTTGATATATAAATGGTTTAAGCAACCCTCGAAAAAATGTAAATCAAGGAAACCCCACCGTACTTCTCACTCTCTTCTTAGGCAGCAAAAGCTGTCCGAAAAATTCCGTTATTTTTGGTCAGAGCAAGTTGCCAAAAAGGATTTGCGATTTTGTGACCTTGAGGTTGCCAATCAAAGACATGACTATAACGTTTTTCCAACAAGCACGCAGCACTCTATATACATACATATGTATGTATGTATGTGTTTTTATGGACTTTTTGTATGTTTTGTTTTTCATGAGAAAATATATGAACCACTTACAGTTTAATGAGCAAACAAAGCAAGCAACAACAACAATATTGGGCAATTAAACATCCAAATTGATGAAATGACAAAAGATTTCACTTCCGAGGAGAGGAGCACCAAAGAGAAGTGAAGAGAAAAGAACACTAAACATGTCGTTGACATGGTAAAGTGACAATTGCAATTTCAATAAAATAAAAGTAAGAATGAAAACGAAATGGGAAACAATTTTCTTTGGCAATAAAGATATAAGCAATATCAGTTGGAAATAACAAAAGTTATTTAAATTCCCAGCAACAAGTGCGCATGAGTCAGCTATTTATTGAAAAAATGCACTTGGGTTAAATTATAAAAACAAAAACATTTGGGATTTTTCAAGAAGAAAGGGAAAATCGAGGTAATAAAGTGAAGAGAGCCAAACTCTCTCTTAAGCCCCGCAAATAGCTCTTTCAACATTTTGAGCTTGACGCTTCTGCGGTCTCAGCAAGTTCATTCTCTTAACGACACTCGCGCGATACGCACGGAATAACTGTGAAAGCTGTCAGCGGCAACAAAGAAGAAATCTACGAAAATAAAACAAAAATAATATAAATAAGAACGGTATTCGGGTACTCATATTTTGACGTGAAACTCTGCCAATAACTCCCGATTCTGGTTCCTTAAAAAGGCATATATAAAACAACGCGAATCATTATTTCAAGTAAAGGCAATGGACTAAAGGTCAACATTTTCTAGGCGATAAAAATAAAGCATGCCGCCATACATACGATTATATACGTATACTACATTGTACCCAGCAATCAACAGAGAGTGACATGAAATGGAATTAAAACAAGCGTTTAACTAAGTGCTCGCAACTCGGTGAATCAAGTGCTTCTCCCCTTGAAAATCACAAATATATCAAAATTTGTAACTCAAGTCACGAATAAGATCTGAACAAATCGGTTTACTCATTAGCCGTTTTTCTATTCCTATGCATTATTTAAAAAATGTTAATGAAATCATTAGTTTTCTGACGACAATTAGTAATAATGTTTTCCTAAAATCAAAGTTCACATTTTGACATAACTATAGAGATTTTGCTAAAGTGGAATTAATTGTATAATCTTAGTTAGAGATTATAAAATGTGAATATTTTTAAATAAAGCCTTATTCATTGTTAGTAAAAATCACAACGGTTTTGTCTGTTTTATAACCAAAGTTTATGGTCCACATTATCTGTTAAATCAAAAAAAGTTCCAGTGAATCAATTAAAATAATAATAAAATTTAAATATCACCAGTTCTAAATATATGATGAAATGAAATTGTTTAAACAACATTTTATTTTAAAACATTTTCAAGAACACCAATAACCATTAATTATTGAGAATCAGAATTTGAGTGTAAGAAAAATGAAAACAATAATCAAGAAAGAGAGCAACTGGAATTACAATTGGAAACTGATAAGATTAGGAATAACGGCTAAACATCAAGCTAAACATCGGAGCGATTAAAGACGGGAGAAAGAGAGAGCCCAGATAAAGGAGGCGCCTGAGAGACTAACTCCCACTCTCTCTCACACTCTCTCTTAAGCACACCCGCAGGCAGTGGCGTAGACTTAGGTTCTCAAAATGTTTTAGTGCTAAAAAAAAATGTTTTCTAGACATAAACTAGGTTATCTCAAACATTGCTCAATGAGGGGTCTTGAGCTCTGAAAATCGCAACCCCTCCTGTCTACGCCACTGCTGTAGGCACGCACACCTGTTCAGAGAGTTCGCTGCATTTGTTCGCAAGTTTCTCAATCGCTCATTTAAGAGTCGACTTGCGAGTGGAAAAGTTCGTGCGAGCGGAGTGAGCAATTCGCGAAAAATACATTTTTATAACATTTGGCAAAACTCAGAGCAGCCGGCAAACCCAATAAAAAATTAATAAAGCTTATAATTCCAAGTGAAAAGTGAAAAACGAAACAGCACATGCTGAACGAATTTAATGAATCTATTTTTAGATTGCGAAAAACAAAAGAAAATGCAATGAAACCCACCAAATAAACATAAATATAAGAAAACAAACTTTGCAAAAAAAATCAGTGAAATCGAGAAACAAAAACAAAAGGCGCAGTGCCAGCGAATAAACAAATAATAAGTCATTATGCACGTGTATTACAAATTTGGATTACTGCTAATATTCTTGCTTAGCGTAAGGTAAAAATCAATTTCCAATAAATATTTAAAGCTAATAAATTTGAAATTCTTATTTGAAAAGTGACGCAGGGTTGTTGGGTATTTTTATAATAAATTTGTATTTGCTAAAGAGAAGACAGAAAGTCCCCAAGAGGAAGGAATAATATAAATAAAACAAAGTACAAAGTTTCCATTGAGAAGCATTCAAAAGTGATTAATTCAACTCGAATCGGAATAACGACAGGTGAACCCGTACAACGGGACTTTGACCCGCTCACCGCTTGAGATACCAATGCCGAACGGAATGCTCACGCAATTGGGTTATAAAATAATAGCAAACTTTTTATTGATAGACCTCGGCAACAGCTCCTATAATTGCAAGAGTTTACACTCTCCACCTAATCGTATCGCGATCGCATAATCTGATAAAAATAATAACGATATGCGCTTGCTCGATAATTTATACCATTATTCCTTATCATATGAATGTGTTTGCTCATTGATACATTCGCTGGGAATTGCTAAATTCGAGGGCACGCAAATATCGAACCATTTTTAAAATAGCACCGAAATTTACAACTGTCTCGCTTTTCCTGTTGTTGGCTAAGAGAATTTATGACTCAGATTTGGATTAGCCAGGCTTCCTATTTCAGCTTGGGTACACAGAAAAAAAATCATACAATAGGGTAATATATTTTGGAATTGATTGAAACCTTTTTATTATTATTTTAGTCATAAGCTTTTAACTCAAAGGACTCATTTCCGAACTTATAAATCAGTCCATGTAATACATATGTTCATATAATATATAAAAACTAAAATAAGAAAGCTTTCCGACTTTAAATTAATGATTTTTTGGCTTCTAAACTTTGTAGGTTTTATATACCAACAATTTTAAAAGTGTAGCAAAGGACTTTTGTCCTATTGATTTTTGGGCTTTTCTTCCTTTTTCACTCACTTTATATTAAATCGCTGAAAGTAGAGTGCTTTTAAGTGCCGCATCCAATTCATAACATTTTATTTCAAGTAGTCAAGGGAATCAACTCGCAAGTTGACTAGGTCGTCATGCTTTTAGTTATAGTTTACAGCGCGATCTTTCACAATAAATAAATAAACCTGCAGTTAACTGAAGCCTGAAGGCTTCAGTTGGGTAATGTTCGATTTTAATATCTTTATTAGACGGTAGAAATACAGCTATACTATCCATTTCTTATCGCTACTACAGTTCCAGATACAAGCTTCGGTTCCATATAATATCGTTTATTCCGTCTAATTTAGCACTTTTATGGCCTGACAAGTATCTTCAACAGTCATTGAAACTTCACTCAACTGTCACGCAATTGAAGAGACTTCTAAATGGCATTTTTAAGACGCACTTGAACTACTGTTCCGCCCATATATCCCCTTACCACCCCCCTTACCTAGGTCCGAAGTCGCCAAAAGCAGGAGGATAACGAACGATTTAGAATCAGGCGACGCTAAATCACAGAAAGCTAAAAAAAAATAAAAATAAACAAATGGCTAAAAGTGAGAGTAACGAAAACGTAAACTAAAAACCGGTCAAGTTGTCTCTTTTGCCATGACGTAAACGGGTTTTGTCTCTGTCTCGGTTTTACAGCAGTGATTATACAGTGCATTTCAGTAGTATAAGTCGACGTTCAAGAGCGAATTTATAATTTACAGACAATTTACATTGTGGAAAATTTTGAGCTTTAAGTATATTTGTTTTAAAATAAATATAAATCTTTAAATTCTTTTCCACAATAATATAATAATTTACCATTTTTCAAAATAATAGAAAATAATATTTAAGAGGTACTAGTACCTTAAAAACTCTTTCTTCATCTCAATGAATGACCTGTAAATTGGTACACCGCTGTATGTAGAAATATGTATGTTTTTCAACATAGGTATATATATTCATTCATGCTCTCTGACGGACCAAACATAAACAAAAGCGTATAATGATAGTGGGGAAACCGGAGACGCCGACACTGGCAAAATTATCACGAATATGTGTGCTTGAGCGAGAGACGATGGCGTGGCTATAATAAAATAGGTCAAGAGCGTTTTCAGGACAAATTAGCGAGGTGTGTTTGCCTTCAAGACACGAATGATGTAAGCGCGTTCTGCCTAGAACTGCCAATCTAAAGCCAAATATTGACAGTATTTTTGGGGTTTTTGGTAAAACAACATTACAAACTTGACAATTAATTGTTGTATAAGTAATGAGTTAAAGTTTGTTAGGGGTAATACCTTTTAAAGTAATTTAATTTTGCATTATATACAAAGATCTTAATGTCGTTTATTTTTTTTTCAGCATTAGCCACACAAATGCAGCTCCAGCGGGCAGCGAGGAGGCCAAGTTAATGCCCAACACCGATGACGATTATAACTATAGTGATGATGACTACAGTGATGAAACGACAGACAAGGAAGTGCCAGAGACGGCAGAAAATAGACTGATGCCAGAATTATCCTCCTCATCGACCACAACTACATTTCGACCAATATTTAGTAAGTCAGAGTCCTCTTATGATATCTATCCCTACTTAAAATTGATCCTTTTATAGATATACCACGACGCAGCAACCATGTCCTGGAGCCCAGTTGTCCGCGCAACTGCCTTTGCCTGGAGGACTTCAAGTACGTTCAGTGCACAAATGCCCATTTAACCCATGTCCCCCTGGATTTGCCCAAAACGGCGGCTATTATTGATTTGAGCCACAATGTGATTGCCGAACTGAGACCCGAGGATTTTGCCAATCTTTCAAGAGCGGTGGAAATCACTCTTAACCACAATTTGATCAGTCACATAGACAAGGAGGTGAGTTGTTAATACCTGTAAGAGTTCTGTTTAAGAAGTATTTAATTTCATTCAATTAGAAACAAATACTAAAAGGTTGAATTCTTCAGGTTTTCCAAGGCTCGGAACGTTTACAGCGACTGAGATTAGCCAACAATCGCCTAACCAAAATTGATCCCGATACATTTTCGGCCGCCAAGGAGCTGATACAACTGGATTTGAGCAATAACACGATTATCCAAAGACTGGACGGCTCGTTCTTGAACCAACCGGATTTAGTAGAATTTAGTTGTGCCAACTGCAGCTGGACGGAATTACCGGAGCGGACGTTCGAGAATATGAGTTCCTTGCAAGTACTTCGCCTGAACAACAACGATTTCAAACAGGTAAGAAATCGAGCGCCAAAGCTATCGCACTATCGTTGGAGACTGCTTCTCCTACTTGCTATCGTTCTATCGATAGTTGGCGCAGCTGTGTGTGCTCCCCTACGAAATATAGTCGTCCCGCTCTGTCTCACAGTCTGTTTTTCTCTTTCTCACTTGACAGCAAATCAATACGAGAGCTTTCACGCCGCTAAAAAATTTAATTAAACTGAAGCTGCCGGAGCTGGACCAGCCCAACATCGAGGAGCTGTGCAACTTGCTCAAGTCCATTGATAACATCAGCTTCCGCCACTTTGATGTCAGCTGCTACGAGCTTGTGCTGGGCACCTCCTTCAACGAGAGTCTGATTACGGTCACGGATCCGCCGTTCAACCGGATTACAGGTCTGCCCACACTAGCCACCAGCACAGCGGAGCCAGCCACCGGAACTCCAGCACCGCCACGAACTGGTAAGTGCGCTGTTCAAACAATGCTGGGATTGGGTTTAAGACAATCATCATATTAATACTATCTATATGGCGTGTAAACAGCAAATCGCAATCGGGGCAAAATGGCCAACAACGGCACAGATGTGGTCAAGGCCGGAATCTTGAGTTCGGTGACCGAGAGCAACAGCGGGGTCAGCGTGGAGACATCCACCGAGAAGGAGAAGCCCTACCAAGTGCCCATTTCTCAGGAGGCCATCAACACATTGCTTATCTGTGAGTAAACTAGGTTTAAATGGAACTTTAAGAGTGAAAATGACCAAGTTCTCACTAACATTCTCCTTCTGCTTTCAGGCATCATGGCTTTGGCCGTGATTGGTATTGTTATTGGCCTCATTTGCCGCAAGGATATTGGCGGCATCAAAACCAAATGCTGCCGCACTAGCAAACCAAAGGAGCCAAAGGATCAGGTCCATCCCACTGAGGAGATACCATTAAATAAGCTAGCCTAAGAGAACTTTCCAAAAAACGAAGACGAAAAACAAGAATCCTATCCTCCAGTTTTGAGAACAAACCAATTCCATGTTGACGGCATTTTTGCTAGATTATAATTAGATCTAATTGGATAATTAGTTAACTACTTCACTGACATCATATCTAATTGTAGTTTCTTCTCCATCGCACAAGCAACAGCCACCACCAGGAAGTGAATTCCCAATCCTTTTGTTAGGTTATCCTTTCTAGTTGTTAGTCCGGACTAGGTTAAGCCGCCTGCCTAGTCGCTTAGCGTTCTTTTCTTTAGGGAAGTTCGGGAAATGGGATCCCAGACCCACACACACACCGCGCACACACTCCTGGCTCTGTCCTAGATTTAGTTATTTCCATCGCAACACTTAAATTAATGTAACACCTAGATACTTTAGTTATTAGAGCTGTCTTTAGCTATATAAATGTATAGACTTTTGCCAAAATACAATAAAAATAATTATTGTAAATAGTAAGCAATGGAAAATGTGTTTTAGAGAGATAAAATTGTTTTAGATATGATTATTTACCTAAGATAAAGGGAAAAGGGGACATCTGTGTTTATGTATGCCGCGTTATCTTTGTTTACTGAAATCGGAAACTTCCCTGGTCCAGCGGACAACTCCCGGAAACCCGACACCTGATAACCTTGATTTCTATCCCACACTTGCATATCCTATCATATATTTATCCCCAGACAACAGACAACAAATTAAGCAACGTGTAAATAACGTAAAATATTGGCAAAATAAATAAACAAGCAGTAGCCAACAGAATTGTGGGAAAAGCGGAATGGGATAGCACGTGGCCAAGGCAGAGAACCAATAAAAATCATCAACACGGGCACACACAAAACGAACCGATTAATTTCGGGGAAACGGAGGAGTCTCTCTGGGGGCCAACAAATTAGAATACCAGCAGAGCAGGGGCAGAGCAAACATGGCGAATGGGGCCAAAGTCAGGCGATCGAACACGGCTGAATGGCAGATGAAACACTCCCTATCGCTACACCCCTATCTCCCAGCTCCACCTATGAATGTATGATTGTTATGCCGATGACATGCAATCGCGTGGCCACAACAATGTGGCTGTTGGAAGCCAAACTAAAAACAAAACAAAACAGCAACAGATTGGGATTTCGATTAGGTGTGTTTTGAAAGCACCCTTACCTTGGGCTAGAAACAATTCTCGAAAATACTCTATCTTTGGATTGAAACACATTAGAACACTTCTCATTTCCATTTCTTGTTTAAGTGAAGTACCAGATATTTTATAATCGAAATAAGCAGTATTTGGTACTTCTTTCTCAGGCAGTCAATTAAAAAAATCTATTTTCTCCTCAACTGTAATTTATCTAAACAAGAAAATATGGGAAAATTATGTTAAACATCGAATTATGCTCTTTTTAATAAGGGCTTTTGAAATTAGTTGTTATTTTGTGGATCTAACACAGACTTAACAGTCATTTATTAAAGATGACAGAATCCAAATATCTTAAACAAGCTGCAAAATTAAATCTAAAAAGTTGGTTTAAAAATAACTACATAAAAATATATCTTAATCAAAGTCTGTTGCATAATTTGCTTGATAAATGATACAAAAAAAATCTACAAAATACAACTATGTAAGGGCATCTATTTGAATAATTCTTCATTACTCTCACCCCTTTCAAAATCCTAGGGTATTTTGAAAGAAAACAACCCTATCCAATCTTATCAGTGAAAATGCTCGCAAAAAATAACAACAAAAAGCAAAACGGGGAAGCTAATTCTCGTGGCACGGGCATTTGACCTAATTTCAAGATAATAGATTGCGTATTAAGACCGCCACACTGCCCGCTAAAAGTACGCAAACACCTGTAACCCAAATTAAGTTGAACAAACTTGAGGTTAAATATACATTTGGTATCCAATGTGCGATTGTATAGGTGTAAATCAACAAAATGCGTTTTAACAAAAACAGAAACGATGAATAAACCAACAATAAAAATAAAAGAAAAACAAAGAGATCAAATAAATGGTAGCATAACGTTGATTGGGATTTATATCACCTAATACATATATAAATTCAGGTGATTAAAAATAGTAGTTAAAAGTTGGTACTATAACTGGCATAAATTGTTTATGGCTCGTCAATAAATGTATTTAAAATAACCACGTAAATATTCCTCGATATCAATGGCACAACTCTTTTTCTAACAAAGACTATAAGCTTATTTAAGGTATTTGCGAAAATCCTTTAAGATATAGACTTCAAAGATACAGGTATAAAGGAAAACGCATTCATAAGTAGCAAGCATTCGATGCCAATCGATGGCTTTGGCCATTCTATTCCCACTTTATTTTTGTTTACGAATTCATTTCGCAACTTCCGCAATTAATGGCGTAGCATTTTTGGTCAAGAAGAGGAGGTCTGAAGAGAGGGCACGGGGGTATCCATTGAGTGGGAATGACGTGAACCTGGCCGACGTGCATTTTACTGTGCAATTTCTAGACCCTGAGTCACACACTCACACACGTTTTAGCCAAGAAAGCATTTAATATTTATGAAACTCTCGACGCTCTTTTGCGGTTAACTTAATGCTCATGTCTCACTTACCTCCATGACCAGGCTGACGCAATCCTGCGACTCCTTGCAGTCCAGCAGAGCCACCACATTCTCATGGTGCAGCTCGGTCAGCTCCTTCAGGATCTTGATCTCCTTGCCGAGCAGATTCTGCGTCTTCAGCTGTCCCTTCTTTGTGATGCACTTGATGGCCACCGGCATGTGTTTCTATAAAGTATCACAAACAGAATGAAAGAAATGAGAAACATTTCATTAATACTTAATCAAGGGTTAGTCACTCCAAAGTCATTGAACGGACAACCGAATCATAAACCAAAGTCAATGAAATGAATCAATTCACTCGCTTTGGAATTCGATTGACACAAAATTAGCAAAAAACAAAACGCAATGAATGGGTGGGTTAAGGTTTTGACTTTTTTTGGATTGTTTTGAATCGGAAGCACAAAGGAAATTGTTTGTTTGGGAATGATGTGCATATTTTATGGCCAAAATAATAAAGTTCTTTATCGGTCATTTACTTAAGAAGGTAATTGAGAGATTACTTGTGGATACACTTTATTTATTGTTTTGCATTTTGATTTTATTCATTTAATTGGTTAAATTTATGTAATTAGTTTATTAACTGTTCTATTTTTACTCTTGGTTCAGAAATGTATATATTTTTTTGCTAAATTGTTCTGTCTTAGGTCCCTGACCTGTCTACTGTGAAGAGTCTATAGAGAGACGCGTTCAAACTCCTGCTGCTCCCATCTAAATCCCATAATCTGCGCATCCAGCTGTTGCCATAAATTTGCCTTTAAAATGTTTACATTCTCCTTGAGCGTAATGCCTTTGGCCTGCTTCAATTAGCACGCACCGAAACGGGGAAATGCCGGAAAATGCAAATTGTGATCCCAGAAGCAAACGAAGGGGTCTCGCTCGGTTAGGCGTTATTATTAGATACGCAAAAACGCATTCAACCAACCAGCAGGCAGACCGAAAGGGGCCCGGGGAAAGCCCATAATTGTGGTGAATAAGATTGTTTACTGCGAGCGCTTGTCGAGTGACGACGAACTTGGCCGGGACTTGCAGGCCGGGCCAACAGCAGCTAACGGGTTGAGTTAACCGGCTGAGTCGCTTCACTGATAAGGCCGACGGACGTCGTCGTTTAGTGCACCTTGAGGCCCTGCTCCTTCACCCCGTCGATTTCTCCTGGACGTGGTCACCTTATTTGCTTTTTAACTTAGCAGGTGACAATGACTCTTTGTCTGTGTTTGCTCGCTCCGCCGTCTGGCAAAAGCTCATAACAAAAGATGAAAGTGTAAATTTAAACAAGTTTGTCTACTTACTACAAGGAAGCAAAAATGTAAATAGTAATAGTTTTACATAAAGTATTGAATTGGGTTTTATCCTATGAAGATCAGGGATATAGAAAAGATCTAAAGAAATCTTTACCTGTTTACTAATTAAGGTACCAACTATTTTAAAACCTTGCCAAATAAGATTTTATAGGGTAGCTAAGTTACCTTCATTGTATAGCTTTCAAACATGCATCTATTGGATGCCTTTGTAGGCAGGCACTCTTTAGGTTTCCCTGCGGAATATCGTATCACCTCCCTATGTTCACGTGTTGATTGAATGGAAATGACAATCGATATGTTCTCTTTAACCCTCATAATCTCTCGCCAGTGCATCCACAGATGTGTGTTATTTATACAATTTACATTTATTCTTTAATATTCTTTTTCTGTAAGCTGCAATTAAACAAGCTATTCTTGCAGCTACTGACCGATAACAGGGCCCATGCACTTTTGTTTGTTTGTTTGAGGCACAATCTTGAACAGAGTTCAAATGCATCTGTTGTCAAGCCTGAAACCGGTGTTTGATGGATGCTGAACCTGAGACCTCCCGCGAGATTACAAATAACAATTTTGGTGGTAAATCATTACATATTAATAAGAGAGAAGAAAAAAGCTCATTTTTATTACCATATTGAAAACAAAGCAAATGACCATGGAATATATATGTAAAAAAAGAGCTTGAATCGCTTTTGTCTCAACTCTCATTATATTTAGCCTTTTACGTCACTCCATTATATTCCATTTACCTTCTATGTTCGCCGTCTAAGATAATAAAAACGCCAGAGATTAGATTACCCATAAAAATAAAAACAATTGCGGACACCGGGCAGCGGAAGCCGAGTCAGTTCTTGACCCAATCACCTCAATCATCCAAGCCGAGAGCTAGCGAAAACTGTGTCAAAAGCGAACGGGAAAGTTGCCGGCACCTGGCCTGGCACCTTGTGGAAAATGGGGAAAACTGGGAGAGAGCGACCTCCGATCCCGGAGATCTCCAAGAGAGGTTAGTTGGATATTTTTCCATCAATCAACAGCACAAAATACGTATACACCCAAAAAACAGGGAAAAGGTTCAACGAACTGGGTAGGGGGCTCGATAAGGCAAGGCAATTTTTTGTTATTTTTTGTGCGGTCTTAGGTGCAACGGCCCCTCAAACTAACAACAAGAAAGGAAAACATTTCTTTTGGCCAAAAAAATCGAGCCAAAAAGATAATAATTGCGCAGAAAATGCGAGAAAGAGTGAAGCCAACCAGAGACAAAAGCGAGCAGGGTAAAAACAAAGTGCAGCGCCTCATCCACAGGCTAGGCCAAGCCAAAGTATCGTCGTCGTATCTGATGGATACAAACAGCTAACTTCAACTGGTTTGGCGAGTGAAAATGTAGCTCTGCTCACCGTCAACCGTTTTAGCAAACAAATCGCGGAAATTCTCATTTTTTTGCGACGCAAAAGTTTTATTCCAATACCTCTACATAATTCACGCCCGATCGGATCACACGTCGTCCGGCTAATTTATATAGAATACCACCGATCTGGAGCTGAGAACATGCCAAACTAGTTTGTGTGAGTAATACCTTGGATAATTGGTATATTATGCTGGAAGATGTCTGGCAGCAGCATTTACTGAATAATTTATTAGTTAATTTCGGTTCTGTTTCAGTCTGCACGTGTTTAACTTGTTCCCATCAACACGAATTAGAAAGGTGATTTCGAGTTAACGATTAAGCATTCAACTTCCGTTTACTTCAATACAAATTAAATGAAATCAAAGGTTTCACTGCCTTTTTAAACACCTTAAACCTTGCTTTCTTGCCTTCGTTAGACATTTTTGTAACTCTTTAAATATATAATTTCCAAGTCTTTGTTGCCTTAAAAAGTGATCTTCAAACCATTGTGATTGATTACATATGGCACTGAAATTACAGCCTTTTAACAAATACTAATTCCATTTCTAAGAAACATGTGCCAATAGTTTTAATAGGGGCCTGCCCAGATGCTTCATTTTAAAACTGATTATAAAGCAATTTAAATCACTAATCACACAACACACCCAACGATTATAGCGATCCCCAACTATCTCAATTTCAATCTTTAGCAAGACGCATTTTCAAATCCAAATGCAGCAAGTGAAGTAACAGTGACAAAATCAAATGCAAAATGCAATTGCATTTTTTTGCTATGGACAAAAAAAGTGTATGAATATGCAAAGCAAATGCCTCCAAATGAGAACCGAGAACTCATTGCACAATCCAGCTCTGTGGCTGAAGTGGGGGCGCTGGCAGGTCTGGAAATACAATAAACATTACACGCGCTTAGAACGTAATTTTTTGCATGATTCCGACGTAGTGCAGCTTATGCAATTGGCGGGCGATAAAACAGAGTGTTCGTTCTGTGAAATATGGGAACACGTGTCGTCTGGTTTCGCACATGCCGTCGTATCCGCCAGATAAAGATTGATGGCTTCATTCATGATTGTGGAAAGTGGAAACTAACCAGACAGTCCGTACTTGGCACTGCAGCTGACATTTATTTTCGGATTCGGATCCTCTGCAGAGGATTTCCTTTTCTTGGAGTATCTTACGGGTGTGTATCTCTAGAAAATGCACATGTTACACACATATACACACTAGTTCTTTGACTATTTTTAGCGAATGTTCTGCTGCCGTTGCAGAGCACGTGCAGACAAAAGATACATTTCTGGAGATACAAATGCCAAGCACTCCGCATTGCCTTGTCCTTCGAGCTGCTTAAGTAACCCCAAGTGATTACGGCAATGTTAAGTCATGGAAAGAAATCGAAAACCGGCGTAGCTCCCACAAACCAGTTAAGCGTAATGGCCATAAAAGAAAAGACGCGGGAAGTTTAAGTCTACGTAACACGCATTCCGATTTTTATAGAAATGGCTTCAATGGTTTGAAGCTAAATAAAATTGATGTAGGTATTGTCATGTTATTACTTAGATAATAAAAACAGTCCTTTGTTTAAAAAACAAATTTTCTTAACTCGAAACAACGGTTCGAGACTTGACTAAGCATCTGGGATGAGCGAGAGCGAGATGGATATTGAAGGTTTTGAATATTTTTCAAAATTTTCAGAGTGAGTCTGTCCCAAACGTATTTATTATACATCTAAGTACTTTTTATTGAAATTTAAACCAAATTCAATAACTTAGGCTTTCACTACTCTCTCAAATTAGTTTTTAAATTGTTAAAAACTCAATTAATCTAATGACAAAGTTCGATAAATTAAAGTAACTTTAACAAGATACCAGTAATGGGATTTTCATTACATGATTAACGATCATAAATTGAACAAGCCATGTCGAGGGTTTTACAAAAAAATAAAAATAAATAAATAAAAGAAACACCAAACGGAAAAAACCCAAAAATTAAATCGACTCTCGATACAGATCGCTAGTGTATAAAAGGAGGGAAAGAGAGGCCTTTAATGACAAATCTACACGGTGACAGAGATGGAAAGGTTGAGGGTGACAGAGAGGGTCTTACGTCGTGTCTAGATGGAAAAGAGACAAGTGAGTGCTGCTGATGGTGGTGTTGGTGTACGTGTGAACCGATTGTGCCATTGTTATTGTTTTTTTTTGTCGTCACACTGCATTTGTAATTAATAATGTGATTTTATTTACACAGACGCTTGACGAACTTGGGCAATTTAGAAAAAAAAAAAAAATGGAAAACAAGAAAACAAAAATTGATAAGAGGGATTTTTTCTTTGCCTTGTTGCACTAATGAAAAACACGATCGTTGAACGAGAAAAACAGAACGCACTGAATGTTTTGCAAAAGATATTATGAGAAAGATAATTTTGTTTTGGCTTGATCATATGGAAATTCAAGTAGGTATATATTGTGTATAAGGAGATAAACACCCATATGTTATATATGTATGTAGGTGCGTGTTTTTAATGGATATACACACAGATACAGAAAACAGCTGATGCAATAACTGGCAGCTGTTGCCGCTCCGAATAGCTTTTCACTCTTTGCATGTTTTCTGTTTTGATTTGTTTTTGCTTATACATAAGTATATTGAATGAAACAAACACAAAAAACAAGCTCATTCATATTAATGATCTAACCATTTAGGATGCCCAACTATTATTTTATTGATGCAAGTTTAATTGTTTATGGGCTGATAACAGTTGCTTGACCTGAACGCTATTTAACTTGACTAACTTAACTGGTTAAGCCAGATGACAATTAAAACAATATTATAATGTTAAAATGAAGGATTTATCATCGTATTAAGAAAATATTTGTATAAACTTTTAATGATTATTTCGCTAGTAGAGAGGAAAACAATAAAGAAGGCAGTTAAGTTTTAAGTAGCTGGCTGAATCATTTTGTTGTCATATTACTAACTTATACATGAATATAAAATAATAGAAACCTATTATTATCTTGGATCGAATTTTATTATTATATATAATATGAAATATTCGTTTTTATTTAACGATAAGAATTTCTCACTCCCCTTTAACGCGCCTAACAATTGTATAGAATTAATTATTTCTGCTATGACCCTGAAATAGTTCAAAAGCACTTCTATGGCACACACTTATGCCACACACACATATGTACATATTTCTCATACGCCATGGTGTCCGTATATCAATAATACGTAGATATGCTTCTGCTGGGGACTCTCGCGAAAAGAAATCGCTCCAAAGCACGTGCGTGTGCCAGCAGCTGAAACCGAAATTCGCTTAGAAAAATAGAGGGGAGTGCGCACAAGGCAATAGAAAATAAACAATAGAAAGACGCAAATTTGAAGGAAAACAAAACATACATATAGCCACGCCTGAGCAGCAACAAAGGGCTGTGATTTCATTGGACTCTCCCGCTCAGCAGTGGTTACATTCAGTTTTCGTACAGTGGAATGCGTATTATTTAATTTTGTTAATAATAATACAATAAAAATTAACAGTACAATTGTGAAGTATTCAATAACCAACAAAAAATTCTATCTTTTACTATTATAAAATTTCGTTTTGTTTTATGAAAAAAAAAAAAAGAAATATAATTAAGTTACTTTAAACAGTAAGTAACAATGATCAGTAAGTATCTATGACCAGTAAGTATGAATGATCAGGTACTAACTTTGAACACTAATAAACAATGACTCGCAACTTTTGTAACACAACACATTTCTGAGACTTGGCCGGCAGCAGTCACTTCGTTCCGGGGATGGTAGAACCAGTTGGGAATCATAAGCACACATATGCGAGATTTGTTTTGGAACAAAATTAGGAGCAAGCTATTTCAATGAAACTATGGAGCTATTCTTCTATATAATTTTACTAGTATATAAGTTGGTGCATGGCCAATCGGTGGACTATATATATACATATATATAGCTGACATAGGAACAATCGGACCATTTATAGAACTATGAACTATGTAATTAACTATGATTAACTATTATTATTATGATCAGTAAATAACTATGATCAGTAAGTATCAACAAACATTAAGTAATTATAATCAGTAATTAACTATGAGCAGTAAGTAACTCTAAACAGTAAGTATCTATGACCAGTGAGTAACTATGATCATTAACTAGAAAGTATGTATGATCAGGTACTAACTTTGTACACTAATAAACGATGACTTGCAACTTTTGTAACTAAACACTTATCCGAGACTTGGCTGGTAGAAGTCACTTCGTTCCGGGGATGTTAGAACCAGTTGAGAATCATATGTTCACATGCGCGAGATTTGTTTTGGAACAAATTTAAACTATTTCAATGAAACTATGGAGCTATTCTTCTATATAATTTTACTAGTGTATAAGTCGGAGCATGGCGAATCGGTGGACTATATATATACATATATATATAGCTGCATTAGGAACGATCGGAAAATTTTCAGAAAAATATGTATAACTTTTCTAGTTTTGAACAGAATTTCATCAAATTTAATAAATATTACATAAATAAACATTATATATTAATCTTAATCGGACTACTATATTATATACATAGCTACCATACAATCGTTAAAATAGAGGAAAATGAGAAACAGTAAATATAAAATGTATGAAGTGAAAGTAGGTATAACTTTATTGTTTTTTAACATAAATATACATATATAATTTATATTGTATTTATTCGAAGTGATCGAATTTCAATCTGCAAGGGTATACAAACTTCGGCGAGCCGAAGTTAGCTTCCTTTCTTTTATTCATTTACGTTTAGTTATTGAAAATGTGTTTGGAAGCTAGAACCGAATTCGCCTTAACTATATGTATGTGTAATTTGCATCAAATTCCAAACATTAAAAAAAAATAAAAATAAAAATTTCAAAATTATATTTTTTTTGCACTGTGATCAGCTGATTTTATATTTCCCGTCTTTTGCCGGATCCTCTTTTTGGACTTTATTTTGAGCTTTGCCACTGCGACGCCGTATTTGTGTTTACCTTTCACAATGGCGCATTGTTAATAAACTTTAACGCTTTCTGTTGTTGTTGATTTTGTTGTTTTACAAATGCGACCAAGCCCCACATTAAAATGAAAACAATAACAAAGTGCCCGAATCACTCGTAAAAAACAGGTTACTAATATGACGGAATTGTAAGCAACGGAAGGGTTGGTATCGGTGTTGTTGTTGTTTTGGTATTATTTTTAATATCTTACCTTGCGATGACGTCCCTTGTAGACGACGGCAAAGGCGCCGTGGCCAAGCATATCCTTGGAGCTGTATTCATATTCCCCGACAATATTCATTATGCGAGGATGCGACGCCTGGATGTGCTCCCTCCGTATCCGTCTTCGCCTTCGCCTCCGCTTCCCACTCTCCCACTTTTACACCCCCTCGCTCACACACGGACGCGGACACACACACACACGCACTCTTGGCTCTTCCTCTGCTTTACTTTGCTTTTGCTTTTGCCTTTGGCTTTGCCTTCCAATTGCAATTGTGGAAAATCAATTTTTTTCTTTTCAACGAGTTGTGGACACTTCGCGATCTGCTTTTCACGTAACGCGCGTCTGCTTGGTCCGTTTGGTCACCTGGTGGCTGGTGCCCAGAACGATAATTATCGGCCACTCACTCGAATTTCACTTGTAATTGAATTAATCTGTGTCTTTTTTCCGCTCTCGGCCGTGTGTGGTTGTGTCGGTTTTCAGTGGTGGTGGTATTGGTTTTAATTTGCGCCCCCACACCGCACGACACAGGATTGATTGCACGCCCACTCACACACACACGCACGGACGCCCTCGATCCTTTCGTTTCCTTTCTGGTTTTGTCAATTTTGGATTTTGGTCCTAGCGAAAAACTTTGCAAAATGCAATTTTCCAACTACTTCGCCAGAAACACTAGTGCAAAAGGTGAGACGAAAACACGAACTAAGTAGAGGTGGGCAAACATCGATGGAAGCATCGATGCATCGATGTTTTCTAATTTTTTAAGTTATCGATGTTTTTTTCGATCACCGATGTTTCTGTGCCGTCACTATCGAGGGAGTTTTGAATGCTCTTAACAGTTGTGAAATTTTAATGTTAGCTATAAAATCAAGCTAGAGTAGTGAAACGATAATTTTATTTATTTGTTTTTTTTTTCAAATTGATTGTTAAAAAACATCGAAAACATTGATGCCTCCATACATCGATATTTTTACTGCTCTAGAACTAAGAGAATCGATGGCGGTGGGTAAGGCCAGTGTTACCAGTCTGGTAGTGGACTAATATACCAAAATAGCAAAAATACCGAAACTATCGATATAAGCTTTTTTTGTGCCCTGGAGAGTTGGGCACACTCTTAAGAGCATACAAAACTCTGTTAATAGAGACGGCACGGAAACATCGATGGTCGAACAAAACATCGATGATTTAGAAAATGTAAAACTCATCGAGCTATCGAAGTATTTATCGATGCTTTGTGCACCTCTAACTAGTCGAAGATCAGAAAAACAGAAAAATTCGGTTAATTAAAAGAAAGCGCGGTGAAAATAGCCAAAGAATATTTGCGGGAACTCGTGATTGCTTCTGATTAGCACAAAAGGCAAGTAGCTTCACCATGAAGACACAATATCACACTTTCTCGACCCGCGTGTGTGTGTTCGGGGAGTTTGTCGATACGTAGTGCATAGATAACAAAAAAGGGGAGGAGGAGGCGAAGACAATGTAGAACGTGGACTTATTCGAAGTTGTTGTGTGCTTGCAGGAATCGACCAGTTGAGCTGAAATAATGAGTGCGTCGAGCGAGGGCGGCGCGGGAGGCGGAACGGTGGGTGGCGGCGGCGGAAGTACAGCTACAGCGCCATCAGGTATGTTGAACGATATCCAAGTGGAATGTATACATATATATGTATATACTCAGTGGAATAAACCCTGTATTAGCATTGTGCGATTGTGTGCGTATGTATACATAACATTTCAGCGCCTCTCTTTTGCTCTCGCATACGCGCAGTGTTTGTTTCCTATTCCTCTTTCCGCCTCACTTTCGCAGCACTGCTGCTCTCTGTTTGTGTGAATGTGTTGCCAACCACCCTGTTTTCTGATTGTCTGTAGTTTGAAAAAGTCGTTGAATTCCATTTAAAAACCGCTCCTTTCGCTATCCTTTTTTGTCCGTCCAACGTTTGTGTGTTCCATGTGGAACTTTCAATTTAAGAAACTCACAGAAACCCAACACTGCCCATCCGCACAGCCCCCCTCAAAACCATTAAGATACGAACCCAACAACTGCATCCCCATGCAGTGCCATCGTTGTCCTTGCTGCCATCATTGCATCCATCGTCATCATCGGTGGCGTCCGCATCCGCATCCCTGGTATCGCATTCGCATCCGCCACTGCAGCTGCGCGGTGTCATAAACAAGTACTCATTGCCATCATCACATTTGCCATCCTCTGCAGCACACTCGGCGGTGGCCGCCAAGATCACACACGTGAAGGCCGACGGCGGCGGTGGGATCTCGATTTCGGGCACTCCGATCCTTAGCGCAGGAACCATCAAGGTGGCCGCAGCCAATCCCATTCAACAGGCTTCTCTGGCGGGTACACCTATATCCCTCAACACAGGTCAAGCCACTACGGCGGCCTCCATACGAGCTATCGGTGCTGGAGGCCAGTCCACACAAGTCCGGGTCATGATGCCCATGATCAAGCAGCTGGAGAATGTCACGGCGACGGGAAGGACACAGATAACAGCCATACCAGCTGCTCCGGCAAGGAGTGTGTCCAATGCTTCGATTACGGTCACAAGACCGGTGACACAGGCCTATCTGCCGCGAGCCAGTGTCACAGCCACCCAGATGGGTGGTGTGGGCGTGGGAGTTGGACAGCGCTTAGTCACTCCCCTTCGGGCCACATCCTCGGCCTCGGCGACAGTGACACCCGCAGCGCCGACGGGTCTCAGCACATCGGGAGGCTTTGTGCGGGGAGCAACCGCTTCAGTCAGCAGAAGTGGAGTGGCGGTGTCATCCCAGCCACCCTCCACGGTGATCTCGTCCAGCAACAGTGCTACCTGGATGCAGAGTCCGACGGGACAGGTGCAACTGATACGGGCCATTCCTCAACCGAGACAACGCATCATCACCACGTCGGCAGGCGTGAGCGGTGCAAGCGTGGTGACTACTGCTACTCCAGTGCAAGCGCCAACGGGTGAGTTTTTGCATCATTAATAGTCATTCCATCTCTATAAATTATTTTCCATTCTGATAGCTCTATCTGTGTCAACTGGTCAGCCTCTGAACCCTCAGCAGGCCGCAGGTCCTGGCGGTCCTCAGGCTTATGTGGCCACAGTCTTGCCACAGAGGCAGCACCAAGCCACGCTGGTGTATTCTTCAAACGTGTCGACGCCAAATGCCAATCCAAATCCTGGCCAGCAATTCAATCCACGTTTCGCAGTTGCCACGCCCACCACAACGCCAGGAGGAACCACAGTGACGCCTCGGCAGGTGCGTCCCATACCGCTGGGCAAGAGTTTTCCGGCGGCCAAGCTAAACACAACCAGCATCAGCATCAGAGCTCCTAGCATCCCCCAGCTAAATGCGAGCGTTACACCATCTCAAACGCCGGTCAGCGTCTCTGGGGGAGCTACAGTGGCACCAGGCCGAGGACCTGGTGTCGGTGGATCTGCTCTGACAGCCACTAACTTGCACACAACGAGGATTATCCAGCTGCAGCAGCCGGCGACGGGAACCACGCAGCAGATCATCGGGTCCGCTGCCCGCCTGGCCGGCAATGTAATGCTCCAGCCTTTCGTGATGACCACCACGGCAGCCGCCAAGATGGGTAAGTTAAAATCATGGAATTTATCACTTAAATCTCTTTCATTGTAATTATGCTACAGGAATCCGACCACCTGTTACCATGACGGCCAAGGTGCAACCATCGCTGACTATCACACAGCTAAATCCCATCGGCAAACTGTCCACAGCCGGAGGCACAGGCGGTCCCACAATGACGCCGCAGGGCGTGGCTAGCATCCAGGCGGTGTCCGTGCCAAGTGTCTCGGCCAGTGTGGTCAATCCCAGTTCTGTGACGGGGGTCACATCAGCGGCTGGCGGAGCAACCGTTTTACCCCTCACTATCAGCGGTAGAGGCGGTGCAGTTGGTCCAGGAGGCAATATCCTAACCGGAACACTGACGCCCATCAAGAATGCCAGTGGAGGCATCAAAATGATGATGACACCAGCTCCTACGGCTACTGCGTCAGGCTCAGAGGGTCCCGGAAGCAGTGGACCAGCGGTGGGAAGTTTCCAGCGCACCTGGAATCCAGTTGTTGCTTCACAAAGCCAGTTGATGAAGGTGAGTTTTGATTTCGCATAGCCCACAGTTGGTATCTCTTACGTATTTCCATTCTACTCTCTCAGATCGATGATAAGGGAAGTGCTGCCACAATCTACTACGAATCTATGCCGGCCTCAGCCTCCACAGGGGTTCTATCGTTGACCACCACCACCGTGACGCAGAGCACACAGGCACAGCCGCAGTTGGTGAGCAGTGCTGGCGGCAGCTTATCGGTGTCTTCTTTGCCCTTCGCTAGTCATGCGCCCACTGGAGCTGGAACCGGATCAGCCGGAGTTGGATCGCAGGCCACATTTACTGTATTGCCCTCAGGCGCTGCCGGCGGAGCAGGAGCTGCTACCCGGACCATAGGCGGCCATCAGCAGCTGATAATCCCAGCTGGCGCAAATAGTGCGCCACCGCAACACATGGTTATACCACTACACACTTCGGTGAAGGTGACAACAACGGGAGCAGGCAATCCACAGCAGACGGCTGCCGGAGGTGGAGTTGGATCGCTGGTTCCCAACTTTATGCGCAAGCGGGATGCAGAGGGTTCGCCCATTCGAGCGGCAAAGAATCTGGCGCCTACGTTGCTGTCCATGGCGAGCAACACAAGTGGTCCAAGTCCGGGTACCACCTTCAATCTGCAACCCGTTTCCGTGGCGGTGCCAACATCTAGCGGACTCAACTCTGGGCTTACCGTGGAAGCGCTGGCCAAAAAGGAACGGGAACGGGTTACGACACATGGAGTGCTGCCTAGCAGTGGCGGTGGTGCGACAAATGTGGCACCTACAGCAGCTGGTAACGCCGTTTCTTCTACGAGAAATTCTCGAGCAGAGTCGCCGGCTTCTTCAGATGGCTCCACTACTGTATCAGCGAACTCCTCGCCCGGTGTCGATCAACAACAATTGCAGGACAGGATTGGCGATCCGCCACCGACTGCTGGTGCCAGTGCACGCGACAATGCCACACATTTTAACCCCATCAATGAGGTAATTATCGAACGACAGACTTTAGAAAAACATTAACTCAAATTTTGATTTCTTCTTGAAGCTGTACTCATCACACCAATCCATGCAGCAGGGCTTAAATCACTCCTCCCTGGGCGCTCGTAGCGGCAACAGCGCCTTTGTGGATGTGCAAGCACCGACACCTCAGCAGCAACAGCCAGCTCAGCAGCAGCAAGCACCTCATCTGGTGGTGGGTTCCTCCTCGCAAATGCAACAGCAGCAGGCAGGTCCTCGACTGAACGGCACGGGCAATAACTCCAGCTCTAGCTACGATTGTTCCTCCAGGAAGAAGCCGAGACGATCAACGTTAGTTTTACCATGGCATATCTTTCCCAAACGACTTTACTGATAGTCTTTCAAACCCTCACAGCAATGACAGCCAGCACTCTACGCAAAGTCAGGCATCTCTGTCCCTGCCACCGCCCGGTGCTGAAACAACAGCACCAAGTGGTGCTGCCTACATGCAGAAGCATAATAATGGAGGGCTGTTAGTGGCAGCAGCTGTAGCGCCACCGGGCGTGCCGGCCCCAAATACTGCGCCAGGTGATGCGAACCATCGGAACAGTACACCGGCCGTGACGGGCAACAAGGAGAATGCTAACCCGGTTGACTTTGTCATCCGTCGTCCACGCAATTGTGCGCTGCTCAATGTGAGTTCCGGCTAATTGCTTCATCTTGGGACCAATTGGTTATACTTTTTCCATCTTGCAGACATATAAACCGACTCACAAGCTGGCCAACAATCACTTCCATCGGTATACCGATGTGAAGCCAAGGGAGGAGCGTCGTGCCACGGTGATTGATTTGGCCAATCAACCGAATGTCCAGGGCAAAATCAATGGATGGAAGATCTATCATTTGAGTTCGCAAATGGAGGACTTGGTAAGGACAATAAGTATACATATTTAAAGCAAAATTAAACAGACTTTATGCCTGAAACAGAACGAATCGGAGATGGTCAGTTTGGGCCAGCTGGAGGTTATGCTTAAAGATCTGGAAAAGGACAAGGATAAGCACAATGAAATGGAGCGTGTAACGGAATTGTTAAAGGTAAGCTTATTGTTAATCCCTTAACCGTTCAGTAATAATTAAATTGTATTTCCAGGGCAATATCCAACGAAGTAAGATCATTACAGAGGGCATCAACGAGGCACAGAGTCAGCTCATGAAGATCTTTGAGCACAAGCCACACGTATCAGACATAATCAATCGATGTGCATCCAAGAGGAACTTTAAAAAGCGCGAGAAAATCTAAAAGGGGATGTGGGACACGGATTACAGAAATAGCCAAGGATCTAAAAGTAAACTAATTTGTTGAGGAATTTACACTATTCCATACATACATCTAGTTGAAATTAAATCTTTAGTTATTTCCGTGGCATCTCTGATAGTGTGTACATTGACTAGCTTAAGCCACATAGTTTTAGACTAATTCTTACCTTAAACGCGATTGAGATTTGTAAGACAAAGCAGAGTTACAAAGAATCCAGCAATATTTTTTCAATTTCCTAAGCTTAAAATCAGAAATACACTAAACACTTGAGTTGTATTTAGTAGAAAATAGTTTATTCTTGTATTTTAGGGATATTTGAGGATATTTCCTACATCGGCGGCGGCGGTGGAACGCCATTGAACATGGGGTGCATGGCGGCGGGCCGTGGTGGTCCTGGCATCGGGAATCCTCCGCCGGGTGGTCCCATCGCCCGATGCATATTCGGCGGCGGTGGCGGCAAAATCTTGGGCTCGAACTTGAAGGCAAACTGCAGGAAGAACTGCTTGGTGTCGCGATTCCAGTGTGTCCAGAACTTGCCCTCGCTCTTCTCCACCTCCCGCGATGGCACCTTGAACCCAATGGTCTCATACGGCTCGGAGGCGAACAGCAGGTACTGCCACTTGCGGTCTGGCGGTTCAATCTTTTGCTCGTAGGCGGACATGAAGCGGTGACGGGGTACGATGTTTTCCGAAATTTCCGGGTAGTCAATTTGGAAGAGCAGCGACTGCTGGCCATTGCTGAGCTCTCGCTGCTTGGTCACCCTATAACCAGGTCGTCCAATTTTCACAAACTTCTTGGGTTCCACGCGCGGCTTCTCCGGCGCCAGCAGAGACGAAGGTGCCTCTTTGGCCTCCTTGGCGGCTCGGCGGGCCAGGTTCTCCTGATGCTTCTTGCCCTGCGTGTGGGCCAGGTAGCTGCCCTCGTTGTTGTGCAGCGTCAGACAAAGTTTGCACTCGTAGGAGCCCAAGTGGTTCTTCATGAAGTACGGATCCTTGTTCAGATCGATGGTTTCGAGGGCGAGCTGCCGCAGGCGCTCCTTCCGGTCGCGGTTCGTTTCCGACCATGAGGCCACGCCTCCGCTGCCGGTCTTGCCACCGGCACGGTTCTGGAAGTCCATTTTCGGTTGTCTTTATTGAATTTCAACTAAGAAAAAACGTTTTTGCGTTGGGTAGAAATTTTCGTAAAAATTGTTGTTGGTGTACAGAACAGGGTTGTCAACACGCCTTTAAAGACTAGTGATGAGAGTTTGCTAGAGTACGATAGTTTACGCATAGTGATTGTTCGATAGTCTATAGGAAAACAGCAAATTGGCAATTTAACTTCTTCAGCATTTTTGAAATTTGGTATTGAAGCAAGTTTAATATACAAAAACTTTAATTTATTTAAAACTGATAACATTGGATGTGTATACCTATAGCAGAAAATTATTATTTTATGTATGAAGTTTGCAACGCAGTGAAGGAGACACATCCACCCAAAAAGTATATATTTTTCAACAAATTTCATATATAAACATTTTGTATTATTCTATTATTTCGGTTTAAATCTGATGAACATCGGAATACTATATAATATATCTGCCGCAGGAAAGTTCGGGAAATTAATACAATTAAAAATTATTAGTTTTTCAGATTTCAAAATATTTTCATCTAATTTATTATATAGTCATTTTTTTTTTTTCTTAAATATAATTTTGTCACAAATATATGTATTTTAAATTGTATTAATTATTAATGATTGAACTGCAATCTGCAAGGGTATAAAAACTTGGCCGTGCGGAAGTTAGCTTTTTTTTCTTGATCTTAATTTTCCTCGCTACATTCAAGCTCCATGGTATTTGGCAATAACCGATGAGCGGTCACACTGTGCTTATAGTTGCACATGCTTGAAATCTTTTTTATAATTTTAAAAGTGAGAAAAGACCAGACCAAAGTAAAAAATGGGAACATAAATAGTGCCTGTGAAATGTTTTAATCAAGAAAGAAAGGAGTTTAAAAAAAGTTAACCTTAGCAGCGGCCGAAATCCAAAAATCACAGACGTCTGGGCTCACGTTGTGTGTGTGTGAATCAATTCAATTTTCTTGTGACATTTTCATGGAGAACTGGGCAAAAGGCTAGAAATTTTCACTTGTAGCAACGCCAATAGATCCCAGGATGGATAGCAAGGGACAGGAGCTTGGCATTATGGGTCCACCACCGGCAATGGCGCATTCCAGCAACAGCAGCAGAACCGATGCTCCTCCGCTACCAGCGTCAACGCCTTCGCCGTCGAATGCCAGAACTGCAGCACCGCCCAGGCGAATAATCAAGACGATCAATCTGGATTTTAAAAAGCTTAAGGAAGCTGGTCTTGACCGGAAGCTGGCGGAGGTGCTAAGCAAGCAGAGTCCAGGTGCAAGGGCGGGAATAACACACTTGCCCAGTAGTAGCAGTACATCCTCTGTCGCTGCGCAGTCTACGACGACGTCGGCAACGGCGTCGGCCACGACAGCGACGTCTGCAGCAGCAGCATCAAGCGCATTGCACTCGGAACAGCAACAATTTCATCAGCCTGGTAAAACATCTTTTGCTTTGCACTTATTATTTCTTTTTGAACCTTTGAAAACCCGTTACCATGCTGTGGATATGGTTTTAGGCCTTGGAATGGTTTTAGGAGCTTGGGAAGCAGGGCAGCGAAATGTCGCGATGGCGCAGCTGCTTGAAGCGACGTCTGATAATCAGTGGCGAGTTAAGTTGTTCGGTCGATTTTTCTCATGAGTTCGGATCCTATTAGGGGAAGGGATACTTTTTTTCTTCTCTTTTAATGATTTATTTTCAACTTTAACTTTTATAATTTACCTTAAAAAAAGGTACATACCTTGGGAATTAATTGAGTTCATAGATTCGATTGAAAAACAATTTTTTTTATTATATTAGGTTTTACATTTATTAGGTAATACATGTATATATATTTTGTTCATTTAAAGGATATATTTTTGTTTGCTTTTAAGTTAAAAACAAAGTCAAAGTTAAGTTAAGTAAAAAATAAACGTAAAATGTTTCATCCAAGGGTTAAACAGAAATGGATGAGTTTATAAATATAAATAGCATTTATTAATAATGTAGAAATTATAATAATATTGGTATCACAATTGTCAAAAAAGAAAAATTAAATACAGATTTTTTAGACAAATAATTTAAAACCATAAAATTTACAAAGACTAAGCATTTTAAAAAATTAAAAGAATTTTCTTAAATTTTCAATCCTCGTGCAGAGAAGGATTAATTTTTTTTTGAATCTCCACACCGTAAACTCGCTTCAAGTGCCACCTTTGACTCTGACGTTTGTATTCTTTCGATGGCCCAGCATGTAAATGCGCGCGTCGAGTGAGGTTAAGTCCGCTTTTTGGCCCGAGTTCAAATCCCAGTGCCAGTGCCCAACTCCAATTTTGGTTGATCGACCAGCAATGGTTTTTGTGTTGTTTTATGTTTTATTGGTATTTATTTAATGTTTGCATTAAGGTCGAAATGTGTTACTTAGCTATTTAGTATTTATTTTTTTTTGACAGACATTATTTTACATATTATATATATATTATTTTATATAATTTGTACATTAATATATATTCTTATACTCATATTTTGTTTATATTTTCCTGCTTCACAGCATTACCGCCGACCGCAGTGAAAGGAATAAAGATCTCAGAGAGCATGGAAAAGACGGTGCCCATTCAAACTCCGCCGTTGACCACGACGTCCTCCGACCAGGAGCGATCGATGCACGTGAAGGCTTTGTTAAAAAATAGGATTCTTAACAAGAGCATGATCAATTCCTCCCAAAACCAGAAGCAGAAGTCAATGCCAGCACCAAAAGCCCCGCCAACAGCTGCCCAGGGTTCTGCTCCTCGAAGCGCAGGTAGCAGCAAATCTTCTCCTGCTGCTAGTACTAGTGGATCTTTCTCAATTCCCAAGGCCGATCTGACCGTGCGACCAAAGCACCCACCATTATTGCTTAATTTGGTTAATCAATTGCCCAAACATCGGACAATGTGTGTGACCACCGATGACATACAGTTGAGGAACCAGCAGGAGCTGCTTCAGCAAAAGGCTTTTGAAAAGCATCCGCCTCCTCAGCAGAAACCGTCACACTCTCAGCCACAATCTACGAATATTTTTACACCGAAATCTTCACAAGATGCACCACATGTTCCCATACAAAATTCGCTACAAAATCAAGCACAATCTTCGCATATTTCTATGCAGAAGTCCCCGCAAAAACCACTACATATTCCTATACAAAATCCGCCGCAGGCTCCATTACCAGCTGCTTCAGCAAATCAATTGATTTCGCCTCCTCCAGAAGTTCCAATAATCTCCCAGAAAAGTCCGTCGCCACCACCTCTGATTGTGCTGGAAAACAAGGTACTGGCACCCAATGAGAAGATCGACTTGAGTAACCTGGGATTGCCGAGCAGTACTAGTATAGTGACCAAGTCACAACCCGCTGCCCAGGCAATCATTAAAGGCGGCAGGGTAATAATGAATGCCAGTAAGTTTAAGGTGCCGCAGCAAAAGCTAGCCGAGATGGCCCAACAAATTCGTAATCAGGCGCAGCACGTAAAACTGGATATACAACAGGAAGAAGCAGTACTTTCTCCACAAATCGATTCTTCCAATGCATCCTTAGAAAGAAGCATTACTATAACTACAGAAGTGAATCCTAAACAGCAGCCTGGTTTTACTCAATCCACTGGTGAAGCCAATGAATTGCCCATCTTGACACGTTCCGAATTAAATGAATCAGAAAATTCTATGTCGGTGACTTATGCTTCAGATAAAGTTAATATTAATACTGCTGAACCATTGGATCAAGGAATGCAAAGTCAAGAAACCACTGAATCCAGCTTTATTGACATTCCTGTGAATAGTGCTAAACCGGAGGCACCTAAAGTAGTGATGAGCACAGAGACAAGCTTTCTGGACTTGCCCATACATATTTCTACTGATAGTACACCGAAGAAGTTAGATAAATCGCCAGATTCTGAGCAAGAACCCTTACCAGCACCAGAGAAAGCTAAGAATACTTCCACTTCATCAAAAGAGATCCCTGAATTAACAATGAATGTATCATCACCAGTTTCAAAAGTCCAATCCGCAGTGGATTTTATAGCGCAACTTACAGCAGAGAATCCTTTAGACGAAAGCAGCTTCATGGATCTTTCGCCGGAAGAACAACGCTTGAACGCTCTGTTTGGTGGCGCCGGAGGATGCTCTTTTACTGGAGTGTTGCCTGAAAAAACAGAAAGTGAGAAGGGGCTGCCAGAGGATGGAGATTCTTTGACTGCCACGGAGACTTCTTCCAAGAAGCTACCAAGTGTCGAAGAGAAACTGGCAGAGGAGGAGGAATTACCTATTGGAAAGATAATGAAAATGGATGATATGGATATACTCCATGCCACTTTGGATGTGAGTAGCGATAGTACCAACATACTACGAATCAGTCCAAATGCAATTAAGTTGAACAGCAGTGTAGATAAGTCAATTATAGAGTTACCAGCGGTAACCACTGCAGAGGTTGCTATCATGAAAACTGGCGCGGAATCCTTAGTAAATGCAACTTCAATTGAAAATCATAAAAGTGAGCAACCATCAGAGCCTGATATGTCATCAAATCCAGTGACTGATTCGGAACCTGCTAAGGAGGTTAATCCTCCAGCAAAGCGAGTCCCCCTAAGATCTAAGAAGGCCAAAATCAATTTAGTGCAGCGCAATAAAAGGCCCAGCATCCCAAACAAGCCCTTGGAGGCAAAGAAAACAAAACTAGATGACGTCGAGCCAAGCGATGCGGAGGCGACATCGACAATTATCGATCACAGTTTGCTGGAGGAGAATCGTCTTAGTGCTGGGATCGAGGTAATGTATATTTGAATGATAAAGAGTCAGAAAAAGTACATCTTATTTTAATTAGTGTTAAACACAATCCCAATCAGGTGCCAGCTGACGAGGAGCAGGGTGCTGGAAAGTTAAGAAAAGGTGATGAGCAGCAAGAAGTCAGCCAGTCTAAAGAAAATAAGGAACAAGGATCAAGTGAGTCTAAAGATGATAAAAAGCAACAGAAAGTTGGAGATTCCAAAGAAGATGAGCAGCAGCAGCAATCCATAGAGTCCACAGAAGATGAGCAGCTGGTAGCCAAAAAGTCCACAGAAGACGAGTCCAAGGAAACTTCCAGTCCAATAAAAGATACAAAATCAACAGCCAAGCAGATGGTCAAAGTGCAGCAAAATCCTCCATAGAACGTGACCTAACCCAGTTGTATCATCCACCTAAAATGCCTAAAACAAAGACAAGTAAAAAGAATAGTAAACAAGAAGCCCTGGAGCACTCAGAACAATCAGCAGGAGCCTCAGTCTCCCTAATTGAAATTCTCTCACAGGAACAACCGCCACCACAGGGCGATGCCAAGCTTCCATTCCGAAAGGAGACGCCCGCAGAAATTAATACACCGGAATCCACTGGAATTCAGAATTTAATGACACACCTGACAGCTGAGAAAGTAACACCACATACCAAGAAGAAGGTATCGTCAACTCCGCCCGGTTCTGAGGAAACAACGAAGGGGATGCCACGTAAGAAACGGATGAAAACACGGCCTGTTCTCAGCAAACGAAACTCAGGAAAGAAGCAGGAAGAAATTTCCCCAGAATTTCTCCATCCCGTATGTGAGAGTGGTGCAGGAGGTCGCATTCCCACCTCGAGCACCAGTGACGATGATGGTACCGTATTCCTTGGCTTTAACAACAAAGACGAGAAGCGTTCCAAGACTCCAGTGCGCAGCAAGCGAGTGCGGCAAATGAGGATAAATGAAACCGACATCAGCGACGATGCTACTCCAGACCACGATGAAACTGAGGAAGAGCACCAGAGGCCAGTGAATAACGACTTTCGACGCATAGATCACGTGTCTGACTCGGATAGTAGTGAATGTCCCACGTATTTCGAGGATAATCCAGTTAACATGGATGAAACACTAGTATCAATTGAAACAGCAAGTTCTGACCAGGTCAAGGGGAAGGATGTAAAAGGTACACGTAAAGTATCAATCTTGGACGAAACAATTAAACCCGAAAAGGGAAAAGAAGAAGCTCTCAATGAGCCAGAACAGCCGAAAACTGTGATAAACAAAAAAGATTTGACAATTGATGACAACAAATCCAGGAACAGTAGTAAAAAGTCAAGGAAACCTTCTCCCAAGAAGGATTTGGATACTAAAGCTATACAAAATAATTCCGAAAAGCCCTCTACAAGTAAAGGGGCTCCACAAACCTGTAAATCTAAAGCAAAACTACAATCAAAAGCTGGATCTCAAGAATGCTTGACTGCAAAGGAAAGTGTAAAAGGTTCTACAGGAGGAAAGGAGAAAATTGCAGTATCAAATGAAAATAAGAAAGAGCTAAAATCTGCGGAGGAGTTAGTAACATCTGTGAAATCTAAGGGAAAACGAACATCTCGCTCTAGTATTGCAACCCCTTCGAAGCAAGCTGAAACATACCCGAAAACTGAAACTAATTCTAAACAAAAGGAAGACGAGCATAAAATTAATGAACGAAAAACCAGCACCTCATCAATTTCTGAACCTGTGATAGATAAACGAAAAGAAAAGCAACCAATTGAGTTAGCAAATTCTGAAAATTTAAAAGGAATACGAGCATCAAGACATAAACCCAAATCAGACTCCGCAGCTCCTACAATAACTGAACTGGCATCAACTTCTGTTAACCCAATCGAACCTATTGAATCAAGAGCAAGTCGCAATTCTCGTAGTAGAACACCTAAAGAACCCCTTCCAGCTCAATCAATTACCAAATCAGACGGAAACCATACAGACACTACACAAGAGGAACCGGAAGAAGTTAAAGTTGCCGAGGAACCAAGTCACAGTAAGAATTCAGCCAGATCAGAGCGCCAGTCTCGTAGTAGGAAATCAATTATTGTTCCTCCATCCGTTGCCAAAGATGGGCTGAAAATGGATGAAGAAATTAAGAATAGAGATTCAAAAAACCCACAGGATGTTAAGGCTGCAGAAAATCACAGCACAAATTTAAAGTCCAAGCGTCAATCGCGCAGTAAAACGGTTAAAGTGGCAGATTTAGATGTTAGTAAAAGCCAGGAGGAGCCTGTAGAGAAATCAAATCTAGCTTCAACCTGCAACGAAAATAATGTTGATGTCATAAAGGATGATGAAAAGCCTTCAAGTTCTATAAAATCCAAAAACAAAAGGCAGTCTCGAAATACACAAAAATCAGTTTCCAATACAGTTGCTGCTAATGAGCTAGAACCAACAGCATCTCTCGCAGATTCCCAACCCGTAGAGACCGATGTTGATGGCGTAGTGCCAAGGGGGACTCGTAGAAGTTCTTCTCGTCTTGATTCAGTTCCACCGGACACAACAGACGCACCAGTTTCTAAAGATGAAGATATCCCCGCACCTGTTCCCAAAAGAGAAGAAAAAGCAGCGCTGCAAAGCAGCCACAAAATCTAAATGAGACTGTGGTAGCAGGAGATGAACTCGACCCCGATGCCGCTGGTCCTTCGACATCAAAAAGGAAAGAAAGCAAGCTGCTCCTGCCGATACAGAACCAACTGGGACGTCGAAGAAACAAAAGACTGAATTAAAGCAAGATCCTGGTGTTCCTCAAGCCTTCAATAAACGCTTGCTGCTTATCCGCCAAAGGGAACAGTTGAATACTGATGAGGTTCTAACAGACGAAGGCAAGGGCAAAGGTCCGCTGCAATGCGGCTTGTGCCTGGCGCGCAGCACCGAAAAAGGTTGGAAAACCCATCTGGCAGAACACTATGGAGTGGGTTGGCTTGTGGGCGAGACACCAAATGTTACACGTGCTTGGGTCTTGAGAATTATGAAGAAGTATATTGATGGAAAAGGCGAAAAGTTAACTTGCCGCCTCTGCCAAAGGCAATTGGGCTCGCACACGGGCATGCTTGTCCATCTGGAGAGCTGTGGCAATAAGCAACGCGTGGAGTGTGACCTATGCAAGAGATCCTATGCCAAACTCTCACTTCCCTTACATAGGCAAACCTGCACGGGCCAACAGAAGAGAAAAGATGAAACTGTCAGCACCTTCAATCTACGTCTGCTGCTCATCCGGAAACGAGAGCAGTTGGACAGCGAAGAGGTGCTAACGGAAGAAGGCAAGGGCAAGGGTCCGCTGCAATGTGGTTTGTGCCTGGCACGCACTACCAAACTGAAGTGGCAAAGCCATTTGGAGGAGCACTATGGAGTCGGCTGGCTTGTCGGAGAAACACCAAAAGTAGGTTATGCAATAACTCAATAAATTCAAATCCTAATTATATTTCTCCAACAGAACACCACACGCAACGGGATAATGCTAATGATGAAAGCTTACCTGGAGGAATACAAAAAGAAGCTAGTGTGTCGCCTTTGCGAACATCACTTGGGCAGTGCTTTGGGAATGATGCTTCATCTGGAGACCTGTGGCAACAAGCAGCGTGTGGAGTGCACAATTTGCCACCGATCGTACACCATACTCACACTTCCGGCTCATTTTCGGGTCTGCTCGAGGCGACAACAGCTTGCAGAGACATCGATGGCTCAGGCTGAGCAGAAGATGGAAGAAGATTCTGGCGAAAAGGTGTTCAGCAATGCAGGACGAGCTAAGCGGAAGTCAACAATCAAGTAAGACATGGGAACAAAGGATATTTGCTGTGATTTTAATGAGAAATGTTTGAGTGCATCATTTAAAATGATTTGTAAAGGATTTAAAATTAATTAAAAGGGAGCTTAAAATAAATGATTTTAAACCGTTATATTACCCTTAGATACCAAATAAAATGATAATATTAAGATGTAAATATAAGATATAATATTTTTTGTAATATTCTATTCCATTACAGAGCTGAAACAAAATTGAAAAATATTGGTGAACACACTTCGGGCAAAAACGAGTTCGATGGCAGCGATTCTTCCGATTACGATATGGCAAATGACAAGGAATCATCTGAGGAGTACGATTCGGAGGGAGTCGACTCCAATGAGGACTCCATTACCGCCGAGCAAGATGGCAGCGATTGCGACAAGTCTAAGCGCAGTAGAAAAAGACTAGTAAGAAGCGCCCAGGAAATGTGGGCGAACATGCAGCAAGGCCTTGTAAGAAAAGATATTTCTTATTGGTAAGATTTAATATTAATAGACGTTATATTTTTGAATATTATAGTATTCCTACGCGACGAAACCCAAAAGTCTAGTTCGACCCATAAATGGCAGAAATTGTGAGTAAACCAAGGATACCTTTCATTGTAAACTTTTTTTTTATTGCTTCTTAAATCCCTTTTTTAGTTTGCAAATCAATTATTCAGAAAGTCCTTTGTATTGCCACCTTGTTCCTGGCTACTCTACGCTGTCAATGGAGGATGCCCAGGGATTGTTGCCCTCCAAAGAAACATCTTCCGTACGCTATGCTTATGGTAATGCAAGCCAAGACTCGGACTGGCAACGATTGGCCCCGCTTGAAGGTTTCAACAAAGAGGGTAAGGTATTATAAGGAAGAGCCGTATTCAAATATTTAACTTTGTGCGAGTTATTTTCTTCAGGCGAATATGTGGGTTATCTTGGCGGACCTGTTAGACAGCTCGCCTGGGTACCGTTGCCCACGACGACTACGGATCAGTATTTACTATGTTCCCTGCGATCCCGGATGAAATCCTTTGCACGGCATACGAAACTGAAGCAGGAAGACGGCTTGTTGATGCTGCTGAAATGTACTGAGGGGTCTTCGAGTGACAAGACATGGTCCGTACGACCAGAGCTTCATTACGGAATACGAATTCCCAATGGACCGGCTCTAAGCTTCGCTTTCTTGCCCAGCGGTGGTTACGATCAGGCAACAAATCGTTTGGGCCTTTTGGCTGTGGCCCATGCCACGAGTGATGTCCACATCTATGCTTTGCCTCTGGAGCTCAAAGAGGAGGAGAAATGTGGGGAAAATGTGGTTATTCAATTGGATGCGGTGATGACTCTCAGGTTGGATATGGATCAGACGTCTGATGAAGATCAGTGCACGAAAATCTGTTGGTCGGAGGTAAGTAAAAGTTATTAATAGAAATAATATAACAAAAACTTATTATATTTAATATTTATAATTTTCTTAGGCTGCCGGACACAATTTCTTGTCAACAGGCTATGCCAGTGGCCGCATAGCCTTCTGGGATATTGGCGATACAGAGAGCATTAATTGCTTCAGGCGGAATAACGATCCAGGTTACACTTTTGTGCCTACAAATACGCAATATTTGGGCGAACGAAATATCCAATGTAAGCTGACGTACTAATTGGAATAAGCCTTGTATTTATTTGATTTTGTTTCTTTTTAGTTATGGAACTGCATTACGATATAAATGGTATACGTTGGCTAGCGGTGGGCACTTCAGTACGTAAATTTCTGGTCTACGATATTATGAACTGGTCGCAACCGACGATACTGATGCAGAGCGCCTGGAACAATATATATTTAGCCACATTCACTTGGTCCCCTATTAGCGAAGCGATAGTATTAAGTAGTACCCGTAAGCATAATCGAATTTTTCTAATTAAAACAGCATTTAATTATATTTATTAATATTCTTTAACAGACTACAACTCCCGTGCGATATTGCTTAATCCTGCGGGCACGGAATTCGAGTCCCGAACACTGGATAGCACTTTGACGGCGAGTCGTTCCATGCATTCGAATTGCCAGCAGAATTACACTGTGCTGGTGACGGATATGGGCGACCTGGCCTTTCTCGATGCTAAGGCCATTACCCGTGGAGTTTATCAGACCAAGACGATGATCAATCACCGGGCTGTATCCACCACTAAATTGCGACATTTGGGGACTGGAAAGCCAAATCCAAACAATGTAATCAGTGCGGATGAATTCCATAGGGACTATGGTGTGCAGATCCATCCACTGGTCGAAGCGCATCCGCAATCTGCCCGTAACTGTCCATACCTGACGGAGAAGCGTCTTCCCAGTAATCCGCACTCTCTGGCCCTAACGCGTAACAACTGTGTTCGCTGCAACTGGAATTCCTCGGCACACTCGTGGGTGGCCGTGGGGGCAGAACATGGCCTGCTGCGTATCCTCAATTTTAAGCGAAAGAATTTCTTCTAAAGAATTCAAGTATCTGAACAAGCATCATCTGAGATTATAACTTATTTTCCTTACTACCTAATAGTAATAGTAATTGTATAAAACGGACTGGCTGAGGGAGAGTTAAAATTATGTTCAATAATTACTTTAACTTTAATTTATTTATAGCTGTTGTAAAAATTTTATAAATTGTATTTTTTAAAGGAAGTTATTGTTGCAAAATATAATCTATCTATATTACATGTCATCTTATTATTAATATGATAAAAGTACTCAAGTCATAGTAAGCTCTGTTCCTTTAGGCTGATCATATTTCTAGTCTTCTCTTGGAGCTATACGATTCCGAAACGAAATACGAATATGAATCCTACCAGCAATGAAAGTAAGGATACAGCTTCTGAAGCTGATTTCGCCGAAATAGAAAACTTACGGAAACGAATGGTGGCATTGATGCAGCGTATGGATCGTGTGCTAATTCCCTTGAAAGCCATGCGAGATGGCATAATGCCCGGTGAGCCAAATTATCCTGATATTAACAATTTGCCAGAGAATACTGATTTCGATGAGGGACTGGCCATACAAAATGATGATACACAAGATTTAGAGCTTCAAGGAAACTAATTTCGATGAAGTTGATGCGAATCTGATCTTTAAACCCAAGCAGCCACAACCAAATTTATTTTTTAGTGCTCCACACTTCAAAGATATGACCAATTATTAAAGGACCACACGAGGATCATACATCTTCCACTTCCCGAAGGACACTAACATAAACGAGGAACTGGTCATAAAACGCAAATAAATAAACTTTCAAGGCTACAATTCCCAATAATAACAAAGACCTGGTTACATATTAAATATATATATTTATTTTTCGCGTTATCATCAATAGTTGTGTTATTCCATAAAAACTATGTTTATGCGAAATTTAACAATGATAGACGGGGACTTTTTTGTAGCTTTCAGCTGTGAGCTGTGATTATACAATTAAATTCAAATGTTGAAATATCAAAATATCGGTTTAAGAATTATTAAAAGTATATAGTGTTTATTTCGGGTTTCATTAAATAAAATATTAACATTTCCCTATCGCTGTATGGGCGTAAATAAATAAATTTGCAAGGGGCTTACAACTTATATGAGCTATATGCTAAGTGAATGCTTTCGATTGGGACACAAACAGCTAGATATATATATATATATAGTTCATATACATAGACATACATATACATAGTACAAATATATATATTACGAAATATCGAACAAATGCATGCAAAACACGTTAAAATAAACCCGAAAAGAAATGCAAAATTGCCAGTAAAATTTCGTAAAAAACAGAATTCGTTGATTTGAATGTGAAGTAACACTAAATAAGCATACATATACATACATATAGGCATTATGATATATATGTTTTTCTTACATTGCTGTTGTCTTTTCTATGGCTGCAAAAGCAGGCCGTTAACAGTGGCTTAACATTTCGCGCGGCTTTTCTGCAGTTGACCTTCAGTCTTCGCTCTTAGCTATAGTTTGCTGCAATTCTCCCGATCTCTGGATCTCCCGCTCTATGCCTAACCGAAAATCTATGCGAACATTAAATTCTATAAACAAATTCATCCATCTATCGCAACGGGACTTGCACTTAACGCGAACCTAAATCAAACGTAAATTAACGGCAAGTTAACAGTGATTTCCGGTCTGTCTCTCGGCTTCCGGTTTGCGATTTGCGCTCCTCAAGCGGAAGTTTCCTCCACCCCATTACTGCTTCTCCGCACCGTTGACGGGAGTAGGTGCCGGATTGGACCTGTTGCCGGCCAGCTCCTGCTGGATCTCGTTCAAACTCTTGCCCTTCGTCTCCGGCACGGCAAAGAATACAAAGAATACGCCGAGAACTGTCAGTCCGGCAAAGAGCCAGAAGGTGCCGCCAATACCGAGTCCCTCGTTCAAGTCATCAAACGTCTTGGTCACCACAAAGGCCAGCAGCCAGTTGGAGGTACCAGCCAACGAACCAGCGAATCCCTTGATGTCGGTGGCAAACAGCTCGCCCATCATCAGCCATGGCACCGGTCCATAGCCCATCGAGAACATGATGATGAAGATGCACAACGCGGCCACCGGCAGCCAGCCCAGACTCTCCACCTGTGTCTCATCCTGGCTCTGCAGATAGAAGTAAACTCCAATAGCGGTGGTGGCAACGGCCATGGAAATGCCCGAAGCCAGCAGCAGGATACGACGGCCCAGTTTGTCCACTACCACGGTGGAGACAAAGGTGGCCACCACCTGCATAATGCCGATCAGAATGGTTGCCCACCTGGGTCCGATGCCAGTGTTGGCTTCCTGTAAAGGTAAAGGTTTTCAGTTAGATATATTTCTAAAATTTGTAGACTAAAACCCACCTTGAAGATCCTTGACGAGTAGAAAATAACAGCATTTATGCCGCATACCTGTTGGAAGAACATCAGACCCAGACTGATGGCTAGAGCCTTGCGGGTGACGGGTCGGTTCAGGGCAGACCACACATTGACCTTGTTCTCACGGATTTCCCGATCGGTTTCACGCAGCTCCGCCAATTCCGGCTCATAGTCGTACTCCTTGCCACGCAGCCACTGAATGGACTTAATGGCACCCTCCGACCGATCTTTGGCAACCTGTCAAAGGAGGATTTCGGAAAATTAGACATACTTGTTGATTTTGTATCTTTTTTATCGACCGCTTTTGATGGCAAACTCGTGGTGCTTTTCGTATCTTTTATGTTTTGGTTTTACCGAAAGATTGTTTTGATTGACTCGCCGATTATATCTACTCAAGATACTGCTAAGGCGTCATTGAATGGAATTGTTTATATATTTTCATGGCAATAATTTGTAGACCCTTTTCGGGTACTTTAATTTCCGACTCTATATATCATATATATTTATAAAGCTTCAATATTAACATGTATCTTGATCAGGGATGTGGTCACATTTACTTGTACTTTAATCCCTATACACAACCTAATAAAATATAAAGATTTAATCAAGAAACTTACCAAATAAGTGGGCGATTCCGGCATGAAGAAGAAGATGACTCCAAAGACCAATGGCAGAATACCGCAGATGACGCTCACCCAGAAGATGTCCAAGCCAGCGCCAATAGCATACACAAACAGAATACCAATGGTGATCATCAATTGGAAGAAGCTGCCCAGCGTTCCACGGATATCCTTCTGGGCAATCTCACCCGTGTACATGGGAGCGGTCACACAGAAGGCACCACCAGCGATACCAAGAATGAATCGAGAGGCATACATCATGCCAACATTGGCGGCCCAGATGAGCATCGCCCAGCCGACGATGAAGGGCAGGACCAGGAACAGCATGGTCCACTTGCGACCAATCAAGTTGATGAGGAAACCGATGGGAATGCACACGCAGGCGGCACCCAGGGTCATGGCCGAGCCCACCCAGGAGAATTGGTTGTCGCTCACTTGGAAATCATAGCCACTGTGGTTATCCACGATTTCCGTTTGGGCTGGGGATGTCCAGCCCAAGAGGGTGCCGCAGGCGAAGGCGCCACCAGCTGCTGCCAGAGCGGCCACATATTGTGGCAGTTTCTTGGAGTTATTCTCCGTGGACGTGTGCACCATGTTGCCGAGTAGATTCTCCTGATCCTGCAAGGATAATGAGATTTGGTAAGTCGCATTTTTAATTAGATAGTAATTAAAAGATAGTAAGTCCATGTAAGAAAGTTAACCTAAAACAAAATATATAGTTATATATCCTTGAATATCCTTTGGGTAGATCGTTCTGCTTTGACCAACTAATTGGGACTGAGGGCCAGTCCAGCAGCTACCTATGAGTATTATCAAGCCTTGGGCTCCGATAAGAACCCCCCGGCAGAGTGATTAGGACATTTATTGGCGGACCGATATGGGCATTCCATTGATTGGCCGTGCACCCATATTTATTGCACTCTCCCGGTAACAAAAAAAAGAAAAAATTAAATAAAATTGGGCTATGCTCTCCTCCATTCCGATTGTGAGCTGAAGTGCTTCATTATTTCATTACGACAATCACATAAACAGAAGTCGCCCCCGAAATCGAGGCAAGTTCACGCACAATCGCTACCCCGATATCATTCATACGCCGTGTGGTCAGCGAATCATTATGCGTTCGAACAGGAAAAGCCTTTAAGATCTTAATATTTACTTAATATTTTAAATCAAGGATGCCGCGTGATCACTAAACTAAGAACCTGAGGGCATTCTCATTATCAAATTGAGAGGTAAAGTAGTATAATTATTATGTTCCTGTGTTCCTACTTGAAAATTTTAATATACCAACACTTGTTTCTATATATACATAAGTATCCGATAGAGTTTTATACGATAAGGGAAGATTAACGGAATGGGAATTACCTAATTACGCAAATAAAATTGTATATATGGATTGAAAGCAGGATATCCTGCTACGATTGTTATAGATTATTAGGAGTAAGATCTACATATAAAAAAAACAAGGTCAATATTTTCGGATTATATAATTACTGATTATACTTATTTATTTTAAGCCTTTTAATTTATTTTTGACTTCTAAGATCTAGAATTTCAGATTCTACTAGTAAAAGATTATCTTATCTTTTAAATCTTATCAATTAACAAGAAAGAAAGTTAAGTTTGAAAAGCCAAATCTTATATATCCTTGCAGTTTAAAATCAAATTATAGGAAAGGGATCATAACTAAGCTTAAAATATTCACATTATTTTAATAAATAATATAAACAAATAGATTTTCCTAAAATAACACTCAAATGTTTGCTATTCTATTTGTAGTTATTTTTAATGAAGGCCTCCCAAGGGTCACTCAAGCAGCACCAATTAACCATATTCAAACACCTTATTAGCTGTACTCCATTGGCTTCCGTTCAATGGCCATAAATTACTAAATAATCGGTACAGACATATATAGCTAAGAGTATCGCTACCCTAATCAATAAATTGCCAAAATATTAGCTATAGCAGACACCAAATCAGCTGGCCATATTCGAGCTTTTTTTTTTTTCTTATCAGAAGCTTTTCCAAAGATATCTTTTAGTGTTTATAAACAGAACTCATTCCGGGTAGGTGAAATATGTATATATAAATATGTATAAATGGATGTCTGCTTTATTGTCTGTTCATAAAAGAGGTGTGTTTTGATTTTACTGAATGGATGAAAAGCTCACTTTTAGCTTGATTAGTCTTGACCATTGACAAGAGTTCGAGAAAGGTTTATTTAAAGGAAACGCATATACTATATCTTTTTTAAATGTTGAGATACAATTGATTATTGATTTATAAATACTTTATCTTTCTCATTAATAGATTTTTCAGCAAGTGAATCTCGAAGCGAATTCTTGAGGGCAACTTTTAGAGAAATCCTAAGAAATTCAAGAACTTAAAACCCAAACCCAGTCTGGGACAAGCATAAAAACCATTTGGCAAGGCAACATATGGGTAATTTATAGCCATTTTCTCTTGGTCGCTTATTTTTTCTATAATATGCAAGTATACATATCTCATGTGTCGCACCGCCCACTCAAGCAACCCACTCGGAGTGCCATTGCCAATCTCGACCCACGCCATGGAGGACAACAAATCACTTCCGTGAAAATGCAGGCCGAGAGTTGCAGCTGGTGGATAGGATAGGAGATGGATAGGGAAGGGGAACGGGAACAGGAGACTGTAAGTAAGTACGCCCACATATTAACTGTCATTTACTGGGGGACGGGACACACCTCCGGAGTCCGGAATGGCTGCCAGTCGAGGAGAGCAAACGAAGCGTTCAAATCGTGGCTAAAGTGTCTGAAATCGATATCTGGCTAGATTCAGTTCCGTCTGCGGCTAATGTGGTCAATCCATTGGCTATGCGTCGACATTCTGTATCTAAATTTAGACTTACTGCCACCCTAAACAAAGCCAGTAAACCCCTTCTCCCCACCAGGATGACAACTGCCTGAACCTAGGGGGTCCAAGTTCGTTTCAATGTCAGTGGCAGAAGGCGCAACAGTGCGCGTCATAAGCATGTTAATGGTTTATTTCCCTAAGCATTCCTATAAACTGGTTCAAAAAAGCATAAGCAAATTCCATTGAAATACTAAATAATTAGTGACTTGTTTAGGTTAATTTATGTACAATAATCCAGAGCTATTATCTATAACATTTGCATTATGGGAATGTTATGGTAATTCTTGGGAACTTTTCTTAAATATTTTCTATTACTTTATTGACGTTGAAAAATGTACTCTTATTTATATATTAATAATGAAGAGATTCTTTTAAATATCCCTAATTGAATTAGATTATATTTTTAAACCATAATCTATAACAATGAGTAAGTAAAAGAGCTAATAGATCTCTTCATAAACTTAGATCAAGGTTGGCTAATTTTAAGGTAAAAAAATATAAATGTAAAGATCAATTCCTATTTAAATAATCTCTTATTTAGCTTTGAATATTTCGCGATAGCAAAAGTCATTTTGGTAATTTGGCTTTGTGATTTAATTAAATAAAAGTGAAAACAAGTTTATGGGTAACCATTTAGGTTAACTCATTGATATTCAAATAATGTGCCATATTATGGTGAGTGTTATCGAACTGGTGGTCGACTTTTCATAATTTGTGTGTGTCGTCGCATTTTAAAATGTAAATGTTGCTCATAAAATCTTTGTTGTTGTCGCCGGAATTGTGCATACAATTTTTAATGGTTTTGAAGGGGTGGTGTCGCAGTTTTTACTAAAATAATAATACTACACAATCCACAAAACTGTTGACTCATCCGGTGTCAGTGAGTGGAACGAGTTTTAATTGAATGTTCCCGGTGAAATAATCACTCGAGGGCCTTCTTGTTCAACAAAAACATAAATCCATATCATGCTTATTGTTATAAATAATTTCTCTCTTCTGGGAATCAGTGATACGCCCCCTATTTTGAAGTGTTTACTTATCAAATTTTGTCTTTGATTTTTTACCAAATGAGTTCCAAACAGATAATGAAAATGTTGCAGTCTTTTTCTGATTTTTTGTGACCTTGTCCAACATAAAAAATAAAAATAGAAAGTTTCCACATCGCTCGGAACTCATTAAGCTGATAAGCTTGGCGATCCATCAATGGAATTTGGAAACCAAAAACTCCAGATAAAAAATGAAACAATAATAGTTTTATAATTGCTTATCGTTAAAACTATACATGTAAAGCGGAAATGATGTGGAAAAGGTATTTGAACTCGTCCAATAACTGAGAAAAATTATGAAATTACTTTTTTGTTCAAATGTTTCACACTTGATAATTGCCTGGTAAACTATTTATATCTCATATCTCTTTTTTTTGCGGCAACATCTTTGTGCTTTCAACTACGCGTTTGCTTTACAAACATTTGAGATTGTTTTGGGTAAATATTTGGCATTAAAGCATTTGAATGCCCTAACTTTATGAAAAGTATAAATAATATATCTGTATGTTATGGTCAGGGTATTTGTAGTTCGTTTTGAATTAAATCTGATTTCCTGCCTCGTTTTTCTTTAGCGCGCACTGCGTTAATTGGGCTTTCGCCGTGGCTTCTACCAAGGTCATAATCAAAAATGATGCATTAACTTGGTTAGTCAGCTGGCCAGCGTAAATTAAGTTAACTTGGTCAGTGGATAAAGTACACAGGAAAAAAGGTATTAAAGATTTTGGAGAACATGAAAATTAAGCAGATTTTGTCAAGGAACTTATTCTTTTAAGGAATGAAAATATAAGATATTTTCTAGATTAAATAGTTTTAATTATAAAATACTTTTCCCTCAGTGTCTTTAATTTTAATGCGTACATGTGGAGTAGAGTTGGTGCGTCCATTATCATTGGTTTTGACAATTTTAACCGCTTGCCGGGAACCATATTTGGCCCCATTATCAGCGGATTCCAGCAGGTGGGAGCTCTCCTCATTGTTGGTGCCTGGCTTTTTGGCTACCTCCTCGCCGCTGGAGTTGCTCGACGATGCGGTGGACATCTTGACAGGATTATGTAAACTTTGGGTGGGGTTTCCTTGGGAGTTAACGATGGGGATATGTTTTCTCGTATTCCTCGGTGATTTATTGTCTTATTACACTCGCTTTTGTTATCACTATTTCACGGCACTTTTCCGGGGCAATAATAATTCAAATTGGTTGAATAATACGAAATGTCCTTTTGGCTTTGGCTCTTTGTCCTTCAGCACGTCGCAGTCGTCGTCTTGGTCGGCCACCCACGTAGCATAGAATACTTTAAGGCGCATGCGCATCAACGGTGAAACATGTTGCTGGCCAAAAAATAAGACCGCTTTTTGCACAACGATAACAATTTTGATATGATTGGTAAATATTTCATTCAAAGATATTTTCGGATATGTATGAGAATCGTTGACTTCCTCGAGTCTTTTCCGTACGCACTCGCGCGTGTATCTGTATCTCGGACTTGGTATCTTTTTCTTTAACCGCACGCCACGAATGCTGGCTAGCAAATGAATGGCGGGCCAAACAATGAAAAGGCCTCCGCCGGGCTGTGGACTCGCTCTCCAAGTTTCCTCACCCCCCTGAATTCCCACATCTCATCGCTCTCTCTTAGCTCTATTGTACGCTCCGGTTTGTGCGCCCCGAGAACTGGTCTCTGCTTCTCTTTCTCTCTGTCTCTCCAGCGACCATGGTACCATGGTCCCTGTCCCTGTCCCGGGGTAAAGACTCTATATATCCATCCGAGGCTATTGACTCGCAGCAGACAGCAAACTGGAATTGCAGGCGCCTCTTCGCTGCACACAGATTTTCGTTTATTTCGGATCGCCGGGTTCAGGGTTCTGCTTGAAATTGCATGCAACCCGCCGGTGTGGAGTGGAGATGCAACTCTTGGCTGCACAACACATGGCGGCCATCTCCTGGACATCCGTTGGCGTTGCCTCTGCCTGTCCATTAAGTTAAGTCAATGCAAATTTATGAATCTGCAATTGATTTGTACATTTACTAATTGCTTAACGGTAAGTGGTAGCATGGAGTGGAAGAATATTAATTGAAATTAAAAAAAAATGTAACTCTTTGGTTTATTTGTGTACTACATTAAATTAAAATTAAAAACCATTCTCAGTTTTTTTAAATAATAATAATAAAACTGAAAATACAACACGTTATTTGATTTATTATAATAATAATATAATGTTTTTTAATATGAAAATGCATGTTTATAAATATCAATATACAAAATTACTTTACCTATGTTAAACACCATATTAAATATTTAATTTATTATTTAAATATTTATTTAATTAACGTAAATATGTAATCGATTAAATCATTGACAATCAATTTTACTATTAATCGGTAAATCGTCGATAAATGAGATAAAACCTAAAATACTTAATGTACTTAATGTTATTTATAACTCTATAATATATATATATATAACTTTCCTTATAAAAATAGTACATTTATTAAGTCAATTAATATATCGATTTATATTATTTAAATTTACAATTAAAGCATTAACATCATTGCCTCAATGATCGTAATTAATTCGATAAAACCAGAAGAAATGCATTAAAAAATGTACAACCTAGAAAACCCCAATAAATCCCATAAATATTTTTACAAGGTTACAAAACCACAAAGACAGGAAATTAAAGTGCATTTGTACTTTGTGTATAGATATCCACGTGTTTACTGCATTTCCCGTATGCAAACAAAGATTAAACTGAAATAAAGGCTGCCGACTGCCTTCGGAATCGGAATATATATGTGTCCACAGATACTTGTCGATATCTATGTACGAATTGTAGAATTCCCATTATCATTTCCAATTCCATTTAATAGTCAAACCCCGAGGAGAATACACTATTTGCCTAGCTGCTATGCAAACCCATCAAAACCCAGCTCGTTCAATGGATCCCGTTTGTTATGGGGCGAGAAAAATGCGGCTGTGCCACTGAGCATAATGGATTGCCTCTTACGGTGGCTTTGCTGCCAATGAAAATGAGCATTTCCAGGCTTTTCATATTTTTCGATAAATAAATACGACTCAGCTCCCCCAGCTCCGAGCTAAAAATGGGTCAGATATTGAGGAGGCGTAAAAAAAGAGCTGGTAAAGTGTTCTGGGATGTTATGGAAATTTTAAGGCATATAAATGGCTTATAAAGAAGCACGTGAACTTAATTGTAAGTGGCAGGTATTTATATTGAGAGCTCGTACGTGAAAGGCTTACCATATTTTATAATTTATTTATACAAGAATATTTTAAGAAGTATTTAAAGGAAGTCTTTTACACAAAGAGAAATTTATTTCCGATTCAAGATTATGATAATGGAAACCTAAAGGCTTTGGTTACTGATATTTTGAAAAGGGTTTAAGATGATACAAAAACTATATTTCTGAACATTTTAAAATGAAGAATAAAATCTACGTTGAAATAAATAAAGGAATAAAGAATTAAATGCGTTATAAGCTAATAAAATATTTACCACAATGAAAAAACAGTTAAATGCTTTTAAATCAATTAAAATAATACCCAAAAGTATGCTTTAAAATTATTACACCAACTGTTTATTAGATATTTGTTTAATTTCAAATTTCTTTGGCTTTTCCAATAGTTGATTTAACAATATATTGATTATAAAATTTTAAATTAAAATGTGATTTTACCAATATTTTTCTTTTACCTCCTTTCCCCCAGTGTAATTATGATAAAAATCGCTTAGTGTCAAACTTGTCCTAACACAACCCTGTTAACGTTTTATGTATACGCTTTGTCCACACCCTTAACCTTGTCCCCATACCCCCATATCCCCCTTGTAGTCCTCGTGGGGCATTAACGCAGCTCCGGCGGGACTTGGAATACAACCAAACATTTGGCACGCTCCACGCTTGGAACAGGCTCACAGAGCGCCCAAAAGCATGCTCTCGCTACCTGCGACGAAAGCGTTTTAAGCTTGTACAGAAAATATGTGTATCTATGTGGCTGTATCTACACCCAGAACACGCAACCCGCACTCAGTGTGTGTGTGTGTGTGTGCAAGCGAGTTTACCTACTAATTTCGAGGGAAAGTGCAAAGGGTATAGCCAAGCCAAGGAAAATAATGATGATTAAATGCGCGGCGTTATGCAACAGAAAGCTCATTAGCACTTGGGCCAACGTTGACATAGGCCCTGATTTGGTGAGCGGCGGTGTGTCGGGGCGGATACGTCAGCAGCGGCTACGTCACGCAGCCATGTATCTGATAGATACATTTCATGCCATGAGAGGCGTGCGCCGCGTGACGTCACGGAAGCCAAGCCCCAAGAATCTCGACCAATCAGCTAAAGCACAGAATACAGAACACAGAACGAGCCTCTCAAAAAGAAAATGCCAAGAAAACTAAGCAAATAAGCAGAACTAAATAAATATACAAAATATACAGCGATGAGCAAAAGAATAAAGTAAAATATTATGAGGTCAAAACTATTATTATGAAAATGTTCTTGAATATATTTTATATTTTTTTGTACCTACACGAAAGCCCTTGAAATATTTATTAATTTCCCTGACGTTACTTATTTAAACTTTTACAAATTCTATAAAAGCATTTTTAAACCCGTCTTAAGTTCTGGATTATCTTTATTACCTTTAGTATCCATTTATATGCTGTCATTATAATAATGTTTAATATTTTCTTGAAGAAAAATATATTTCCCCCCCAAAAAATAGATATATTCTATATATGCTATCACAACTCCCTCAACTGTAACATTTGTTTATCTCTGCGGATAAATGTAAATATTTTGTTTTTTCTTCAACATTTTCTTGACTTGCTTTGTTGGCCCCACGAATATCACGCGATTTATAGCTTTCGGTTCAAGTGCAGCTACCAAATATTTTCGCTGACCCAGCATAATATCTTTACCAAACGACCTACATTTGAACTTGTGACAGGGCCAACATGATGTCAACAGCTCCAAATTCGATAAATTCTATTTTACCAACACCACCCCCCAAAGCAGGCCCAAGAGACCCAAAATCAATAATGCGTCCTCGACGACCAGCCCAAGGTGAATGTATCTATATATGCATAGATATATTTTGGCCATAAATGTGGGTGGTTGGTCTTAAGCCATGAAATTTGTTGGCTAAATGATGAAATAATTGAGTATATTTTCAGGATTTTAAAAGGAGAATTTAATTTTTCCTCGTAAATTGCAATTGTTTATTGCAGTGAAAATGTTCTTTGTTTTAGGTCAATGTCTGTGATTAAAAAAGCTGCTTAAATTTAATCTATTTAATATAAATTCATGTTCTTTATACTTACAATTAAAGTTCACAGATTGTTAATAAGAACGACAATTTCTGAAATGAGAAAAAAATGTTTAAATATTTAAATAGGAAAGCAATTGAAATACCTTGATTAAGAAATATTTAAGTATTTGTATTATATGTTATATATTGTCCAAAATTAGTAAAGAAATGCTAATAATTTTCTATCATTGAAAATATACCCTCATAATTTTCAATTTAATAAAATAAATATAATTATAAAAAAAATAATTAAAAAAGTACATTAATAGTGCCAGAAAATTACATTAAATAATTTTAAGCTTTAAAGTAAAATACAATAACTTAATAGTATTTTTAAATTACATTTTTGTATTTATTAAATCACTGAATTTATACATTTTATCATATTTTAATATAATGAAATATATATTTTACTTTAATATTTGTCAACGGACAAAAGCTCATTGCTAGGATAAGCTTCCCTTTTGGTTTGAAGCTTTATTCCTATCGCTTAGCTTGTGACAATGACTCCCAAACTGTGCATTTGAAATGGAAGCTGGCACTCAATAAACAGAAGGGAAGATCGAAACAATTTTTAAACCGAAAATTGTCACTAAAATGTTAAGTAAATAAAAATAGATAAATATTTAAACATTTCTCTATGTCAGAGAATTGTCAAAACACTTGCTTAACTTTTTGTTGTTCGTGAATGAGCCATAAACTTAAGCAAGAATTGAATGCTATCTGAATGAGTTTTATTTCTTGGAATTCATTGATTTGTAATATATCTTTGGGTTTATCAAGACAAAGGTCTTACCACATAGGATTTGGGTAATATTATATTTATTGCTATGAATATGGCTATTACTAGTAAATAGTGTTAAGTATTCCTTCGAAATTTCACAGATAAGCCTTCCCTCACTCACCTGTTAACCCATAAATACTTGTCTAGGCCCAAAAAAACCCACCCATGGACTACAAATTTATTGCCAAAAAAATGGTATTGGCCTGGCTATAACCATCGATCAAATTGTTTTTGTTATTAGTCAGACATTTGGGCAGACAGCAGAAAGAAGCCCGAAGGTGGTCATGCAGGGTGGGGGTGCCTTTAATCTCGTATCCTTATCACCATGAAGCGGCGATATTGTATACCCTTACCCCTAGCCAGGGGGC